TATCAGGAGCACTGAGTGGCTCTTTGGGCTTTCCTGAGGCCCCTAGGTGACTAGGGCTCTGCCAACCCCCCTGGTCTGGTCCCTCTGACAGCTCTTTTCTGTTATACTGGTGACTTCATGCAGCTGCCCAGTGAACAAGGAGGTCTACACGTGTGTGCAGGTGTGACCTCCACAGCCAGGCGATTCTAAGATATACCTTCCTCATCTCCCAAAGCCACAAGGACCAAGGCTCCTGAGGCAGACTCCCTGTGTCTGTAGCATTGGCCCGGGATGGCAGGATCTCAGGGATGGGGTGTCAGTGTGCATCTGAAATCACCCCAGTGTGCGGCAGGAAAGGGACACGTAGCAAAATAGGGTGTCACCATCCCCATCTCACAGATAGGGAAATGGAAACCCAGGGAGCTTAAAGCCACCTGCCCAAAGCTACACAGTTGAAAGTGATGGTGCGTGAACCCTGGGTGTCTGAGGCCACAGTGCTGCCCTTTGTGCACTTGGGCTGGACCCTCGTCCACCCAGGCTCTGAGGCATGCACACACCCTTCTGCCAAGATCTTCCCCTGGTTTTTAAAGAAAAGGGGATGGAATTAGACAAGCAGAAGATGTGGCTCCCTAAAGGCTTCAGCACTGTGCCAATATGGGTCTGGGACCTCACCTGCCCTCTTCTTCCTGTGACATGGGCCCTGGGTCTCCATGGCAGCTGCCTATGCTAGCCACTTTCCTCATGCTGAGCCTGGTTGCTTGCACTGTGTCCTGGGGCAGCAAGCATGGGATCTGGCGTGAGGAGTTGGGGTGGGAGTCTCTCTTTCCTCCCCCCTGCCCTGCTGTGCTGCCTTGGCCTTGGCCACATCCGGTGGGTTTCTTCATCTGTAAACTATAGTCGTTACTGAAAACATCGGCTGTCTCTAGATTGCTGGGAGAATCAGCCAGAGTGAGGGACAAGTCTCTGTACACAGTGTAACTCTGGACAAATATTAGTTGTGTGTCATATGCCAGAAGGGCCTGTTCTCTCCATGCCAGAGCCCCAGGCTGGATGGGATCAGGATCCCAGTTCCACCCAACCGCGACTTGGTTACACCTCACCCGCTCCAGCCTCAGCTTCCTCTACCCAGAGCAGGGAATAGCAGACCGCACCTCTTTGCTAGATATGTGTGCACATCGACTGCACCATCGAACACACCAGGTAGTCAAGTACCTTGCGCAGGGCAGCTAGGTGGTGGCTATCTGGTGAATACAGACAGTGCCAGGTTCTGTGCCTCTGAGGCCACGGCAGGCAGGAGGCTCCATTGCCTTACTCTCAGCTTTTCTCCTGCAGGTGTGCAGCTCTGCAGTTGCAGCCCTGGGTTCAAGCCCAGCTCTATCTCTTGTGCTCTGTGACCTTGGGTTTGAGATGGGCCTCTCTGAGCCACAGCTGCATATAAAGAACCACCTAGTCATAGCACCCAGCAGAGGCAGAGCTGTGAGAGCCTCTGGTTGAGGAAAGGGAGATGAGGAGGGTCCCAGAGATAATTTGCTAGGGAGAAAATAGTGGTGTGAACCACAGGACCTCCATGGCAGCATACCAGGCGTGTCCAAGCCCTCCCCCACTGGCCCAGCCTGAGCAGCCTGCAGGGGCTGGAGTGGGCCAGGTCTGAGCCCCTCATGCATGCCAGGTCCTTCTGCCTATGCCCACGCCAGCAGCAGCAGTACTGAGTACTCAGGGAACTGAGGCTCAGAAGGAAAGACCTCTCCCAGCCACTTACCATACTCCGGGTGAACAGCTCTCCTGGATGACAGGTCCTGTGGCCCCCAATGTCCACTCATGTGGGCAGCAGCTGCAGAGGCCAGGCCAGTACTGTCCATGGTGGCTGGTGTGAGTCCCAGAAAAGTCCAAGTAGTACTTAAGGCAAGAGAAGAAACTCGGATGGGGCTTGGTCCGATCAGAAAGTTTTTCTAACCCAGCCTGTGAGGACTCTCCTTATTTTCACTTCAATATGTAGTTCATCTAAAATTATTATTATTGTTATTTTGGCACCACTGGGTTTTGAACTCAGGGTCTCAAGCTTGCTAGGCAAGCACTCTATCTCTTCAGTCAGTCTTGTTTTGTGTTGGTATTTTCAAGAGAGGGACTCTCGAACTATTTGCCTGCGCTGGGTTCGAACCACAGTCCTCCCGCTCTCTGCTTCCTGAGTAGCTGGGACTACAGGCGTGAGTCACCTGCACACAGCCCTTATAAAATTATTAATGAGACACTTTATCTTTTTTACTACTAACTCTTCAGCCTCTAGTGTGTATTTTACACTTACAGCTGAAATTGCCACTTCACATATGTCCTGATTGGGGTGGACTTAACGCTAAAAGATAATTTCTTGTGGATCTGAAAGTTGTATTTCCCTGGTGCCTGGCAAGCCCACTTCCAACACCCTGGATGGGGGGGGACCACAAGGGACACTCATCTGAACTGAAAACCCAGAAGAAGCAGGGCAGGTTCGGGGACCCAGGGCCACCCCAGAGTGCCATGGAAAGCCGTCCCCACAGTGGGCCTGCAGAGGCCGACTTGCTGCTGCCTCTCCATGCCCATCTGGGTTGTTGCCCTTTTGCCTACTGTTGACATTAGCTGTTTTTTATCTTAGCTGAGCTCTCTACAAACAGCTCAATAATTTAGTTTCCAATTACCAACTGGCATGCAAAACAGTCCTCGTTAGAAAGTCCACATTGTACCCCAAAACTCTCCAGATCAGCAAAACCCAGATAAGCGGCCAGGGCCAGCAGGGCAAAAGGGGGGAGGCACAGAGTTAGGGGAGGCCCAGGAGAGGGTCCAAAGATGCTGTTTCCTTCCTGGTTCTCCCCCAGCACCCCCATCTCCAAGCTCCCCATGCTCCCCTCAGCAGCTGAGGCACTCCAGGATGGGAGTCTGTGGCGCTGGTGCAGGTCTCTTCGCCTCAGTTTATACACCCAAAAGCACAAGCAAGACGCTGCCCGGGGGCTGAGGAGTGGGGCGGTAGAGACAGCAATGTGGTTCTGAGGGTTGGGGGAGCATGCCGGCTCTCAGGGAGGCCCCCACTGTGTTCAGAACCTGCCCAGATCCCGGTGTGGGGAAGATGATATTCAGGGTGTCCAGGATATTGATCACAGACATGGCTGGAACAGAGGCCCAGACAGGACAGCCTTCCTCCCCAGGTCACACAGCATACCTGCAGTGGGCTCGAAGCCAGCCTGGGAGCTTCTTGATGCTCCTCTGCAGTGAACTGTGTCACTGCTGCCAAGCACACCATGAGGAAAGGGCTGCTTCCTGCTGGGTAAACTGAGACTGTGAGGAACAGAGTCCTCCAGGGCAGCTCATCCCACTCAGGCTCATGCAGCTACACCCTCACACCAGGGCTATGGCCAGAATCCAGCCCAAGAATAAAATGTACACTCCTTGTCCAAAATAGATTAAAAATTTTAAGGCAGTGACAACAGAGCCTTAAACCAAGCTCAGGGCTGGGGGCGTGGCTCAAGCGTAGAGTGCTTGCTAGGCAAAGGAGGCCCTGGACCAACTCCCAGTACTGCCATCACCGCCCCCCTCCACAAAAAAACCACCAAGCTCTGGGCCCTTCTGATCTCGGGGGCCCTGGGCAAAGATCACAGCCCTTGAGCCCATAAGGGAGGGTGCCTGCCAGCCCTGCTCACCCCTCCACCTCGTCCAAGCCCTCAGGATACTCAGGCAGCCATCTGCCAGGCCTGTGCTTGCCCATTGGTCCTAACCTGCAGTGGGACTTCACCTCCTCCACCTGTCCCTGGGCTCCCTTCAGGCTGTGACTCCCAGGTCCTCAGCACTCTTCTCCAAGGCAGGGCGTCCACTGTGGCTACCAGGGCAGGACTGCCATAGGGCAAGCCCCTCCCTTAGGCTCCAAAACAAAAAGGCAGTGAGGTGTATATGTACCTGATGTGGTGCTATCAAAAATAAAATATAATCCAGGATGACAAAACATGGAAGTTTGGCACTAGCGCCCCTGACTTCTTTCCTCGTCTGGCTCTGAGACTGCTTGGGAAGATTGCTTGGTGTCTTGCCTTTATTTAAATTTTAACATTTCATTTGTCCTGGTTTTTTTCATTGTGATGTTATAGAAAATTGCATCAAAATAGCATTTTCTTGATTAGTGAGTGTCCTGGCCTCCCCTTAAAATTGCTGTCTAGCAGCTAGCCATGGGCCCCCTCTGCCCAGGCCGGGTGGCAGAGAGGATGTTGAGAGTGACAGGGCTATGACAATGACAATCACTGCTAATGGTACCAAGGTCTATGGGCCAAATGCTGTCCTCCTCCCTCCCCCACTTCCCTCTGTTCGGCAAATGTAGCATTCCTACTATTTGTGCAGCGAGTGACTATTCTAGAGCCAGGATTCAGCAGACACCAACACACCTCTCTGTGCCCCACAGAAGCTGCCTTCCATGTGGGGACAGGGATGGAAAAGTGACAGGGATCACTGTGTATAACTGCAGAACCAAAAGACAATTGAGGAGCAGGGGTTGCACTATGTCCCTGTCACCCCAACCCCAGAGGAAGGGAGTCGGATTAGCCCCTTTGTCTAGCTGGGGAAACTGAGGCCAGGAAGTGGCAGAACTGGATCCTCAGGGCACAGGCCGGTGTCAGAGGCTTTATTCCTGGGAGTGGGAAGTGTGAGATGGAATCCAGGCGGAAGGAGGGAGCCAAGCACTCTCTGCACTTTAAGCAGATGCCACAGAGGGCTTCTCCCTAGGGACAAGGCCAGGCTGGCTCTTTCAGGGGTCACTGGTTCCTCCTTCAGGGACTGAGCCCCAGGGTGGGGCCTGGCTGGTGGGGCAGCCTGGGAGAGGCCCACCCAGTGCCCCCTGGTGGCCGTCCAGCAGAGGCCCTTTAAGGCGGCCCAGGGGCAAGTCCACTCACCCAGGGGCCCCTGCTGACTCACGCTTACGAAAGTGATTGCCCTGGCCCCGCCTTGCCTCCGCCTCCTCCTCCCGCCCTGAAATACCCTGGCTTCCCCTTGCTCCCTCAGCCTCTGGGATCTCCACGGGTAATGGGCGTCCTGCTCCTGCCACGGGCACCGAGATCCCAGCCCTCTGGTCCTCCGAGAGCCTGACCAGGCCAGGTTCCTGTCTCCCTCCACCCACTGCCTGTCAGGTGAGTGGCCTGGGCAGGGCTGCGGGTGGCGGGAGATGGTGGCCCAGCAGGCAGGGGTGGCCGGCTGCCCAAGAGAGCCAGCGGGGTCCCTGCAGTCCTGAGCAGAGGCCCAGCAGGAATTCTCCCCAGCCCAGGTGCCTCCCGGGCTCCTCCTGACCCTCCCCGTGTCCAGGTACCTGGGCACAAGTCCCAGCACACCTTGGCCCACACAACAGCGGCTCTTGGCAGGAAAGAGGTGTGGCCAGTCAGGCTTTCAGCCAGGCTTCCCAAAGCCGCCAGGTCCTGCAGCCAGGCTAGGTGCTTCCTGTGGGTCCTGCCGCTCCTGCTTAGTGAGGACAGAGCTCACAGGGGTCCCAGGGACTCAGCTCCTCACAGAAGGGTGCAGGGAAGAGGGGTGGGCTCCAGGAAGGTGGGAGAACTGCCGTGCCCTGAGGCTCCAGGTTGGCGGCAAGGGTTTGGGTGAGAGTTCGCCTAGGTGACTAATGGCAGGTAGCGCTTGGACTGACTGTATGTATACATCTCATGCCCTGGGGCCTCAGATCACTTTGTTGGTGTCACTGTTATCGGCTGCTTTCCTTGGAGGGGACTGAATGGTGTTCGACAGGCGTCAAGGGGCAGAGCCAGGCTGCTCGAGCGTGGTCTTGGACATTCCTGGTGGCCTCAGGCAAGATGCCACCTCCTCCTGACCTCAGCTTCTTTCACTGCACCATGGGGATAAGAAAACCCAACTCCCAGGGTGTCTTAAGTCAAATGGGTAAAGGGCCACCAGAGGAGCCCAATAAACACAGCCACATGGTACCCTGTCTGCCCACAGCTGGAAACTTTTGTGACCTCAGAACCACTGATGCCACCAATGGGGCCGTCACTGGACGTGCACCTGCTTCCCTTTCTTTCCTGATTTGCGTTTGTGAAATTTGACCCATCAACTTTTAATGTTAACTCTTTCCCTCAGCATCTGCCAACCAGAGGGTCTTAAAAAAAAAAGTTAGCATTAAAAGTTAGCATTCCAACACCATGAAACTCAACACACAGGGAACTGCAATAATGAGAAGCTGACTTGTTACATAAGTTTGCAGTGTGCATTTGTCAGCTCTTTATTGATGTAGACTTGGGGACATTCTGTATCACTCTGCACAGGAAGTGACCTCTGGGGTGCAGCTCTGGGTGATGACCTCATGTGTGTGGCATCCAGAAGCTTCTGCTCAGGCATCTGTAGGTTCCCCCCCCCCCCAGGTCAGGGAGGGACTTGGACTTGGAGTGTCCCCTGCACAGGGACAGGGTGATCAGTTTCTAGCCACCTCTGTGGACAGGGGTTCCTGCAAGCACCTTCTTCACTGAGAAGGGAGGGGGAATACAAAGAAAAAGGGAGGTGGGCACCCCGGGCACACGTAACAGTTGGCACACTCATCTGAGGAGGGTTTGGAGTGTCTAGGTGGGTTCAACTCACAGAGGTCAAATTTCACCCACTGTCTCTGAAACCTCAAGGGTGTGACTTTACCTCTGAGCCTCAGTTTCCTCATCTGAGAAGTGGGTTGTTGTGAGGATTGACGAATAGAAAGCTTTCTATAAGGAAATCACATACATCCCTGTAGCTGTTGTTCCTGGGGGCAGAGCAGACAGGAGTGAGGAGTCCCTAGCCATTTGCAGGTGCCCTGAGAGGGGGACACCCTCTGGGCACTGCAGGCCTGGTTGCCAAAACTCTGGGCAATGCCAGTGACAATGGGTAGTGATAAACTATCCCTCCAACCAGAACATTGTATCAGCAGCTGCCCCAGCCTCCCTTCCTGCTGCCAGCTCTGGGACAGGGCAGCAGAGCCAGCACACCAGATGCACAGGCTGCACAGTCAGCCTGGCCGAGAGGAATCCCTGGCAGGAGCCGTCACAGCTCTAGGGTGGCAGGGAGGGTACAGAGCAGGCTCTGGAGTAAGGTGGCCTGGCTCAAGCCCAGCTGGCCCACGAGAACGAGAGCAAAGTCCTTGCAAACTGTATAAAGGGCTGTGTGAAGCTCTCTGGGCCTCAGTTTCTCTGTCTGTAAAATGGGAATGACTGGAGAGAGTTTATAGCTTACAGACCATGTGTGTAAAGTGTTTGGAACATTCCTGGCACCCGGCCAGCCCCAGCCCCAGCCCCACGGAAGTATGGAAATGGTAGTCTTTTATGGTTGTTCTTAGTACTGGTGGTGTCACCCAAAAATCCTCCCCAAAGGCAGACAGCAGAGGGCCCTGCGTGGAGACCACCTGACACCAGCAGGAAGCCACATGTCTTCTCCCTCTAGGAGGTCTCAGATGCTGGGGAAATGGGGCCGAGGACAGGACAGGGAGGCTGTCCTGCCAGCTGAGCCCAACCCGTTCTTGGGTAGCTGAGAGCACCGAGCCCACTATGGGGCACTGGACACCTCCTCTGCCCTCAGAGCGAGGCTTGCCTGATGGTGGGCCGCTGGTGCTGTGTCGCTGCACACATCAGAGCCACCACTGGCCTCAGCTGGATCTGTCATTCTGTGAAGAAGGTGCAGAAAGGCGCCTTGCTGGCCTGCTGTCCCTGCTACAGAAGTCACCCAAAGCTCTGCTTCACCGCCTCCTGTGGAAGCTTCTGGAGGCTGTAGCCCTGAGTCCCACCCTGTCCACAACGGGCAGCCTGGCCCTGTGCCCACTCCCCACCCACTCGCCACTGTACAAGCCCGTGAGGAGCGCAGGTGTGGGTCTCAGCTTGGTAAGCCCTGGGGTTAAAGGTCAGCTGCCGCGCCCCCATTTCCAGTTTTTATCACAACAACAGTGCTTATCACAGGGTCAACATGGGGAAAATATGCAAAACACTGGCATATGGCAGTGTCGCCTGGAAGGCTGTGACGTGGACGGTGGGGTGAGGCTGTGGTCTGGCCTGCTGGTTGGGGATGAGGAGATGGTGGGTAGGAAGTCCCTAGGCACCAGCCGTCCTGGGGACTGTTTGAGTAATTTGGCCCTGTGGCCAGCAGGGGGCACAGGTGCTCCAGAGACCATGGGTTTCCTGGCCTTTAACCAGCCATGCTTCCAAAGTCCAAGTTCCAGCCCAGCTCTGTGCAGGCCTTGGGCAGGTGTCATGTGCACAGCACCTCACTGTGCCCCTTGACAGCCTTCCCAGGTGGGGACTCTCCTTGTTCCCATTTTGCTGAGGCACAGAGAACTCCTGGAACAGACCCACTGTCACCAGCTTAGCAGGCCCCTGTCCCCTCCAGGCTGCACTGAAAGGCTTGGGGACCAGGGGGCGTCTGGGGCTGTGGTCCCCATGGGAGTCCTGCCTTGCCACTGAGTGGAGAGAGAAGGCCTCACAAGGAGAGAGAGGACCGGCTAGGGGTGTTGCTCGGGCCCAAATGAAGCGAGGAGGGAAGGGAGAGACTGACCAGATGGAGACTGCAGGGCCAGGCCTGAGTAGGGGAGGGTGACAGGAAGTCAGACAGGCCTGTGGGGCATGGAGGACGGTGAGGAGGGGAAGGGGGCTCCTCAAGCTCCACCAGAGGCCACCCTGTAGCTGGGAAGTGTCTAAGTGACCCCACACCTCACCTCAGGGCCCTTCCCCTCCTCAGCCCCCAGGCCAGCTGCCGCCCCAGCCATGACCTCCCAGAAGAAATACCACCTGAGGACCAGCAGCTCGGAGCCCCTCCCAGTCATCATCATCGGTGAGTGTCACACCAGGTAGGGGGGCAGGAGGCACTGAGTGCCTGCCAGGGTCTGAGGTCAGCAGCTGGGCAAGGCCAAGCCTGGCCTCTTGACAGGTGTTGTGTTTGACTTAAGCCACTGAGCACTCACTAGCTATGTGGCTGAGCACAGGGCTCGGGAAATCATAAAACATTATCTCACCTGGTTGGTCCACAGGCAGGAAGCAGCAGCAGAAAGATGAGAGGTTACAGGGCAGGGGCTTGTCCTGAGTCACAGACACCCCGTGCCTGGCACCATGCTAGACGCCAGGGCACCTGGTTCCTGCCCACAGGTCTGGGGACAGCCACCCCAGAAAGCAGGCATCAGGATGAACCACATGACGTGGACATTTTCCATCAAAAACAGACGGGTATCTGTAATTTGTGTGGTTCCTAGCAGTGTTCCACACATGGGTAATACTCTGAACAGGACATGATAAGAAGAGGGGAAAAGATAAAATAAGCGATATCATGGGGCTGGGCCTGATTAATTGGCCAGATAAGACATGCTACCAAGGGGCAGCTCCGAAATCAGAGGCTTTAGCTTCTCGTGCACTCCCCTAGGGCCCCCCAGGTCGCCCCCAGGGCGCAAAGCAACCTGTACTAAGATCACCCCTCCACGTGACTGAGCAGAGTGTCAGCTGTAGTGCCTAGTGACTTCAGAACCTCGGGGTCACTGCCATGGGTTCCCTCTGCCTGCGTGTGAAGCCCTGTTCATTTATTTACCAGGCAAGTTACTGAATCCCTCTGAGCCCTGCATGCCTCAAGTATAAAAAGAGAAGCAGATGACATTTTCCCTCCTCAATAAAGTTGTCATGGTGGCATTAAAGGCTCTTTGTACAACACTGTACACAGTAAGCACTCAGCAGTTGCTCAATGTTTCTCCTTGATCATTATCACCACAGAGCTTAATAGATACTTTGTGTTTATTTTTATGGACAAAGACTAAAGGAATGACTGAGTCAGAGCAAGACCAAGTTCTTGGGGTGCTGCTCCCCACCCCCGCTAGGCTGCCCCTCTGACGCCCGTGTCTCCATAGGCAATGGTCCCTCGGGCATCTGCTTGTCCTATCTACTGTCGGGTCACACTCCCTATGTGAGGCCAGATGCTGTCCACCCACACCCGCTGCTGCAAAGGAAGCTTGCCGAGGCCCCAGCCGTCTCCATCCTGGACCAGGTGGGCCCGCCTTGGATGGTCGGAGCTGCAGGGGGTGGGGGCGGGAGAGCAAGCCCCACTCTCCGGGGCTACCCCAGCTTCCCCAGGGAAGCTGAAGGATGTGTTCACTGGAAGCCAGACAGGCCCAGAAAGGGGTGGGGTGGGGGGAATCCACCAAGTCAGCCCAGACCAGGAAAGAGAAATACAGCTGTCATTTGGGACCCACAAATACCATGTCACTGCATCACGGTGACCTAGACCAGTGGTTTTCAAGAAGGAAACATATAGCCCCCAGGGAACCCTCCACAGTGTCTAGAGATGGGCTTGGTGTCCCAGCGGGCAGTGGCACTACTAGACATAGGGGATGGAGGCTGGGGACACTGAAACATCCCACAATCTCATTCTGGCCACACACAACAGAGGACCCGGCCCCACCTCAGCAGTGCTCTGGCACTGCCTGGCTGGATGCCTCAGTTCTTCCCTTCTCCCACAGCTCCAGGAAGCCATCCTCGTCCATCACCCCTCAGGCAGAGTCTCTACTCCTGCGCCCCCCACACACACACCCCCAAGCTGGGGATGAGGACAAAGATGCAGGCCATTCTGTCCAAATCCATGGCTTTCAGAGTACCTTCTATAGAACGCTATTCGTGGTATCACGTGCAGAGAAAACAGTCCCACTCCAGGAAATCTGGGAGGCACTGCTTTGGTAAACTTTGGGTGTGGGCACGCGTGCTGCTTTAAGAACAACCTTTCCCATGCGTACCTGACTGCCCTAATATCAGGGCAGGGATGCAGCACCAGGTAACCACTCAAGTCCCTACAAAGCTTTCCCATTCAGCCTGTGCTACCAGGCTCTTGGGTTCCTGGAGAGACCAACAGTGAGAGCCTCAGCAGCCCCCAGTGCAGATGAAACCAGGTCACCCAGTGTGAGGCTCCACTGACCTGTGCCTCCTCTCCAGGACCTGGATTACCTGTCCGAAGGCCTTGAAGGCCGGTGCCAGAGCCCTGTGGCCCTGCTCTTCGACGCCCTCCTGCGCCCAGACACAGACTTTGGGGGCAACCTGGATTCCGTCCTCACCTGGAGGCTCCAGAAGGAGCGAGCCATCCCCCATGTGGTCCTGGGCCGGAACCTCCCCGGGGGAGCCTGGCATGTGAGTGGGGGCAGGGAGGGGCCAGAACTGCTCACTAACTTCTAAGCCCCTTTTCCTTCTGCATCTCCTCTTCCCCTCCTTCCCACTCCATTCGCCCCAGCTTGGGCCTCCCTGTCCTCCAGTCACGAGGAGGGGTGTGGGCTGGCCAGGCCTGGACCTAAGTCCCCCTTCCCACGCAGTCCATTGAAGGCTCCATGGTGACCCTGAGCCAAGGCCAGTGGATGGGGCTGCCGGACCTGCAGGTCAAGGACTGGATGAGGAAGAAATGCAGGTGAGGCTAGAGTGGGGTCTTCCCTGCCACCCCTGCCCCCCGGTTCAGCAAATACTCAACTGTGTCCCGTGCCAAAAACACACAACTGGCCCGCTCCGGGCCCTTACGGCCCTGCCACTGGACCTAACCCTCGCCAGCACTGTAACTCTTTCCAACGTGTCTTTGTTATCAACAACCCTGCAGGCTGCTTCTCCAACACTTTAACAAAAACCTAGAGAAGGGAAACAACAGGCCCTCATTGTGTTGTTGTTCCTGTCCTGGGCAGCCTGGTGGCCTGGGTGCCATCTGACCCCATGTCAGATGGTGGTGCTCAGCCAAAGTGCATCTTTAGCGGCATGTCCCGACCCTGGGCAAGCGAGGCCACCTAGGGTTACACAGGGAGGTACTGATATCATGCCAAAGCCTGAGCCACCCACCAGCATCACTGCCCTGCAGCCAGTACCCCGAGAAAGGGTGGGCACAGCAGTAAAAGTAACAACGGGCATGATAAAACAGTCTGCCGTTCCTATGGGGTCAGGGGACTCCACTAAGCGTATCCACAGGAGATTTCCAATCCACTTTTTGATTGAAATACAGAATAGTGCACAGCTCACGTGGGTGCTGGCTGAGGAAGCATCTCACAAGAAACCAGGGGCCGGAGCCAATGCCCTCCCTGAGTGCCAGCCACCCTTCCCATGTGCCAAAAAGAGCCCTGGTCTTGACTTCTGACTGCATGGCTTGTTTTTTTCTGTTCCCGAATATTACAGAAATGGGATCACACCACATTCCCATAGGATGTTCTTTAACCCTTTGAGGTCATAATATGGTGACCTTATCTGTCACCTGCCACCAGTGAGACTCAAGTGTAGGCACTTAGTTTGCACCAGTGTTTTAAGTCCTTATGAAATGCTCCTGCCACTGTCACCACCCTATCTCACAGATGAGGAAACTGAGGCATGTGTTCACAGGCACACAGCTCAGCAGCAGCAGAGCCAGCAGCAGAGCTAGGGAGTTGACCCTGGGGGTCATGCTTGGTCCACCCCACCCGGCTAGCCAGCAGAGGTGCCTTGTCAGCTCCATTTACACAAAGGGATGCAGATGAGGTTAAACCACAGCCAGGCCTGCAGTCAGTGGAGCCAGGGCTGCTGTCCTGCTCCGTTATTCCGTCCCCCAGACCCTTCTCTGACACCCACCCCCTGCATCCTCCCCACAGAGGTCTTCGTAACAGCCGGGCCACAGCTGGGGACATCGCCCACTACTACAGGGACTACGTGATCAAGAAGGGTCTAAGCCACAACTTTGTGTGTGGCGCTGTGGTCACAGCCGTGGAGTGGGGGGCACACAAGCATAGTGGTCCCCTCTTCCAGGTGAGCGGTTTCCTGACCGCAAAGGACCAGAGCCAACAGCCCTTCACGCTGTGGGCACGCAACGTGGTCCTGGCCACAGGCACCTTCGACAGCCCAGCTCGGCTGGGCATCCCTGGGGAAGGCCTGCCTTTCGTCCACCACGGTCTGTCGGCCCTGGAGGCAGCTGTGCGGGAGGGCACGGTGACCTCTGCCTCCGACCCTGTCCTCATCATCGGTGCGGGACTGTCAGCGGCCGACGCGGTCCTCTACACCCGCCACTACAACATCCCTGTGATCCACGCCTTCCGCCGGCCTGTGGACGACCCCGGCCTGGTGTTCAACCAACTGCCCAAGGTGCTGTACCCTGAGTACCACAAGGTACTCCAGATGATGCGGGAGCAGTCCATCCTGTCGCCCAGCCCCTACGAGGGCTACCGCAGCCTTCCGGAGCACCAACCGTTGCTCTTCAAGGAAGACCACCAGGCTGTGTTCCGAGACCCAAGGGGCAACGAGCAGGTGTTCGGCACCTCCCTAGTGCTGGTCCTCATCGGCTCGCACCCTGACCTCTCCTTCCTCCCGGGGGCAGGCGCCGACCTGGCCATGGACCCCGAGCAGCCACTGAGCGCCAAGAGGAACCCCATCGATGTGGACCCCTTTACCTACCAGACCACCCGCCAGGAGGGCTTGTACGCTGTGGGGCCACTGGCCGGGGACAACTTTGTGCGGTTCGTGCAGGGTGGGGCCCTGGCTGTGGCTGGCTCCCTGATGAGGAAAGCCACCAGGAAGCCACCCTAGTGTCAGCCTGACGTTTTGACACCCAGACCCCAGAGAGGAGGGAGAGCATCAAAGCCCTGCTGGACACAGGGCCCATGGAGGCCACCCCTGCAAGGGAAAAGCCTCTGCTGGCAAGAGACTGGGTGATGTGAGCCCCCACTATAGGGCAGTGGAGAGGTGTGGGGAGCGCAGGTCACACCACGTTCAGCCAAACAAGGCCGGAGGTCGGAGCAGCAGCCGCAGGCCAGGGTGGGCCTGGGGCCTGGAGCGGGGGAAGCTGCCAGTGTGAGCTGGGATCACAGGGGCCAGCTGAGCGCCCCACCAGGAGGCCCTGAGGTACCAAATAAAACCAGTGTCTGCCCTCCACTGTTGCGTGAGACCTCTGCTTGGGCAGGGCGGGTAACCCAACCAGGCTGGGGTCTGAGACACAGGGTGGGTCCCCAAATGGGGGAAGGCTGAGGGAGCAGCTATGCTGGACTTGGGGAGGGTTTGTGCAGGGAACGGTGCTCAGAAAGATGGCTGCCATGAAGTCCTGAGTTCAAACCCCAGATCCACCAAAAACAAACAAAAAAGTATAATGCCAGAAAGATGGCTGCACCCCTGCCTATCCTCCAGCCCATTCGCACCTGGCTGCCTCTGCTCCAGCCACAGCTCCTCTCTGCCTGCTGCAGGACCCTTACACGGGCTGTCACCTTCCTAACTCCTCTGCCTTCAAATCTCTCCGCGTAAGAACCACTTCCTCTAGCAGCCTCTTCTCACACGAGCCCCGGTGCCATCAGGGCAAATGCCCCCTCAGGGCCCAGGCTCATCAGCCTTAATTCTTCCTTTATTCGTGTCACCATTTCAGCGTCTGGTTTCACCACCTGGATGTAAGGTCCAGGCCAAGGACCGGGTTACTGGAACCCAGGGCCGAGCACCAGGCCTGGCGCCGGGCGGGCTCTCCTTAACCGACCCTTTATAAAGTTCACGAGGTGGAGTGCGGAGGAGGAAGGCATGGCGGGTCCGGGGCGTTGTGTAACCCGGGCCATGTCCGAGAGCGCGCGCTCACGGAGCGGAGGTGGAGGAGCGGAGGTGGCGCTCCGAAGCAACGGAGGGGGAGCCGGGCATCCGCGGAGCGTGGGCGCCGGTCCCTGGAGCCGCAGCCAGCAGAGGGCGCTGCGGGCTCGCTGGACACCAGCGCTTCGGCCCCTGCAACAGCGCCGCGGCGGGGGGCGCGGGGCGGCGGGGGGGGGACCTGCAGGGGCAGTGGGACGCTTTCGGGGGGCAGCACCCAGAGACGCCCCCCCGACCCATGGGGGGCGGTCCCGCCCCGTCCGGGCCAGGGTCCGGCCCGCAGGCCCCGCGCCCTGGCGGATGGGTGGGCGCCCCCCTCCCCCAGCAGCAGCCTTGCGAGGCCGGCGGAGTGGGGGCGGCGGGTGGCGAGCACGTGGCTCGGGGTCCGGGCGGAGCCCCCCCGCCCCCGTTCCCCGGGCGTCCCCGCGGTGTCCGCGGCCGCGGGGCCGGACGGGGAGGCGGGGCGGCGCGGGCGCGGGCGGCGCCGGGGAGGGGTCGCGCGGGGGCGGTGCGGCCGGCCGGGCGGGGTCGGCGGGCTTCCGGGCGGCGGCGGCGGCGGCGGCGGCGGGCGCGGCGCGATGTGCGAGCGGGCGGCGCGCCTGTGCAGGGCCGGCGCGCACAGGCTGCTCCGGGAGCCGCCGCCGCAGGGCCGGGCGCTGGGCGGGCTGCTGCGCTGGGTGGGCGCCAGGATGGGCGAACCCCGGGCGCCACTGGCCCCCGAGGCCCCCGCCCCTGCCGCTGACCCCGGCCCCGCTCCCGCCGCCCTGCGCGGGGGCACCGCCGTCATCCTGGACGTGAGTACGCGCCGGCCGGGACCCCAGACCCCTCCTCCCGGCGGGGACCCCACCGCCGCCCCATCCCCACTGGGCAGGGGACCCCGGCCCCCCTCACCCCGCGGCCGAGCAGGACCCTTCCCCGACCCTCCGCGTGTTGGACCGCGAGCCCCAGCCCCATCGTGGGGCTCCCCCACCCCCGTGCTGCCTCCTTCGTCCCAGACCCGGATGTCTCCTCTCCGACACCTCCCTCCACTTCTCGGGATCTCCGCCATCCCAGAGCCCGGACCCTTGCGCCCCTGGACCCGCTGTTCCCTGTTTTTGTTCCAACCAACCCCCTTCTCTTTACACCCCGGGAACAGGAGCCCCTGGCCACCACCAGTTCCCTCTCTACCTGGATTCCTACCTGGACTGATACTTTTCTAAGACTACCAACAACCCCCTGCTACTCCCCCCATTCTTTCTTCTAGATCCTGTTCCCATCTGCGGAGATCCTCTGCCCTACTTCCTTTCCATAGAGTCAGAACCATCGCCGTGAACCCCAATGGAGCCTAGACCCCCTGAGCCCATTCTGAGCCCCCTGTCCTCCATTCCCTTTCCTACCACCCTCCCCTCCAAGAATTCTGTCCTCTCCGTGGACCCCAGACTCAGCCCTCACCCCTTCCTAGTTCCTCACCCACCCAAACCACCGCCCCCCCCCCACCCCGGGAAGCCCGTTTCACTCTCCCACCCAGGGTGGGGACTTGGAGACAGAAGACTTCTCCCGATAAAGCCAGTGGCACAGGTGGAGAGACCTGGGGGCATGCAGGGTCCTGTGTGTCTAAGGGGGCGTTGTGTGTTGTGGGTTTCTGAGAGCGTTGTGATATGTTTTTGAGAGTGTACAAGAGTGCATCGTGTGGCACGCATCCCTGCAAGTGTCGGGCTGGATTTCCTATCTCCCCCCTCCCTTCCCATCCTCCATCTCAGAACCCATAGGTGGGTGAAGGGGCAAGCTCTAGTGCCCCAGGCAGGCACCCGGTGTGCACGCACGGGTGATTGCGCACACACACACACACACACAGCCGATGCACAGTGGCACTCCCCCAGGACCTGGCAGTGCTCAAGCTGAAAGTCCCAGGTGGAGGCCACAGTTCAGCCCACCTTGCAGGGAAGCCCTGTCCAGCCCCTCCTGCCTCCTGGCTTGCTGGCTAGTAGTGTGGGCGTGGAACCTCCCTTTCCTTATCTACAGAGTGGGATGAAGAGCCAGGATTTGGGGGTGCTCATGGCCACTCTCGGCAGATGTTGCCTGTGTCAGCCATTTGTTTAACACCCAGGACCTGGGGACTCCTAGGCCAGGACTGCAGTACCTCAGAAGGTGGGCAGTCCTCCCTGAACCTTGCTTCCGGTCTGCCTCACCCTAGAGGCCACTCATGTCCTTCTCCTGATGGGATGGTGCAGGGGGCAGGGCCATCTGTGCTTTGGCCCAGGAACACAATTCTCCTGGCTGCCACCCGACCTCCCTGGTGTCTGGGGAAACACAGGAGCTCTGGCATGCTGCTGCCCTGCCCCCGGGCCTCAGTTTCCTCAGTTTACTGGGGTACAGTTTCCCCATACCTTTAATCCTTCTCAGTCTTCATTGTGCTGGTGCATCAGTCCCTGGGGATTCAGTTCAAAGGCAAGTTGTGACTCTGTGGGCCCAGGGGTGGTCCTTGGGTGGGGCAGATGTCACCTGAACCTTGAACTCGCTTCTGTGAGTTGCTAAGTCTTAGGGCACAGGTGTAGACTCTGCTACAACAGGAGACCGTATACACACTAACCCCAGGGTCTGCCCAGAGCAGTGAATCCAGGGTGTGCCAGGACTGAGGGGCATTCAGAAGCCCGGGATCCAGTGATCAAGACCATTGCCTAAGCCCTGGGTGACACCTCCTGCCACCAGCCTGACCTCAAGGGCCAGGATGTCAGTGGAAAGTCCTGAGTAGAAATCAGCTGGTCTCCAAGTTCAGGCTGGGGGCTTGAGCTGTCGTCTCTCCCGTCCCCATTGGTGGAGCCATACCTTCCCTGCCTGCCTGCCTCTCTCCCACCCATTCTGCCTGTGGCTGGTCTGGTTGCCAGGCCTCCAGGACACTCTTCAGATGGGACCCCACCTCCCTGGAGAAGCATCAAGGGGTCTGGAAAGCCCATGATGGAGAGTGCTGGGACTGTCCACGGGCCAGTGCTTCCAAGGGTAGCTGTGTCTCACTGAGCATCAGCAGTGGGGGACCACATGGACTGATGAGTGGACGTGCACCTGCTGGGATGCACAGGGGTGTGTGTGAGTGTGCCGCACGCGTGTGTGTGTCAGAAGTGTGGGCAGGCTGGTGGCGCAGAGTGAGAGGGGCGGCTGCTTCCGAGGCAGTGTGGGGAGGGCCTGCACCAGCAGCATCTTCCCCACCCCAGATCCCAGCCCCAGGGTCTCCTCCCCAGGGAAGCTCAGCCTTCCTAGACCCTGCTGAGCTGCCCTAGTGGAGGAGTGGGATCCCAGTGTCAGGTCCGTTGTCGCTGGCTGAAAGCACCTGTTCTGGCCCCAGCTCAGTGCTGACTTCACCTCTCCTCTCTGCAGATTTTCCGCCGGGCAGACAAAAATGGTGAGTTTCCTCCCAGACTTCCCACTGAGTGCCGATGGTGCTCCCTGTCCTGATGCTTTGTGGGAAAGGGTTGGGTAGGAGACACAGACAACAGCGAACCTGAAGGTTAAGGGCACAAAACCAGGAAGTCAGAGGGCCGTGTTCTGGTGCTGCTCTGTGCCTCAGTTTCCCTGACTGTAACCGGGATCATAATGTCTCTGCTGTGTAGTGCCCAGGGCTTTGGGAAAGGCCGTGGAGAAGATACAGGTGACAGACACTTGTAAACAGAATCAGGGAGCACTCATGCAGTGCCACCTGGGCTGGGGAAGGGCAAGAAACAGGTTGTGCTGCCTGCCCCAGAGGTCCCAGTTCCTCTCCTGTGCGGACTCGAGCTCATGGAGGCACTCTGGCCTTGTCCCTGGGAGTTACTGTTGACTGGCCCTGGTGGCCGTTGGGAATGGCAGGGCAAAGCCACAGGTCCGGGCTGGAGTTGGTCTGCGGGGGAACCCTTGGCCTCGTGGGAGGTAATGAGCCTCCCAGCCCCAGGGTGGAGGAGAGGGGACTGTGGGGATAAGAGTGGGCTGGAGAGATGATTGTGGCATTGTGGCCTGCAGAGCCTTTTAGGCAGGTCCCCTGACCAGGGTACCTGGAGTCTCAGTGTGCAGTGGGCCTAAGGCCTCATAGCGACTGCCCCGTGCAGTCTCAGTTGCTCCAGGTTGGGAGGTCTTTTGTGAGTAGGTACTTGGACTTGTCCCTGTCTTCGGTAAAAGTCTGTCAGGGTGTTCCACTGGTGACAGCAAGGCTGCAGCGTGGCTGTTTTCAGGTGAGGCCATGCTGCATGCATCTGTGTGCCTGTGATCTCTGCAGAGCGTGCACAGCACCGGTGGGCTCTGCACTGCCACTGTACACATGTCCTGAGAGTGCGTGTGTGTCTTTCGATTCTGCAGGAATCCTGCAGTGTGTGCATGGGTGTTGCCCTGATCCCCTACCAGGCACACATGTGGCATGCTTTTGCTGCACCTCCACTCCATCAAAGGCCATGTCTCCACCCCCTAAGTACAGCTGCAGGGACCCCCAGTTTCATTCCTGCAGCTCCCACAGAGGCTAAGCTGCTCCTCCTCCCTGGGCCTTATGTCTTCCCTGCCCCTGCTGTGTGGCCGTGGGGGACTGTCACCAGGGTTAATGTGGGAGTGAGATGCTGGTTCCAGTGGGAGCCGTGGGCTGGGCCCCTCCTCTGCCTCCTGTAGGGACAGGGCAGCCCTACTGCCTGGGTTCATGTCAACAACTCAACCACATAGAGCCAGGTAAGTCACCAAGCCCTCCAGTCCTCTGGTTCCCTGTCTGTAACGGGGATAACAGCTCCCATCGCCAAGGGCTGTCTGGGCAGCAGGGCTTCAGGCTCATTATAGGGAATGAACAAGTCTCACCCAGCTGACAGCCTTGGAGAGGCAGGCCGTGGGCACGGCTTGTCAACAGTGTCTGATGGTCACCTGTGCTCGAGCCTGCCCGTAGTCACTGAGTCCCTGTTGTGCACCAAGACTTCTTGAATCTACCGCTCCTCCTTTTCCAGCTGACAAAGCAAGGCTGGGAGTGGGTGATGATGTTCTCCATTTGGGCAGCGAGCAAGCAGGGCTCTAATTCAACACTGCAGGTTAAAAACAAGCTGTGGGAGGGGGCGGCTGTGGAAGTAGGTATTTGTGCAGGCATGGAACAGGTGTGCACCTAGTGTGGGTGGAGCTGCAGAGACATTTACACAAAAGCACACCCGGGATTGTTGAATGGGAGCCCATGTGTCCACAGATGGATAGGTAGATGTCTGGGCAGAGTGGGAGATGGGTGTGTGGTCCCCTGGGTCCTTGGTTGCGGGTGGGAGGGGCATGGGCCCGGAAGATTGCAGGAGCAAGGACCTGGGGCCAGGCCTGTTGAGGGGCTCCTGTGACAAGAAACTAGCTTGGCTAGTGACGCCAGGCAGCCGGTCACCTGGGGAAGGCTAGACTGAGGAGCTGTCAGCCTGGGGCATCACCCCAGAAGGGTGGCAGCTAACAGAGGGGTAAGGGCCAGCCATCATTTCCCTCCAGGGATGTGACACTCATAGGCGGTTGGCATTTCCAAGGTCACTGCAGCGATCAGGGCTGGGTGCTCATTAGCACAGACACCTGCAGAAGCCTCTCAGCCCTCTGGCAGAGGTGGAAGGGCCAGGCCTTCTTGGCTTGTCTAATTGGACCAGGGACTGGGTTGGGGATATTTTCTCCTCGTTAGCTGATACAGGTTCATTAGGCCTGTGGTCCACCTTCAAGGTAAATGTCAGGCAAGAAGGCTTTGTGATCAGGGAACCTGCAGACCCTCTCTGTCTGTTCTCCCTGGGTGCAGAGGAGATGGAGGTGCCAAGCCAGGACAGGCAGATGGAGGCAGCCAGAGGGAGGCTGGGACCTGCTGCTGGGATGCCCCCTGTGGTGCCTGGGAAGACATGAAGTTTATCACTCACAGCCTGCATCCACTGAGCCCAGGCTCGGCCTCAGCCTCTCCACACTGCTTAGCTACTCTAGTGACAGCCACTGACTGTCCCTCACCAAAAAGGGTGACTGTGCTGGGTAGGTGGTGTCCCCTAGGTCGGGTTGAAGGTCTGAGTTCAGGAGCCACACAGGCTGCAGCTATAGAAGTTGACTTTGAGCCCTAGCTGCTCCAAGTCTCAGTTTACCCCTGAGTGGGTGACAGTGCTGCCTGTATCAACATGTGGGACTACAGCGGGGAGTCTGAGGAAGGGACCTGCATAGTACCATGTCCTGCCCTGTGGGACAGGAATGTCCTACCTGGGTTCCAGGTCTCATGGCTGGCTGTGCACTGCTCAGGTTGGCTTGGGGTCTTGTTTGTGTGTGTGTTGGGGTTGGGGGGTGGGTTCTAAAAATTACAAATGGTTCCTCTGTGAGGCTGAAACTGAAGCCGAATGTTGGGGCACCCTGGACAATGCCCCAGCCCCCCACCATGTTCCCTCTCCCTGACCCCCACATCCTTTGTGCCTAATGGGCCCAGAGAGAGCACAGGTGGTGTGAAACCTGGCGAGGCCTGAGCTTGCCCCCTCTAGAATTTGTGCTCATGTGCTCCTTTGAGCCCAGGCAGAGGCAGAGCACTGGGCTCTTTAAGGTTTAAGAATGATTCCTGCTCTGAACGCAAGCAGGTCTGTCTTGTGTGGTTGGGTAGGTTGTGCCCTGCTCAAGCACATCCTAGCTAAGGGTCAGATTGCAGCTGCATGTACTCCCAGCCCACCTGCCCTAATGCTGGGCTTCATCTTCCCCTCCCCCGCCAGGGAGGAAGGGGCATCTCTTCGTAAGCCACTCAGGTGCCATATGGCCGAGCAGGGGTGCTGGCATTGACTGCAGACCCTGGAAGTCAGGGAAGGGTCTGTGTTGAGAGCTGTGGCCAGGAAATGTCTGTCCACCCCTTTCTCCGACCTCCACTGCCACCCACGGTCATGTTTCCCTTGAGGAGCAGGTGGGGGGAGGGGTCTGCCCAGGAGTTGCTGCTAAGCACTGGGACTCAAAGACGACCACTCCTCGAGTTCACTGTCCCTGTGGCTGCCTCTCTCTGTTGGCCCCATCTGACCGGAGTCCTTCCTGGCAGGGCCCATATGAACCCAAGACATAATGATGCATACAACAATGGCAGTTGGAGGGAGCAGGAGGGTGCGACAGAGGGACAGGAATGGGCAAGTAGGTATGCAAGGGCTGTATGGCTCCTATCACAGAGCCTCGTTCCCTCTGCACCCCAGAGCCCCAGCCCAGACAGACCTGGCACCTTCTTCCTTGTAGTTTGGCACCTTCGTATGGCCTAGGGGAAGTCACATGAAAAATTGGTACCTCTGGACAGATTGCCTGAGGGCTGCCTCTGGGAAAGGTTGCTGAAGGTTGCTGTGTGGAGGGCTTAGAGTAGAGAGAGTCTGTGCCCTCTCTCAGAGCCAGGCTTGGGAGTGATTTACTGCCAGGAGACCCCGAGGGAACAGCAGTGTGGCGAGTCACCAGACTGCCAGCTCAGATCTACCTCTTACCCTTCATTACCATCATTGGGCTACTAGATCGTAGAGCTTGCCTGCCCCAGGTGACCATCAGATGTAAATGAAGAAGCCGGCTGGCCTTTGTCAGGTGCTGGTCTTAGTGAGCCCCTCCCGTAGCCTAGCTGTGGAGTGCTTGCTGGGTTGGGTATTGCCTGTCCATCAGTGTCAGTCTGTGGAGTTGTGAGTCCGCTGCCTGAGCAGTGATCTCTCTGCCGTTGACCAGGTAACCTGGGAACAGCAGGCAGGGTGGAGTGTGGCAGGCTGGAGCTGATGGGCTGGTGAGGAGCAGAATGATGGGGGCCGTGCAGCCCTGACCTGGCTGGCCTCAGCTCCACAGACCCCAGCCGCTTCCCCTCCTTGCGCATTACAGATGACGGGAAGCTGTCCTTGGAGGAATTCCAGCTCTTCTTTGCAGATGGCGTCCTCAACGAGAAAGAGCTGGAGGATCTCTTCCACACCATCGACTCTGACAACACCAAGTGAGCCAGACCAGGGCATGGCAGGCCTCCTCCTTCTGGGCCAGCAGCAAGCCTCCATTCCCCAGTCCCCTGCAGGAGGACAAAGGGCCTGACCCTCCCCAGACTTGCTAATCCAGTCAGATCTGTTAGGACTTCACTGCCTGGGAGGCTGTCCCCAGTTTCATCTTTCCTGAGCAATGTAACTGAGCAAGGAGAGACCCTGGGTTCTGCACAGTTGCACACAGGACAGTCACAGTGGGATGTTGGCAGTGACTCTGACCTGCTATCTCACCCAGTTCTGACCCCAACCTCAACCCACTACCCTTACTTTCTAAGATTCTGTCCCTATGTTGAGCTTCACTTTCACGTGAGCCCCAATTGTTTTATTTTTTGAGACAGGGTCTCACTATGTAGCCCAGGCTGACCTCGAACTTGCAATCCTCCTGCCTCCACCTTCAGAGTGGTGGGTCACAGGTGTGCACCACCATATCTGGCTCCATTTTAAACCAAACTGTCACCAGTGGATCCCAATGCTAGCCATAGCCCCATTCTATCCCTGTATCTAGTTGAACCATTCTTCCAACCCAGTAATGACCTTGGCCTGTACCTTAGAGTCAGACAGACACCTGGTCCAGCCATCTCTAGAGCAAGTGCAAGAGCCTCATGCCGCTCATATCCATACTGGCCTTCTCAGGTCTTAACTCCTCCCCTCCCTCTCCTTCGGATCCCCTAATCAGGGGCCTCCCAAACCCTGCCTTCAGGGGCTCAGAGCCATCTGGTCCCCTGCCTCAACCCCACTCAATTTCTGGGGTGCTAGGCAGATGTGACCACTTGGGGCCCCCTGAGACTAGCTACAGATGTCTAGACAAGGAGTTGCCACCAAGCCAGTTTGCAAAGGACCTAGTACAGTGGTGGCCCAGACCGGAGGTTGGGGCTGGGTGCCCTGGGGCATAGCTGGGGACCCAGTGGAGCAGCTGGAGCTGGTCCTTGTCTGGAAGGCCACTGTGTAGAAGTGGCTTTGGGCTGCAGATGGGTGAAGGACATTGTCACTAGGACAATGTCAGATGAAGGTTTCTGAGTTGCTTCTGCAGCCTCCAGGAGTTTTGAAAGCCAAGGTAAAATGGCCATGGAGTTTTTTATTCTCACCAGACATCTCTGATGTCCAACCAGTCAGGTGGAAAGGGAAGGACTCACTGCTTAGTGTAGGTCACTAAGAGTGACCCCATGAGAGTCTGGGGTGGGGTGTAGCAAGCACCCACCTTATACTAGGTCAAAACTGAAGCTTTTCAGGATTCTTCTCCAGCATTCCCCAAAGCGGGCACTGCAGACCTTAGCTCTTGGGATGCCAAAGAGGCTGTGGCCCCAAACACTCCACACAGATCAGAAGGAGCTGGGAGATTCTGGTTTAAGCTGGCAGAGTCTTGACCTCACATTTCCATGGCCACAGAAGTCTTTTCTCCTGACATGCAGTGTTGAACTCGGATCCCACAGAGTGCTGTCCTAGGCCTCCTCCCTCTTGGATGAGGGGCTGGGCCTAGAAGGGGTTGGTCATTGGTCTACCCCTGTAGCATTTGTCACCAAGGCTGTGTGTGTGTGCCTTCACTGTTGAGGGGCCATTCTCATGTCGGCCTGCTCCCTGAGAAGGGATGGCGTCCTTCCCCACTGTGGCTGTGAGGGTGCGGAGCCCAGGTAGGACAAGATGAGGAAGTGGGGTAGATGGGTTCTGACAGCCTGTAATTGTCACAGCTCCGCTGTCCAGCCCTTTCCCCTCACCTCTCCTGGGCCCTAGCTTGGCCCAGCTTGATCACATCAACTTAGGATGCGACCTGCAGACTGGGAGAGGAAACAGAAGTGGGGGTGACATGGACAGGGGGCAGAAAGACGGTCCCTGTTGCTCCCTCTTCTACGAATTGGGGCTCATGGTGTGAGAGAGGGAACACAGCAAGTGCATTACAGGAGGGGAGGCCTCTGACTGACTCTCTTTCTCTCTCTTCAGCCACGTGGACACCAAGGAGCTATGTGGTAGGTCCCAGCTATGCAGTGAGCACAATGGGGTGCAGGGATGGGACTGGGGAGAGGGCCTTGGGTGAGGGGACAGAATCCTCTGTGACCCCAACCTTTGCTTTCTCCTCCCCCAGATTATTTTGTGGACCACATGGGGGACTACGAGGATGTCTTAGCCTCCCTGGAGACCTTGAACCACTCTGTCCTGAAGGCCATGGGCTACACCAAGAAGGTCAGTGGGTGTGGGTGGTACCTCTAGGGGCCAGAGCCTGAAGTGATTCTGAATTTTTCCAGGCATCCTCGCCCAAGGATTCCTGGATTTGTGATGGTGACTGTAGAGGGTTCCCACGAGAGCAGAGACAAACTGTGGAGTGAGTGAGAAGCTTGGTGAATGGCCCTGTCCTGTTGGGTCTGGTTTGGAGCATGAGGCTGGTTCCCACAATTGAGCCTGGTCCTGGGAAGGGACCTGACAAGGGCTCCAGCCCACCCCTCACATCCTTGGCATTATACCCAACACCTCGGGTCATTCTGTGGCAATCCTACAAGACTGGAAGGGGACATCAGAGTTCATGTGTCTAAACTTGACCCAGGAGTCTGATGGGGCCCGTGTGAGAGCGTTGGGAAGGCAGGAACCATGAGCAGTAGAGCTGTGAAGCATTCTGGGAAGAGGACCTGCTGTGGTCCTCTTCAGTGTCTATCCGCAGTCCATGTGCTGGCTGAGTGAACTGAGCTGAGGGTGTCACCTCAGACCAGAGCCTTGCTTTTTCCACCTGAGTGATGGGAACTTCGTCTTCCAGTTCTTGATGGGACTGAAGGAAGCTGCTACTGGCTTGGCACAGTCCTGCACAGAGCACAGGGGCTGACAGTTTCTGTCACTAGACTCCTGCTGTGTGCCTAGTGCAGGTTAAGGCCGGTTCCCCAAGACCTTCACGGGCTGACCCCGAGCCTGCACTGAGCCACACTGCCTTTCCTGCCCTAGTTCTGGACTGTTTCGAGTCTTGCTGTAAGAGTGGCTCTCTGTAGGCATTTTACTGTCCCCAAGTCCCACAGCAGGTGGTGGGTTGACAGGGCACACTGGCAAGGTGTCAGCCCCTGCTGTGCACGACAGGCTGCGTGAGGCGCGCGGTGCACCAGAACCCCTCCTTGACCTCGCTTCTCACCTCAGAGTGGGGTCACGTCCCAGCAAGACCATTGACGCCTGCAGTGTGGCCTGTCATCTTTGCCTGTGCCATCCAGGAGCGGGCACACTCCATGGTGCGGGGTGGGGCGGGGAGCTCAGTGTCTCTCCTACTCACTGGAGATGGGGCTCTTGGAGTCTCTGTGCACCCGTGGTGCCAGGGTGGCCTCTCATGGATGTCAGGTGGTGACTGGCATTTTTTTTGTGTGCCTGCTCTCTAACCGGCTGGTTTGTAGGATGGCAGCTCGCTGGTTATTTTAAATGCTGTGTTGGGTTCTGATTTTAGTTGACCCCTTGCTCTTGCCACACAGTCGGGGTGTCCACCAGTGGGGACAGCTCTCTGCCCGCTGACGTGTGCTCCCTTTCTCCCTTGCGTGTGGCATCTCCCCCAGATTCTAAGGGCGGTGGCAGCACCAGGCACCTTGTTTTGCTCCTGATTTCCAAGTGCCTCTAACATCCCTGCATTAATCCTAATTTTAATGGCAGCTCTTATTTTAGAAACCTCTTCTGCTGGGGAAGTATTTCTGCCGTGAGTCGCCACGCGTGCCTCTGGTTTTGCTCGGGCCATCGAAGGCTTTTGCTTCAGCTGTGCGTGGGGCGGATTCTATTTTTGGGTCCTCTCTCATTGAACTACACACAGCTCCCACCATAAACCTTGTCAGAACATCGTTCTTACCATCTTGCTGGGTCCCTGTCACCAGCTGAGGCCTTGCTGTCCACTGAGTGGGGCTGAGTGGAATGTTTTCTGCGTGATTCGGCATCTCTAACATGGAAAGTTTTCTACTTAAAAGCAGGAAGAATAGGAGGGGATGATTTTCACTGGTGTCTTAGGGTCAACACTACTGTTAGCCTTTTGGGGTCGTTTTGCTTTTTATGTCCATTCTAGTGTGTGTGTATTTTTTTTTTTTTTGGAGGTACTGGGGTTTGAACTCAGGGCTTCATGCTTGCTAGGTAGGCGCTCTGCTGTTTGAACCACTCCACCAGCACCATCTTAGTATATTTTAAACAAAACTGTTCTGGGCATGTTCAGTGTTGCCAGCAGTTCTGCAAAGTGTGTTCTGAGGATTATTTGTAAAAATCTAAGACGTCATTTGAGATGAAAGAGGCTGTTAATGTAAAATAAGTACAATGAAAAGTCTACTGTTACAGCCCAGTAATTTTAAATTTGGTACTATTTCCTACTTTTTAAAGATTTGCTTGTTTTGGTTTTTTGAGACTAGGTCTCACTATGCAACCCAGGTTGGCCTTGAGTTCTCAGTCCTCCTGCCTCAGCCTCCCACAGGCTGGGTTTACAGGGTTGCACCACCATGCCTGGCTATTTCCTTCATTTTATAGTCTCATATTTGACAGAATATTGCCTGTTTTATTTCGCTGTTTCTAAAAAACAGCCGCTGGCGCTTTTACTGAAATGTCGTGTTATCTTTTCTAATTTATTTGGAGTTCTTAGTATAATTTCCTTCCTTCTTCTACCTTGGGGTTCTTGTTGCAGCTGCTCAGTTTGCCTAATAAGGAAATTTGAAATGTACAATTTTATCTTTTGATAGTGATATTTTCACAGCCCCCATAGAGTCACTCACTCCTGCCGTCCTCTGACTTGTCTCTCCGTTCTCGCTCCTGTCTCGTGCTGTGCCTGTGAGGTTGCTTCTCCATTTTTCAGAATGGAGATGTCTTCATAGCAGAGTGTTTCATTGTAACCATCTCTTGGCTACATCTGGAGCATCAGCTTTCAAAATAGTTGACTTTCTTCGTTATGAAATATATGCTGTTAAAAGGTTTTCTCCAAAGATGAAATCGTGTCTCTCTTACAGATATTAAAATGCACAAACCATAGATTTTCTTAACTCGCTAATGTGAGAAATAGTGAGCTGTCACCACTGGCTCAGGCGAGAAGTCAGCACATGCGGACACACGCACACACACACACACACACAGACACATGGACACATGGACACAGGCAACTAGGGATTCCGAAATGAATTTGTGGGAAAATGTCAAACTACTAACACCCAAGGGGCATCAGTGGTGTCTGCTGAACAGAAATCAGAGGCATTTCTGCAAATGAGAATTGCTGCATTATTACACACTCTTTCTACATTTTGCAGCCTTTTAAAAGTAGCTCCAAGCTGGAGTACCAAGTGGGAGAGCACCAGCCTGGCAGGCATGAGGCCCTGAGTCAAACCCCAGTACCACCAAAAAAATAATTAAAGTTCAAATCACTCTAATCCTAGTACCCCTGACTACTGTGAACATTTTAGTTCATTACCTTTGCACATTTTTAACGTGTATTTCTTTAATGTTTTTTCATATTCTGTTAGGTAAAATAGCAGAAAATAAGTTTTTCTAAGACTTTTCACATATTATTAAAATGGGTTAAAGCATCATTTAAAATATCACTGTTTGAATTCACCTATTTTTGTTATAGTAGGTTATTTCTAATTTTTTACTATCACACTGTAACTAGCATCCTTAGGCACATATGTTTGTTCACACTTTGCATTTAAATGGAGATTAAGGAATAGGAATAAAGTGAGCATGGTGGTGCACACCTGTAATCCCAGCACTTAGGAGGTTGAAGCAGGCAGAACATGAGTTCAAGGCCAGTGTGAGTCATTACATAGCAAGATCCTGCCTCAATATATTTTTTTAAAGTTAGGACCAGACACAGTGGCTCACATTTGTAATCCCAGCTTCTCAGGAGACAGGAGATCGCGATTTGAGGCCAGCCTGGGCAAAAACATTAGCAAGACCCTATCTGAAAATTAAACTCAGACAAAAAGGGTTGATGGTGTGACTCAAAGGACAGAGTGCCTGCCTAGCAAGTGCAACGCCCTGAGTTCAAACTACTCATAAGTAAAGAGGTAAAATAAAAATGAAATGAACAATGAGAATATAAACAGCTTAAGGCTGTGCTCTGAGCAGAGCTGCTTTATCCAGGGACTGGGTCCCTTGAGGTGCTGGTCTGTTTGCTGCAGCCTCCTCTCCCAGCCCGTGATGGTGAGTGGTGCTGTGCCTCTGTCCTCGAATTCTCGGCCTCCTTATCTGTGGTGCGTTCCCGTCAAATCCAGCCGGTCCATTCATTTGATCAGATACGGCTGCAGCACCTGAGCACAGGCGTGCTTTGTTCATCCTCTGTGTGTCTTGGTGGCGCCCGCTTGGGTCTTGCTTAATCAACTCTGGAAGCGTGTGTTTTCCGGGGGGATTCTGCTGCCTTTCTTCACTCTGAGCGTCTGTCTGGTCTGACCGCTCTGTGAGCTTTGCTCCTCGTTTTGATTCTTTCTTGGTGTCTTTTCCTTTTTCCTTGTGATGTCTGCAGTGTTCAGTTGATGACTTAGAAGGTAGAAATCCTCATTTTCACTCTCCCAGTGACTTCAGCAACATCATAGATCTTTTTAATACGATTTTTATGTTCAGCTCATAAAAACACCTTCTATGTCCTTTAGGGAAAAAGGGATTTTAAGATTTGGGGTTATTTTCCCCACAGTTTATCGACTTAATCCAGTCATTGGAAATAGGCTGTCGTGGTTAACGTTTTTATTTCCAGACCTCTGTAACCTTTGTGTTTAATTCAAGTGACCAGCGCCTACTCACACTTACAACTTCCCTATCCAAGAGTGCTTCCTATGCACTCTTTGCAGAAAAGATGTGACTCTGACAGTGAGCAGTTTACAGATTTCTCATTGTCCTCCGTTGTCCTGCTAACTGGATGCCTGCCACCGATCTGACCCTTCCCTCTGGACCCTGCAGAGCCAGTCTTGGCTGTGACATCAGTCGTGCTGAGGGAGAAATCTGTAAAAACTGTATTTTTATCTCCCTTGGAGCTAGATTGTCTTGTTTGGAATTCACTGCACCAGTCACAGTTACTGACCTCATCCTGAGTCACTGGCCTGGCTACTTGCAACCCTTCAGTTTGTTTCCCTGCCCAATCAGACCTTTACTTGGTATTTAAGTAATTAATTAATTAATTAATTTGGCACGTGTGTCTCCTTGCTGGTTTTTGCCATTCGTTTGTCTGGAGTCCGTTGATCACTGGACGTGGGTGGTTCCAGCTCTGCCAGGAAGGATAGTGAACCATTGCAATACGTCAACCTGCCAGGCCTGGGACATGTTACCTACCTGGCCTGGGTCTTGACACAAGACATCCATGCCATGCTGGTCCTTCCCTGCTCCCCACCCCATGCCCCATTCCTCGGTGCTCCCCCTCTCTCAGCCATGTTTCCACATTGTGCAATTATTGCTAATTAATTCCCAGTCAGAGTGATGGATGGTTTAATTTGCTTTCCTTGAGATCCCTGTTTTCCCTTTGCTTTGCCAGGACTGGGCAGAATTCCAAGGTGCCCGGGGCAGGTGGCTGGGGAAGGCAAAGTCTTGGCAGAGGAGGCCAGGAGGACAGCCCAGGGTTTGAGATCCAGGATTCCCCTCCCCGCCCCACTACCACAGCAGCACTGCTATCTCCTCACCCCCACTGGCCTGGATAAGCTGGGCTTCTCAGGTCTGCTCTAAAGCCTCTTGCTGCCCAAAGAATCTCGACTGAGAACCGTCAGTGTGGAAGCCTTGTGACAGGGAGGTTCTGACTCAGAGCGCAGAGCAACACTGGCAGGAAAACCCCGGTCACCCACCTTTGCCACAGGGTGGCCCAAGGTTCCTCTCCTCCTAGGGTGTGCGCAGTCTCCCTCTGATTCCTCTCAGACTCCTCTGCCCTCCTCCTGAGGACCAAGCTTCTTTTACTTTCTTTGGGGGACCCAATTTAACCTCTTAGCTGCATTTGATTCTGTTCTTTAATTCCTCTGAAGAGCAACATGAAGACCCGGAGGCCCAAGGAATTCTCATCGGAGGAGATGGGAGGGGGTGGCAGTTGTGACGGTGTCTTTCCTAATGCTTTATCTCATTACAGCAAGGAAAACACCACCACCAGTCACTGCTGACGCCACCACCATCACTACCGTCACAGACACAGGAGGCAGTAGACCCCCCATGCAAAGCACAGACACCACCCCAGGGTCCCCAGCTGCTGTGCTAACCCCACTCAACTTCTTTCCCTCGGCGCCCTCTTCCCTGCACAGGTGTACGAGAGTGGGAGCAACGTGGACCAGTTTGTGACCCGCTTCCTCCTGAAGGAGACAGCCAATCAGATCCAGTCACTGCTCAGCTCTGTGGAGAGTGCCGTGGAGGCCATCGAAGAGCAGACCAGCCAGATCGGGTGGGTGGACAGGACCCTGCAGGGTCATAGGGGGCTGTGCCATGCACGTGCAGGCCTGCTTGTGTGTGCGCCTAGCAGCTGGGGGACCTTGGCAAGTTGTACACCTCTCTGTGCCTCCATTTTGCCAGCTGTACCATCCCTAGCTCCTCAGTCACTGTGAGAACTGAGTGAGTCAGTGTACTCAGGAGAATCTCTGGCATGCACGCGTGCAGGTCATACATACGTGCAGGAAAGACGCCATTGTGAGGCCGATCCCTCTTTCCACATCCCCCATCCCACTCAGTTTATGCAGGACAAACCTACTGTCTGGACCACTTTGTAAAACTGGAAATGAGCTTAGGAAATGGTGTAGGGCCACACCAATTGGAAAGCAAGTCCCATGCCAGCAGAGGTCAGTGTGACCCACTGCCCACAGGGACCTTGAGGCCACCGCCCTCTTTGTCTGTACAAGCAGGAGGTCTGAGGCAGCGTGGACGGGGTTCTACACACACGGCTGTCTCGGGAGGGCTGAAGGAGAAGCCGGTGTGATGATTCTCACAGTGCTACTCTTTTTGAGTGGGTTTGTGGACATTCTGGGTGCACGGGAAGGCGCCCAGAGTCCCATCATTGTAGGCATTGTGTGTTTGTTGCAGAGGTGAGTCTTTCCTTGAAGCTCAGCAGGGCGGGGCTGCGGGGCACAAGCCTCCCCCCAGCCCCGCCGTGTGTTTCTCAGGGTGAGCAAAGTGCTCTCTGCCCAGAGCACCTGTGGTGCCCAGTGCAAAGAGGAAACAGGGAAGACAAACAGGTGTGAGCTGCAGCCAGGTGCCTACCCGAACTCTGCCCAGCCTTGGATTCCCTGCCGGCAGTGCAGCCGGGATGTCACTTTGTCACACAGTAGGGTTTGAGCATGTGTCATTTGGCTGGTGAGGAACCGGTCCCGTTCTGACAGCACTGGCTCCCAGATTGTGTTTGCACCAAACACCTAGAGCAGAATTGCCTGGGAGACTTCAAATGCAGATTCCTGGGCACTGGGCTGCTGTGCTGGTTCCAGGGCCCGGGAGCAGAGCCCAGAATCCTGCACCTGTGGCCAGCCTTGTGAGCCTGAGTCCTGATCACTCTGAGAGCCGACACTTAGATTTCCTTTTTGTGTGGTTTGTTTTGTTACCATCTTAGTTTAAGAACAAAGAAACCCTTGCCCTTTCTATCCTGCTGCAGACACATCACACCCAGCACTGCCAGCTCCATCCGTGGCTGCACCTGCCCATCCTCATGTGTGAATCTTACTCTGGCACATGGGTGGAGGGGGCGGCATGTCAGGATGGGAGGTACATCTGCTCCACATCCCCACCTCAGACTGCTCCAGATCTCAACAGCTTTGGCTCCCAGCCCTGCATTCCCACCCTGGAGCAGCACCCCAGGATGCTGTGTTCCAGGCATAAGCTGCTGGTTCAGACCTGGCTGCCCAAGGGGCCTCCACTCAGCCCTTCATGGTCTAAGGACACATTGAAGTTACTGCTGGTTTGTCTGGATGCTATGATTGACAGCTTAAAGACCACCAGCATCTGCCTCCCTTGGGGAACCAAGTCTGTCCCTTGACACAGGAGACAACCTGCTAAGCTTTCGGGATTCAAGGGAGTCCAGAATGTACCAAGGCAGTGGTGCTCAGAGACGGAATGGGTACTGGCCGTGCGCACAGGCGCTGTGTGCACAAGTGTTACCTCCATGCGTCTGTGCACTTGAAAACCTGCAGTCACTTTTCCAGTGCTCCTTTGCCTGTGAGGCTCTGGTTGTTCACGGAGCCTTTTGGGGTCCCTGCTTGGCACAGTCCTTGGCGGGTATGTGCATCACCCTCTAGCTAGCCATGCCTGTGCATGTGTGTGCAGGGAAAAGGTGTGTGTGGACAGGAGATGGGGGCCTGGCTGAGGTCAGGGGCACAGTTCTCTGGCCTATTACGCCCCCACCATTAGTGTCTCTGAGGGGAGGGACTCACTTTTGCAAACACAGGTCACCCACCTCAGAAGGTAACACGCAGCATACTGGCCTCTAGTGAGGCAAGGACGGGGACTTGGTACCTCCCCGGCCTGGGCTTGTCAGGTGGCAAGGAAGCTGTGAGGTATAGATGTGGTGGGGACCTGGCCCAGCTTCTTCTCAGCCCTAGAACTGAAGTTCTCAGAAACAGGGTCTGGGCTATGGAGCTGAGTTCCAGTCCCAGCTCTGCCACTGCTGGCCACATGGCCTTGACCAAGTCACCTGCCCTGGGGGCTTTGCTTCAAGGACACATTGCCCACCTTGAGGACCTGGCGTCCACAGGGCAGCTCTGTGCACTTTAAGTTCTTAAGTACTAAGTGAGTAATCGATGCTCACTGAAACTGCTCAAGGTGCCCGGGCCCTGCTGCTGCCATCATTGTCTGTGTTCCCCACTCACTGCAGACAGGACCACTGCAAACCCAGCCACGTTGTCATGGAGACCTGGTACGGAGGGCCCACTCCTCCCTATGCCCCCACCCACAAGCTCATGGCCCCGGAGCAAGGGAAGAGCCTGCTGCCTGGTGAGAGAGCAGTGGCCCAGGGTGGGAGCACTGCTGGGGGTGGGGGAGAAGGCCGGCCCTACCCACCATCAGGGTCTCTTTCTGTTTCCCAGCCACCGGGGACCCAAAGGAGGAGGGTCTGGAGGCCCAGATCGGCAGGTTGGCAGAGTTGATTGGCAGGCTGGAGAGCAAGGTAGGCCCTGCCCCGATTCTGCCTTTCTCCCTAGCCATCCCCCCAGCCTGAGAGTACAGTTAGGCTCAGGGCAGAAGTCAGGACTGCTGGGAAGGCTGTGGGAAGGACATGACCCAAGTGGTGTGTGTTGAGGAGCAGGACTAAAGAGAATGGACATGAAGGGTAGATGGTGTCTCCAGGAACAGCGTGGTCAGCAGAGGCCTGTTCTGCCAGACCCTCACTGCAAAGGAGGCGTAGGAGGTGGCCTGAGCAGGCAGAGCCCAGAAGCAGTGTTGTGGTGAGCAGGAGCCAGTGATAGTCCAGGGTAACTAGAAGCCAGGGAATGGCCAGAAGGAGAAAGTCTGTTAAGTACAAACGGCACGTCCACAGGTCATAGAAAATGGCATGACCTTTCCAGAAGTGGTTTCCAGGGATGGTTTGTGACGCAGTAGAGTATAATGTGACCATTTGAAAGAGAAAAGCTGGGGTTATGGATGGGTGGGCTGTACCATAAAACAGCCATGTAGCCTTGGGCCAGTGACATGCCCTTTCTGAGCCCCAGGCTCCTCTGATGAGGGAAGATGACCAGGACATAGCACAGCTCACAGAGGTGATGTTAAGGGTTGAATAAAATGATGTCTTAATGGCTTATCACAGAGCTTGATTCCTAGTTAGCGTTAAGTCAGCACTGTTAGCAATTGTCACCAGACATTCTGTCACCAAAATCCATGTACCGTACATACCACTCCACATACCTGTGTAAACCACTTAGCCAGCCTCAGCCCTAGCATCGCCCTAGGCTTGAACAACCCTGCTATTTTTCTGTGTTTTTTCACATCTTTTGCAAAGGGCACTAATAGAGGTGGGTTGGGGGTTCTGAGGGATTCACTGGGGTGAAAGATGGGTCCCCAGGCACTCCAGGGAGGAGGAGTCTGATTGACAGGAAGTCTGAGGGAGGACACCGACCTCTACTGCATCAAGCCAGCTGCCCTAGTGGGAGCGGCTCAGTGGGACACTGCTGCCGGGTTGTCATAACAACTCAGAGGAGGCCCCCAGGAGGGAGAGAGGGAGGCTCTTTGAAGCTTATTTTTAGCACCCTGGTCGCCCTAACAACCAGGCTGGCTGGTAACCACGGAGCACCTGAGCGCCCTGGAGATGGAGTGGGGGTGGGGGATCCCTCCTCTGCAGTCTCCGATTGGCCCAGGCCTAGTGTGGAGGGCAATCCAGCCCCACCCTCATGGGCCAAGCTAACCCCTGCCAGGAGGGAGGATGGGAGGCACTGGGACAGCAGGTGGAGATGCCACCGTTGTCTCATACATAAGCTAAAGAGGCCAGTTTTGCAGTCCCTGCCCTCCGATTGTAAAATGAAGGAAACAGGCTTGGGCCTGAGGAGTGCAGTCTCTTGCTGGTTCAGAGAAGCCAGGATCCTCAGCAGGGAGGGTGAATGTTCAAGCACTAAGATGTTACAGGCGACGATCCCACTCGAACGCCTTCCGCAGATGTAACTCAGCCCCGCGCCATTGTGACAGTCTGTCTCAGAGAAGGTGGATGGTCCAATAAACGCAGGGGCTGCAACTGTTAGGCTGCCCAAGTTAAAGGAAGAATTGTGATTCTCTATCAGGAGAGACAGGTGCTGGGTTAAAACCCAGGCCATGACCCTTAATGCATTTCTGTGGCCTTCAGAGCCCAGGCTTCTCTGCTGTGAAGTGGTACCATTGAACAGGTATGGGTGACAGCTGCCCTTCTGGAGCTGACAGAGGGCCACCCCTCCCTCAGGAAGGCTGGGAAATGAGATAGAGGGCAGACCCTCCAGAGCAGGACCAGGCGAAGGCTAGAGTGCAGACCACTGATTCTACCATGGTCAGATCTGAGAGGAGCTGGGAAGAGGTATGAGTTAGAACTCAACAGAGAACTAGCAAGGATTGGGGCCTCCCTGCCCCAGCCAAGCACTCGTGGCTCTTCGCACACACTCTGCAACCCGGCTTGGTCTCCGGGGTCCCCTGTGAGGCAGCTCTGTCCACACAGTCTGGGAGCTCCACCAGCCTAGGGATCCCATAGCACCTGCCATGTTGGGATGGGCTGCAGCTCCAGGCCTCCCTGGTGGAGGTGGCTTCTGTCTCAGGCTTCTTCCTGCTTTTGTCCAGGCCCTCTGGTTTGACTTGCAGCAGCGCCTCTCAGACGAAGAAGGCACCAACATGGTGAGCCCCTCCTCTGACCCCTGCCTAAGCCAGTACTGTCGAGATGTCCCTGACACCTCTCTTCCTGGGACCACCAGAACAAACACATGGAACCCCAGTGCTTGACCCCACTCTGACCTCCCCTCAGGGGTGTGTTGGGGTCCTCCAGGACTTGGACCAAAAAGTTCAGCTTGGAGCAAAGCCAGTGCTGGACAGGCTCAGATGTGGACTGGATCGGGATCTAATCTTGCTGGGCCCTGACTTGCTGTGTCTCGAGATGGGACACACTGTTGTATGTGGGGGCTTCCTGGGGACTACCTTACGCAGTTGGCTGTCAAAGGTTGAGTCCTTTTTTAAGCCAGTTTTCACATGTGAGAAGAAAAATGATGGGAGGGTGTGCCAGGCCCACAGGTGTCCAGGCTCACTTCCGCTCTGGCCTGCAGCACCTGCAGCTGGTCCGGCAGGAGATGGTGGTGTGTCCTGAGCAGCTGAGTGAGTTCCTGAACTCCCTGCGCCAGTACCTGCGGGGCACTGCGGGAGCAACGAGCTGCTTCCAGTGAGTGGGCAGGGTGTGGGGCTGGGTGGCAGGGAGCTCTGCGTGACATGGTGGGGGGATGGGACTAGCCTCTCCGGGGAGCATGACCTGGAGGCTGAGTGGGGCTTAACTGTGGGCTGTGGCTTGCGACTTCATCTCCCAGACCACAGCTTACTCATCCATGTAGAGGGTGGCTAGCAGGACCCACTCCCTGGGCTGGTCACTGTAAATGGGATGATGAGTGTGGCCCACACCCTCTGTGCTCATTGGGAGCTGCTGCTGTTCCTTAGTGCTGGGCCTGGCTTGTAGCACTTAGTGATTGAAGAACAGAGACAGCAGGGAGGTCTGCATGGCAGTAGAAGGATGGGTGGGTCCAGCCCCCCACCCCTGGGAAGTACATGAGAAGAGGCAGCCACCACTCTTCCCCTTGTTATGGTTGGTCTGTGCTGTACCACCCAGGAGGGGTCTTCCCAGGCCATAACCCTGTTCCTGTGTCTCCAGACTAGGGATACTGCTTGGCCCCTTCTGGTCCTTGCCCTACTATCCTGGTACAGCAGAGCTAGCAGCTGTGGCCACCTCTTTAAGGTCTACAAAAGATGGTAGCCCTGTGTCCTTGCTGCCAGCAATCCAAGAGGACTGTGTGCGTAGGCTCCAGCCTGGGCCTCCTCCTGGCTCCACTTCCTCCCTACCACACACACACATACTGTTCTCTGCCTCGCTTCTCTCCAAGAGCTCTTCCCACTACCAAGCCCCCTGTCCATTCACCCTCTAGGTCCTGGGCCTGCTGGGGGCCTGCTGGGGACCAGGCTCTGGCCCTAGGGATCCCATGCTGATCAGGGCAAAGTGCCTGCTCTGATTCAACATTTATTCTTGAAGAGCAAAAGGAAGACCAAGATGACTCCAGGTGGTGATTGGGACTATAAGATGGAGGTCACAGGACTGTATAACCTGAGGATCACAGCCAGGCCAGGGCTCTGGGCACTCAGCCAAGTCCCCAGAGAAGAGGTGGCAGCTCAGGCCATGTCTGAGAAAGGAAAACAGTGACACAGCTGGACAGTCATGAGCAGGAGGCCTGGGGCAGCAGGACCCACTCCTGCCAAGCACCAGGGACTGTGTTGGAGACACTGTGAGAAATGGGCTAGGAGAGGCAGGTGACCAGGGAGCAGCCTGTCACCCCAGCAGTATAGAGCCACAGGTTTTGCCCCTGGTGCATGCGGGGATGGAAAGAGGAAGGCAGTCCTGAGGATCATGGGCTTCAGAGACTGGATTGAGGACAGGGCCACTTGACTTGGATACAGATGGGCCTTTTGCTTTGGTTTGGTTCATGCTGGGCAAGCACTCCACCACTGAGGCCCACCCCAGCCCTTGCAGGTGCTTCTTACAACCACTCACAGCAGGAGCTGAGGGAAGGAGGCCCGGCCACCCCTCCATGCTGGGTCCCCATACATTTCCTCCTCATTTTGGCCATCCAGGTTGTACTAGTGGTTCCTTCTCCCCCTCCCCCATTTGTTGAATGACTGTGTGTCCCCTTCGTACCCAACCCTGGCGAAAGGCACAAAGACTTCATTGGCTATAATAACCAGACTCAGATGAGCCCAATTATTTGTGATGACCTTTGCCAGAGGCTGGGAAGAGAGGCCAGAGTGGCACCTGCTGCAGGCTGCGTCTGGCTAACAGGCCACACCCCTTCCCCATCTACTCATTAAGAGCCCCCAGCTCCATGTGTTGTGGTAGGGGGCACACGGTATCCTAATAATACAATCGGCCTTGGCACCCTGTTTCTGTCCTCTGCTGCCCAGGCTGGAGGTGGCTGTAATTACACAGCAGAATGTTCATCTCGCCTGTTTAGGAGACTGAGGGGGGCCCTTGCTCCCTCCCCATTCACCCCATTGCCTCCTCCCCTCAGAAGCCACGGGATCTGCTCCCTCCCCACCCTATGGCTCAGATTCAGGGGACAAGGGACTGTTTCAAGGATGACATGAGACAACAGTTACAAGGAAAGGTGGCTCAGGCAAGGTGCTTTGGTTCAAAAAGCGGGGTTTGTTAAATGAATATGGTATCTTTCAGCATTACCTTCCCTTGTGACTCATTCACTGCTGAAGGCCAGGCCCTGTCCTAAGTGGAGCTGGAATGGTAGAGAGCCTGGGACACCCAGCAGCTGCTGCTGGGGGCTCTGAGCCGCTCTGGTCAGAAAAGCAGTGGTCTCTGGGCTGCCCTAAGGCCTGTGGGGAGCAAGAGGGACTGAAGAGGGCTGTGGTGCCCTGGTGCAGCAATATGGTCGGGGAGCAGCCCATGGGCGAAGGTGACCTCTGCAGGCCACAGACTCCCCTTCCCCCTGCAGCATCGCCGCGGTGAGGCTGTCGGACGGCTTGACCTTTGTCATCTACGAATTTTGGGAGACGGAGGAGGAATGGAAGAGGTGGGTACAGACACATCCCCTGTGCCAGGGAGGGGGAGGGTGATGAGGAACCTGGCTCTCAGGTTCTAGAAGTCTCTAGAGGTCTTTCCCCTGTGGACGTGCAGTAGGCAGCGCTAGGTGCTGAGTCCCTTCCTGGGACCCCCCCAACTAACCCGGGTTCCCTGGGCTGTAGGCACCTGCAGAGCCCCGTGTGCAAGGCGTTCCGGCATGTCACGGTGGACACGCTGAGCCAGCCTGAGGCCCTCTCCCGGATCTCGGTGCCAGGTAGACCGTGAGGGCTCCTCATCTCCAGCAGAGTGGGAGAACCTGTCCCCGCCAACAGCCCCAGCCCTTCAGGGACGTTATGCCCTCTTACCGCCAGGGATCTGGGCCACACTCAAGCTTTTGAACCCAGTGCTGGATATGCAGAATGAATTCAGGCCGTGAGGGGAGCCTGAGAGACAGGGCCACCACAGGACAAAAGACAAGGCCAGAAAGGAGGGAAGGCTAGGGGCCCCAGAAAGTACACCCAGTCCAAAGAGACCTTGAGAGCCCCCTCCACAGGTCCCCCCCACTTCCCATGTTCATGGCCAAATTCTCCTTTATACATGTATAATTTGTCACCTGTGCATCACACAGAGGTCCCAAAGCCTGGCTTTGTGCACTGCCTACCTGAGTTCCCCCAGCGTGGCCTCCCATTGGTGCCCAGCCCTGGCACCAGATGACAGAAGGTGTGTTCCTGCAGGAATCAGTCCTCCACCCTGAAGCAGGGAAAGAGCGAGAGTGGAAGCCTGTAATCTGCGAGCCGCCCCACCATCCAAGGGGAAGGGGCTGCGTGGTGCCCACCCTCTAATAGCTGGCTCCCCTTTCTTCTGCTTCTAGCTGCCTGGTGCACCGTGGGCCGAGACTGATCCCTCCCCACAGCCCGGGAAGAGCCTGCCATCCACCCTGTCCTTGTAAAGGACATCCCCTCTTTTCTAGGAACTTTGGTACACGAGCTGTCTTTTCAATATACGTCTCAGCAGGACTGTAGTTTCCCTGCTATAGGTGGAGGGCAGGAGCCCCTCTCCCAAGATGGAAGAGTGGTATCTGTGCTGCTGGGGACCCGTGGAGGCCAAGGTTGGCAGGGGGGCTTCTGGGCCAGCACCCTGCTTCTCCCCCCACCTGCCAAGTGGCCTCCCCCACTCTAATGGCTGAGGCTCAGCAGGCCTTACCCCTGAAGACAGGTTGCTGCTTCTCTCCTCGCTGACAGTCCTGTAACCTGGTAGAAGCTGTGACCCCATAGTACCCAACCCAGGCCTGGGTCAAGCCCGCAGGCGGCAGTAGAACACACATTACCAGTGCCGTGCTAGGCAGACAGTGCTGCTGGGCACAGGCACCAAATAAAGTCCGGTTGGCAGCAGCTGTGTGCTCTTTCTGTTTCCCCCGTTGCAGCTGCTGGCAGCTGGAGGGGCAGGCTGTGGGGACGCAGGACCCTGGGCAGCACAGTCCGGTGTCCCCGAGCCCATGTTCTCAGCCAACACATGGAAGCAGCAGCAATGCGGCGGGGAGCAGGGGAGGTACTTTGACAAGTAAGCCTGCATGGTTCAGGGGCCCTAGATGGCCACGGTCAGAGTGAGCAGTTACCGTTCATGACAGCCAACAGCGCAGGAAGCCAGCCAAGGTCAGCAAGGGAAGCTCAGGCAAGGAGCCTCCATCCACTTTGGTTTCCCAGCAGCCACATGTGACCACACACACTAAGCATGACCTCTTTATCTCTCCGGAGTCTCCATCTTCATCTCCTGCTCTCTGGAGGGCCATAAATCATACCCTTATAGACATCTGGTGGCCTTCCAGGAGCCAAGCGAGGCCAATGCTCTCCGAGGCCATAGGTAGCCCTTCTCTGCTCGTCTGTAAATTGTCCATTCCAACAGAACAAGAGACCAAGACCAAACTTGGAATGCCATTTTTCAGTCCTGTTCTGAGAACTCTAGAACTTCCTCTATTTCTCTGTCCTTGACTCTTCAAAGTCTCAAGGGACAAGGGAGAGGAAAGATCAGCAGATCCCCCTCTCAAGGGTTCACTCAGGGGCAGGAGGGAGAAACAATGGCCAGTGGGAGCCCACTGAGGCAGGCCATAAGTGGGCCTCTTAGCAGCTGCCAGCCTGGGGCCCCTGCCAGGGAAGCCATAACCAGTGCTACCACGCCTGCAGCAGTCCCATCCCATGCTGTCCAGGTGCTTGGTGTCTTGAGGGTACACCCCTGATGCCTGCCACTCACAGTGACCCTGAGAAGCTCATGTGGGCTTGTGGGAAACACAGACATGGAGTTGAGTCCCAGCACCTCTCACTAAGTGGCAAGCCCCTGTGCCAGCTTCCCAGAGCATTGGGTTTCATCTGGAAGATGGGCAAAAAGCTGCCCTGAAAAGGATCAGGGACCACCTAGTCCAGGGGCCAGAACAATGGCTAGTACCCCGCCTGCCTGTGTAGCTGCTTGTTGGAGGCAGCTTAGCTCTTCTAAAGCTTACCCTTGGGGGCTGAGGCTCTTCAGGGCACAACCAAGTAGCCCCATTTAATGTGTCACACCTCTTCTGCACCCTGCGTGTGCTGCCCACACTGTTGCCAAGCCACAGTATCGCTGGTGAGGGGAGCCCGCCAGCACACTCTCCTCAAGCTGTGCAGTCAGAGCAAGATCAGGCTCTGAAGAGAACAAAGCCCATCCCTGAAGGGTCTGTGAGCGCCCACCTAATTCACACTCCAGACCCAGGCATGGAGTCAGTGCACTGTCCTGGACCCTCGCCAGTGCCTCCCTGTGCTTGGCAGGAGGAGAAATGGAGACACAGAGAGGGCAGGTACTCACCAGAGGTCACTTCAGCAAATGAGTAGCTCAGGTTAGATCCTAACCCAGAGCCACCCACCCCTGACCCTGTGCCCAACCGTTAGGACACCAGCACCAGTACCTGGAGGGTCCAACTCCAGAGCAATCCATTGACATCCGAGTCAAGCTCCTCAAACAGTTAAAGACAATGATTATGTGGCCCAGAATGTATTTCCCGCTTTCCCTTTGTTGCCAGGAAATTCGGTGTTCCCTTGTCAATCTCAACCCAGATTTCCTGGAAATAACGCTAGTGCTGTTGGGTCCCCTTGTGAGACATCACCTTTAACCTTCACGATAAGCTCACATCACATGCAATGAGCCCAGTCCGTTTTCTGGCTGGAAAACAATGTTAGAACAGGTTCACGTTCCAAGACCCCCAGAGCACAAATGGCAGAGCCAGCATTGCGAGCCAGTAGCTAACTCCAGGCCCCCTGACAGCCTCCTTTGCAGCAGGACCTGTCCGGCCTGACTTTGTTAGTCCTGGACTCGATGGTGCCATCACACCCACCTCTCTAGCCTGAGGAAGCAGCAGGACCTCAGTGACGAAGACCATCCCTTCCCACTGCCCGCCAAAGTAACATGCTCCACTGGAGCACTCGGCCCAGCGTGTGTCCTGGCTCCCAAGCCCTTGCCCAGGTGGACACTTTGTCATGGAGCTGAGGGTGTGGCCAGTCCTGGTGGGGCTGGTCAGAGGGCTGGAGAGAATCCTGTGTCCTCACAGGGTCAGAATCTACCCACTGCCACCTCCCCTCTACCAGTGGCCAGGGCACCCTTGGGCCTGACCCACCTGTGCCCACCCTTCTGGCCACTCAGCATGGAGTACAGAGAAGGAAGTGGACAGGGAAATCAACCCCAAATCAGTTCTGGCCCCAGCCCCGGGCCTTGTAGGGCAGGTGGCCTTGGCTGTCCCAGCCTCAGTGGCCTCCACTGTGGAAGGCACAGGTATTATGCTACACCAGGGCAGCCACACAGAGGGCCCCACAGATGCAGAGGGCAAGGCTGTTGGGGAGTGACTGCTAATGGGTGCAGGTGTCCTTTCAGGGGTGATGACAGAGTGGTGGCGGCTGCCCAGTTCTGAACATGCTAAAAACCCTGAAGTGCATACTTGAAAGGGCTTGAATCAGGCTATGTGAATTGTATCTCAGTTTCCAAAATTCATGTGCGTGCACAGGCGGGGGAAAGAAAGTGGACCTGTCACCAACAACCTCATAAGCCACAGACATTGCTGACTTACCTATCCCTAGGAAGGTGCTCCAGAACGTCAACCCTACTCCTCCCCAGCTGTGGCACCCCTGCCTTGAAGCGTGATGTCCCAAGGCAGAGAAGAGCAGTTTAACTCCAGCCACACCCAGGATACACCTAGACCCCATGCAGGGGCAGGGGCAGGTGCACACAGACACAGAAGCCTTCCCCTGTCCTGGGGCAGACTGTCCCCTCCCACTCTGGAAGGTATGGCTCCTGTCTTGCTTCCAGGTGGGGTCAGAAGGGAGTCACCGAGCACAGTCTGCTTTGCTTCTAAGCTTTCTGGATGCAGCAAGCAGGAGGGAACAAGGGCTTTCCCGGGGTCCTCTGTCACACTACAGCATGGGCTGAGTGCATGGCTGTGGCGCTGACCTGGGCATACAGCTTCCTGCATGGCCCCTGGTCAAGGCACAGTTCTGGCAGTCCTGTGCCCTACAAGGGACTGGCTTAAGTCCACCCCATCCCCAAGGGATGCCCCTCAGGTCTCTTGGGCCCCTCCCCCACCCTCATCTGATGTCTTTAATCCTTGTACCCTAAAGCAGAGTTCTCTGGGCCTGAGTCCCTATCTCATTATGGGGTGAGTTGTACCCCTCAAAAAACTGAGTTGCAGTCCTAACTCTGAATCATGTGAACGTGACCTATTACAAGATTGGCTCTTTCACATCCTAATTGAGTAAGACAAGATAGAATCAAATTTGGAGGATAGCATGCTAATTTAGGCTGGGCCCTACTGAATGACCGGAGGGAAGTTTGGACACAGAAACACACAGGGGAGGTGGGCATGTAATGAAGAAAGCAGAGACTAGAGGGGGGTGTCTATAAGCCAGGAACCCAAGGGCTCCACAGGAGGAGGCAGGAAAGAGCCACACCTGGGATGCAGACTTCTGGCCTGAGAACTGTGAAGCAGTAAGTAAGTGTCTGTTACTTTAAGTCACCAGTTTGTAGGCACTCATCACAGCAGCCACCAGAACGCACTGCAGTCCTTCGTACTAGTAACCCCTGGAACGAGCACAACCCAGGGAAACAGCATCTTCATGAGGAAAAGAAACCCGAGAGTCTTGTGGCTGGACACAGGAGCCACCCAGTCAGCATCAGACGCCTCTACAGCAGCTCCAGGAGAGCCTCCCCTGTGCTCTGCCCGAAGATGAAGGTGCCAATCAGCACGGACAGCACGCCCCACACCTCCAGGCAGCACCTGCCAACACAAAGTCCCATGTCAGTGCAGACTGCCTCGCTTCTGTGCCCAGAGGCCCAGCACGTGCACCGTGTGAGCCCGAGGCCCGGGAGAGACGCCAATCTGGAGAAAATTCTGAGTTGTCTCCTCTACCTATAGGGATGGAATCTGAGACATGGGAAATAAAGTACCCTGATATTTTTTAAAAAACTTCACTCCTCTTCTTTCACAACCTCATTCCCCTCCCCCGATATTTTACCAAAGCAATAGAAAGGGTGGGGACAGGACACTTCAATCCCCCCCCCCTTCCTTTCCGCTTCTCAGTGTCCACTGAGCCCTCTCCCTGAGAACTGAGGGGGAGATGAGGCTCTCAGTCACAGTCAGGACAGCAGCAGGAGGAGGAGGCTGGGTGGCCTGAGGCCATATTTGCAAGCTTATTAATGTAACCAGAGAGAGCACAGACGAGGAGTGAGAGTGGTAAGATTCCCAGCAAATGACAGGGCTGCCAGAGAGACTCCTGTCCATTAACAGAGGCTGGAGGGACCCAGTGTCACAGAGGTGTATCTCAGCCCAGCATTTGTCAGCAGCCATGCTGACGCGTGCAGTGTTGGGGGTAGGGCAGACATGACTCGGGCTGCAGAGTCACTTAGAGCCATGCTGATGGATTAGAAGGACTGAGAGCAGCTTTAGGAAGAAACGTATACTGAAAGTCCATCGGTAAAAACTGTGCTGCACTTGGGCCATGGGACAGAATACAAAGCAGGAGGATCCCACAGAATGCTGCAGGGGATGAGCCACCAGGGTACCAGATGGTCGGGGTCAGCACTGAGCCCAAGTCAGGTTTAGAGACGTCCAGAGCAACGCTGGTCAGCGCAGAAGGAACCCAAGCCACACCTCTGCCAAGCTTGGGTTCAGTGGGGCTAGAGGACAGGGGCCGCCTGGGCACAGGCCTGCAGCTGGGACCCGTGTCCATGGCTGCTGTAACTCATGGGCATCTGAAGTAGGCTCAATGGTGTCCCACAATTCATTTCCACCTGGGCCCTGTGTGACTGGATTTGGAAATAGGTCTTTCCAGATGTTGTTAAGTGAAAGTTCTCACAAGTACGCAATCTTGGATTTAGGATGGGCTCTACATCCATTGGCAGGTGGTCTTCAAAAAGAAGGGGAATGGGCGATTTGAGACCCAGAGACAGAGAGGCCATGTGAAGATGGATGCAGAGACTGGAGTGATACAGCTACAAGCCAAAGGACAGGAGACCCCAGAAGCTGGACAAGTTGCAGGTGGCATAGCCCTGTCAACACCTCACCTTAGTCCTCTGGCCTCCAGAACCTGAGGAATGGTTTCTGTTGCTTTAAGCCCCCTGGTTTGTGAGCATTCATTACAGTGGTTCTAGAAACCTACACTGTCTCAGCCTCAGTTTTCACAACTGTACAATGGGAAGAAGGAAGGTGGGTAAGCATGGGACCACAGACTCATGGGACCTGGACCGAGTCCCACTGTGTCCTTACCAGCCTCCTTGCCTGTGCCTCATCTGAGGGTGCAGACTCCCTGGAATGGTGAGGGGATGAATGTCTGATGGGGGGACTTGCTACCATAACAAGACAGCATGTTGGCCTGGAGTCCAGCCAGGCATCAGGCCCCTGTGCTTGGCTCTGGTCTGGGCCAAGCAATGAGGGATGGGGAATGTGTGTCATGAGTGGCCTGAAGTCAAAGTGCATAGACGGATGAATGCAGGGTCAAGTGTCACCAGCCAGGCCTCCCATCTGGCTCGGACACCCTCTTATGTGTGGACCTGTCCCCTCCCACCATGACCTGCAGCTCCTCATCTATGGGATGAGGATGGATGGTGCTCCCATCCCCAATCCTCTGGCACACCCAAGTCACCACCCTCATCTTGGGGACACTCACTTGACTCGTGGTCCTATGGGATCAACACCCACAGCACAAATGAGGCATAAACCTGCAGAGGAGACACGGGTCACCCGGATTTCCCTTATCAAATCCAAGGCCCCGAGATCTGTTGACATCCCACCATCCTCAGGAGATCTGCAGGTGGCCCTGGATCAGTCCCTGTTGGCCAGGTAGCCCAGCGTGGTGGTTAGAGACCTGCTTGGTGTTAGGGCGGACTGGGTGGGAGGTCCAGCTCAGCAACCCCAAAATGACTCAGCCAAGGTCCTGGTGACAACATGGCCTCTTAGACCTCAGCCTTCAGGGACAATGACAATATGCCCTCCATGGCAGAGTTTATGTGGGGATGGTGTAAATTGGTGCCTAAATCCTGGGGCAGGCTTGTCACCTGGCAATGACTGTTGTTCCTTTTTATAACATTTGAAAAGATCATTCTTCTAGGTTTCAAAGTCAGGCAGCTCAGCCTGAAGCTCCCCTGACCCCACTGCCCCACCAAACCTGTGCCAGGCAAGATCTGGAGTCAAAAGGTGCCACCCAGGACATGAGCCAAACCTGAACACAGCATCCCCAGACTAGAGAGTTTTGTCTGGACCTGGAACGCTCTTCCCAGATCCGGTGAGTGGATGATGCTCTCCCTGTACCCTCAGACTGTCCACAGTGCAGCCCTTCGTACTGGGGAGGCTGTCCAAGCAGCGAAGACAGCCTGAATCCTAGCTCCCCCAGAGAACCTGCCATTCACAGCCCATATGTCCTGCCTCTGATAATCACCTCCCGCCTCCTCAGCTGGAACACTTCCCCAAGGCTAGTGACGAAACCACCTGGCTCTTCACTCGGCCTCTTAGTCTTGCTTTGTCTCCCCATTTGGGCTTGGGGGAGGCCTTTAAAGGCCTTTCTGTAAGTGCTCTTTCTGTAAGTTTCACCAGCAGAACCTCCTTCTCCCCTGTTTGATACAGGGGCTGGGCTGGGGCATCTCAAGCTCAATGTCTGCCTGCTGTGCCTCCTCCCACAGCAGACTCCCAGGATCCATGCTGGAGCCCCCTGCCCCTGTGCCCTGGGGTTTCTGTTCTGGGCACTAGCCAGGACTTCGCTGCTCCTCCTGGCTCTACAGCATCCCTCTGGTCCTGCCTCCCAGGGTTCCCCAGTTGGGGAAGGGAACATGGTGCCCTTGCCCACCGGCACTGGGGAGGTTTCACAGAAAAACAGGTATCATGGAGGTCAGAGTCTGCCTCCAGGGTCTGGAACAGGGTCAGATGACACTCACCTGGCCTACCTTTTGCATCTTGAACCTTGTATATTTCATATATCAAAATTTTGAAAAATGAAGTCAACCCTGCAGCAGGCACCAACTGTGCCCCTGGGGACCCTGGGTCTCATCTTCTCATCTGTAGGATGGGATGATGCCTGGGTACTATCTATCTGGGGCTGTTGAGTTGCTTAACCAGGGAAAGTACGGAATGCCCTGGCCTTGACTGACTCAGTAACCAAGGCACCTACCTAGACCCTAATCCTACCTACGTGGTGTTCCCACCTTCCAGAACCTTGACCTCCCACACTAGGAGTCTGTGCAGAGCCACCGGGGAGCCCGGAAGCAGCCACTCACCCGGAAAGATGAAGATGAAGAAGGCACTGATGCCACCAATGATGCTGATGATCTTGCTGAGGTCAGGTAGGAACAGAGCCATGGCCAGCGTCACCACCACCCATAGGATGGTCAGTGGCAACCGGACCCATGGCCCTGAGGGGTCAGCCAACACCGCAGGCCCCCATGTACCCCAGTTCCTCTTCCAGAAGTCCTGCATCACAGACCTGGAAACCACAGAGCCACCACCACAGACGCACACAGACACTCAGGGCTCAGCTGGTGAGGTGACCCTAGGTGCCAGCCCTCCACAAGTTCCCAACACCTGGCAGGGCTCCTGCTCCACACCCAGGTGCTCGTTCCCCAGGGACCTCCCAGCCACAGGGACCTTCGGAAACTAGGGGCAGGCTACCAGCAAAGTGGACAGGTGGTACACAGGGCCAGGCCTCACCTTCCCAGGAAGAGCACGATGGGGTAGACAGTCACAATAGAGACAGCAAAGAGGACACGAGCAACAATGATGGGCACATCATTGCCTGGGTATGACATCAGGATGTCAGCAGAAACTTCCGTCCCAAAGGTCAGGAAGCCATAAACCCCTGCAGGTGGGAAAGATGAGCTGTGATTAGAAAGACCCCCCTCCTCCCCCAACACTCTTAGCACCCCAACATTTTCCTTAGGAGCTGATTCTAGAAAGAATCCTGTTCTGCCGGTTCCCAAGGCCGATCTGTCTTCAGGCTGCCCATCGCTGTCCCACAGCTCAACACCCCAGCAGACAAGCCTGCCATTGGCCTTTTAAATGACTCCAAGCCAAGGCCAGGCTTCCTTTGAGCGGTGCTGATAGAGGCACCAGGGCTTCAACAAACCCATGCCTCTGAACCCGTCCAGCTCCCTCTGCCAGCAGCTGACAGGGCACCCATTTTCTAGATGGGAAAACAATCAGCAATTGTCCAGAATCACACAGTTAGTTAAGGTGGCCCCAGGACCAGAGAGCCAGGCCCCTCACCCAAACATAATACTGCTTCTTGTCACCTGCCCTGTCCTGAGACATCACCTCTGGCCAAGAGCTGTGACCCTCCTGGATTCTCTCTAGGGACGTTCTAAGCTTCCTGTGATCCTGGGACATCTGGAGGTGACAAGTGTAGAGTCATGGCCTTCTGACCCAGGGTCTACAGATTGACGGGAAAAGATCCCCCAGAAAGTATCTTGGGTGACCTCAGGAGTCCATGGCTGCCTGACAGATTCATGGCAGCCCAAGGCCTTCCTAAGTTGGAGGCGCCAATTGGCAAGGAAAGAAAGTGGCCAGGCTGGGGAGCTGCCACCAAAAGTCAGCCTGTGCCAGTGACCTGGGTCTGTCCTACGGACATGCTGTGTGACCTCAGGCATGTCACAGTCCCACCCTGAGCCACACTTCTGTCACTTTTTAGGATTCTGTCTACCTCGCAGTTTGTAAGCCACTGCTCATGTAAGTCCATAATGTCCCTCTTCTCTGCCATCTTTCTGAACAGCAGGAGGGCCTCATGTGTCACAGCAGGGGTTTTGAAGACAGAGCAAGGTCTCAGTTTCACATGTCTGGTTGCAAGACCTGGGACAAGCCATGGAAGCCTCAGCTTCTCCATCTCTGAAATGGACCTTTTCCCATGAGGCACGAAGGCCCTCAGCAAGCAGTACTGTGCCTGGCACATGGCAGGCTCTTCAGAGACACTTGTCCTTGTTCCTCTTCTCACTGCCACTCCCTCCCACCTCTGGGAGCCCCGGCAGGGCCCTACCCGTCAGAGAGTAGACAAGGAAGCAGGACAGCAGGGACAGCACGGACAGCAGGGCCCAGTGGGAGAGGCTCCGCCTGTGCATGCTGCAGAAGATGGACACGGCGGCTTCGTGACACTGCAAGACAGAGGAGGGCTCGGTGAGATGCCGATCAGCAGGAGTCAGATCCTCTGGGGGTGACCAGGAAGGGGCTGTGTCCCAAAGGTGGGAAGCGTCTGTCTGTCCACAGCAGCAGAGGGCAAGAGTAGACCACAGGACACTGCCATGTGTATTATCAAGTGACCCCACACCCTCGTGTGGAAGAATCTCACAGATACAACAGGTCCAACGCAAGGGGCCACGCAGAGGAAAACATTTCCAGGTGCGTGGAGTCCACGTCACGAGGCAAACAAAGCTACAGCACAGCTCTCGTCACTTGGGGAGGAGCAGTTCCTGCAGTTGGGGCTGCCCTGGGCATTGAAGGGTGTCATGTAGCTTCCTGGCATCGTTGGCCTCCACCCACCAGATGTACCCATTTGTGACAACTCAAACCATCACCAGACACTGTCAAACGTCCCCCAGGGGCACCTCACCCTATTGGGACCCCAGCTCTATGGTGACAGAGGTTTGGGTTGGTTGGGATGGGTGCTATTGACTAGCAAAGGTGGCAAGGACCTCCTAGGGACTGACAAGGTCACAATGGTGCACCCACTTAGGCTTTACAAACATTACAGGTAATACGTTATTCTGCGATAAAAATTTCACCTGTGAAACACACAACCAATGCCAAGAACCTACTACAGTTTGGATTTCACATCTCGGGGCGGTTTTGGCAGCAGTGGCTGAGGAACTCTGAGGAGCAGCCGGGTGGAGAGATTGCTGCCGTACCTGGGTGTCCCTGCATCTGGGCTCTTCCTGGGCTCCTGGGACATAGTCCCACCATCAGAGTGATGCACTTGCTTGGGGTAGAAATCAAAGGAGCCACTGCCTGCTCCCCACGGTCTCTCTCTGAGCATGAACTGTGTGTGGCTGCAGGGCCTTTGCCCAAGCCGTTCCCTCTGGGTGGGCTTCTCTCCTATCCTACCAGCCCCTGCTGGTCCTGAGCAGAGCCAATTTCTTCTCACACAACCCCTCCCCGCTGCCCCGGTGAATTTGGCTCTGTTTGTTCAGCAAGTGCCTTGCTCAGGGCTCTGGCTCCAGCAAACACAGAGCCCAGCCCAGCTGACAACCTCTCCAGGGCTACCCACGAATATCCTTGACTCCACTGGCAGCCAGAAGCTTCCTCTGCCCACCCCCAGCTGTCACTTAAATGTTCCAGTCTTACTCAGCGTAAGGTGGAGCCCGGTGCCTCCGGGCCCCCCGACAATGGAGCACCCCCCTGGATGTGGCACACGGGTTCCAGCCCAGGGTGAGTTCAGACACATCTGCCCTGACCCTGGAGCCTTGGGAGAGCTGGGCTTCTCTGACCCCCCAGGTGGCAAGGGTACCTGAATCAATGGCGTTGGAATTCTATGGGCAAGTCCCCACCTCCTGTACCCCTCTCAGGATGGCCCAGGAGACCTGTGGCTAGCCTCCCGCAGCAGGGGCCTACACAGAGCTCCTCCCCATCTCATCCTCGTGGTCTACCATCCCCGCCTGTCACAGGCTCTGCCTCCAGAACCACAGATGGTGCCCCATAGGCAGATCTTAGAGCTGTGACCATGTGTAGAAATACAGCCTAGCCTGACAAGGGACAAAGACGCTGGGGTGCCCACACTTCCCAGGAAGGCACCTTCCCTGCATCCTCCATGAGGCTCCTATCCATTTGATACGGGGAGGCAGCTCAGCCCCCTGGGCAGCGGCCCCACAGGGGCGTCGGGAGCATAACTGTCATGTCCCAGCCTGACAGAGACCGAGCAGGGAAGGACACACTTTAGCCAAAAAGTGGAACAACTCACAAGCCTGTAGTCAAGTCTGGGATTCACAGCCTATAGTTATCCACGCAACAGGTTATCTGATCGTGAAAAGGAAGGGAGCACTGAGCCACCATGCCACGTAGGTGAACTTGATCACGTGACAGGCACTGAGCAAAAGAAGCCATATGCAGAGGGACACATAGGATTTCATTTGTATGACATGCCCGTCACCAGAAGTGTGGTTATACCAGAGGCCAGGGAAGGAGGGTGTGGAAGAGCTGCTGACGGGCAAGGGATTCCTGCAGAGGCGGTGGGAACACTCTGAAATTGATGGTGGCAATGGCTGCACAGCTCTGTGACCACAGTAAAACCATTGGCTGGCATACTTTAGAAGAGTGATTATATGGCAGGTGAATTATAACTCAATACAGCCATTAAAAATAAAGCCCAGAAGTCCTGGTGTGATCAGGGTGGCCAGGAACAGGCCCTGAAGGCCGCTCTGCACCTCCAGGCCCCTGACTGAGTCAGTGCAGGCTGGGGTTGGGGGTGCCCTCTGGTTACATGTGTTTGGGGGAGAGGTGGCGAGCTACAATCAGGTCTGAGTTCCTGATGACCACAGACCCCTTTCCCCTTACTTAGTGGCCTCCCTCTAGCTTCACCCCATCTCTCACTTATTCCCCCATCTCTGACCCCTGATTCTCTAAGCCAGATCCTGCTGTGTCTCTGTCCTGGGCTCCACCCCCATACTCATATCTCCCCCTTCCCAGCTCCCCATCACTGCAGCCCCAGCCTGTCCCTGGAAACCAAGCATCCTTGTTGCTAGGAGAAGCGAGAGGAACCCGAGGCAAAGGTGAGGCTGTGAGCATCTGGAAGGTGGCCAGCGCCAGGAGAGGGGCAGTTAAGCTAAATCCAGACGACAGCTGACAGCAGAATCAGCACTGTGCTCTTTGAAAATATTGGAGTGTGCAGAGGAAATGCGAGAATGTCGCACCAGCTGCTTGCTGCACCCCAGAAGCAGCACTGAGTCAGTTACAAGGGAGAAAGATGGAAATGTCTCAGCTTTGTGTTTCAGAAATTGTTCTCAAAGCAAATGTAAGATGAACAGAAACGGGAGCTAGTCAGTGACGCAGGAAGAAAACCTTCCAAGACTGCAAAGCTTGGACACTGTTGACAATCCTGTGAACTTGATTCTTCTTTGAAATGGCATTGTAGGAGCGAGGTAGCAGACAGAGGCAAATCTTTTCTAAGGTGAACCATGAAAGGGTGGTGCAGCTGTCACCTGCTAGGATAGCAGGGCAAACCCAATTCCAGTCCCCCACAGGCAGGCATGAGTCAGGCCCTCTTCTGCCTCCTCAGGTGCAGACGTCACGGTCCACCTGTGCTGTGGCCTCCACCTGAAGGGCTTCCCCTTCACCTGGCTCCCTCCCAAGTCCTTCCAGATTCCCTTCTGGCACCACGACCTGTAGTAGACATCTCAGTCCACCCTTGGCTGGGTTTCTATGCTGAACCTGGTCCTTACTCCTGCAACCTTCTACTAGAAATTCTGTCTGTCCTTCCTGCTACCCTCATCCGACAGCTTCCTGGACCCCTTCCAGCCCCATAAGCCTTTCCTCTCCAAGGCCTGAGGTAGAGTCCATTTGTTTCCAGGTGGGTCTACATGGGCAGCCCCTGGTTTGTGGGAGCGTGACGGTCCTGTGAGCATCCTACGGAGAGACACAGCGCAGATCCCCACCCAGCACACACGGTTCAATGACAATTCACCTCGCTTCCCTAGGGAGTCCAGATGCCACACTTGCAGTCTCCGGAAGACAGCAGCTCAGAGCCCATCACATCCTCAAACGTCCCCCCGACAGGGAGGCCATGCTCCCCCAGGGGAACAGGGAGCCTCTGGAAATGTCACATTGTGCACTTACCTGAAATCCAAAGCAGATGGTGGGGAAGACACTAAACACAGAGGTCCAGGAGTAAGAGCTATAAGTAGACAGGAACAGATGGTTATTAAGAGTTCAACTCAAAGCAGCCTTCAACTTGAGAGGATTTTTTTTGGCAGTACTGGGATTTGAACTCAGGGCCTTTAGCTGGCCAGGCAGGCGTTCTACCACTTGAGTCACACTTCTGGTCTCAGGTTAAGATCCTCCTGTATTCCTGCATAGCTGGAATGACAGGCACATAATACCATGTTTGGCTTAGCTTGAGATGGGATCTCACCAACTTTTTACCTAGCCTGGTCCTAGACTGTGATAGTCTTAATCTCCACCTCCCAGGTAGCTGGGATTATAGGTGTGAACTACTGCATCCAGCCCAAGAGAATGAATGGTAAACAACAGCAAGGAACTTTGAGGATGGCTGAAAGATGTGTTTTGACCGGGCTTTGAGGATGGAAGGAGGCTTAATTAAACACCACCCTTTCTAAAGCCATCTTTGTTGCCATGTGACAATGTAGCATTCTCCATGTCACAGGACACTGCAATATTTCTCAGCAAATCCAGAGCAAAACCAAAGTCCTCATCCTGGCTCTGGGTCCTTCATAACACTCCCAGGCCACTCTGTCCTGGTTTGGGCTGACCAGGTCACCCAGCCTTCTCACTTTCCCTCTCTCTGAGGCATCTGGCTGCTGGGTCCCACTGCCTCCACGGGTGTGGGGTACATTTGCCTTGGCCTAGGACCCCCAGGCTGGTGTGATCTTTACTGCTTTTGAGTCCCTGGGCCTGTACCTGGCCATCCCCAGGAAGGCCCCTGTCCTTCCTAATGGAGGAAAGGGGCCTTCCCTTGGCTTGTTGGAGCGTCAGAGAGTTAGAGACCTCCTGGGAAGGGGCGAGGACTCTTCATGAACCCCAGGACCTCCTCATCCAAGGCTGCCCTTTGCTTTACCCCCCCCCCAAAAGCCCAGAAAAGCCGTTCTCACAGACTCACCTCAGTGAAGGATGTGATTCACGCAGGAGGCCCTGGGGCTGGAGGTAATACTGCACTGTGATGACCAGGGCCAGGTAGCAGGCCGCCAAGGTGCCGAGGATGCTGGCACACAGACACACAGATAAGGACAGTGTCAGGGGGCTGGCACCGGTGACACACACAGCCAGTGGCCAGGGCGTGTACAGCAGTGCCTGCATCTCAGCTCTGCCCTGGTCAGCACTGTGCTACAAAGCTCTCCACCTAAGCCTCCGTCCCCTCCTTATGAGGGATGGCAGGGTGACAGCTGGACAGGTCTGCTCAGATCCAGACGTCAGACATGAAGAATTCCTGATGGCCTCTATCAGGTTCAATCCCAGGCACCGGGAACAAAAGAAAGTCAAACAGAAAAAAAGCCAGCACATCTCTGACTGTCTCTGTGCTGTGTGTGGGCACAAAAAAAATCTGTGCTACCCAATAAAGTAACAAAACACACTACCACAGGTAGGGTTTTGAGGAGCTTTGTTTTGTTCCTTTTTTTCTTTTTTCCTTGCAGTACTGGGGGTTTAACCCAGGGCCTTGTGCGTGCAGCCCCAGGCAGGTTTTGTGTGTGTGTGTGTGTGTGTGTTTAACTTATTTGTATTTTCTATGACAGATGCATGGTACTTGTACAATTTCTGGGTTCCCCTTCTCCAGATGGGAGGCCAACCCAGCAGCACCCTCGTCCCTTCCAACACTAAACTCAGGCAGTCCCCATACCTGGTGTACTTCTGGAAGGCGATCTCCCGAGGTGCTGACAGGGGCAGGATGACCAGCATGGACAGCAGGGGCAGTGTGAAGCGCTGGGTGGCGTACCAGGGCTGTGGGCCGCTGGACAAGAGGGAGTCACACACTGCTGGGGACAGGGACAGGAGCTAAGCCACAACAGCACAAGGTAGCCACAGTGAGCTGCTGGCTGGTCAGCCCTGGGAGCTTAGGGGTGGGACGGCAGTGAGACAGGGTCCTTATGCATCCCCCAAAAAGGAGTCACCTTCCATGAATTCATTCAACAAACACTTGCTGAGCTCCTTGCACGGCCACGCACTGCCCTTGCAGTCGTTAGCACCGGCCAAAGACAACTTTCTGCTTTTCCCAGGAGCTCAGTGACTGGGTGGGGGGCTCCTGCCACACTGCTGGGAGAGAGTGAGTCACTCACATCCTTGCCGTGCCCTCTGTGGCTGCTGTATGATAATTTACCCCCAAACTTAGAGGCTGACAAACACATTAATCCATCATGTCCCAAGGCAGAGGGGACAAATTAAGACTGGTTAATCTGGCCAGTCCTGCTCCATGAGGTGTGCCTGGGTCTCAGAGACCACTGGCTGCCAGTGTAGCTGGTCTGAGGGCCTCAGACAGCTCCACCCCACTCTTGGTGCCTGCTGGGGTGCACCAGCTGACTTCCCCCATGGCAGGTGGGGGCTTCTGAAGTCAAGGTGGAAATTGCCTATTCTCCGAAAAGCCAAGCCGAGAACTGGCATGGGGCCCTATCCACCACAATCTGTAAGGCAAAGCTATCCCAGAGACCACCTGATTCCAGGGCAGGGGACGTGGAGCTCACCAACCTCTCAGAGGAAGGGACACTGGAGATTTGGAACTGTTTTATACTGCCCCAGTAAGAGGGATAATTGGAACTGATCTGAGAGGCAGGACAGGTCAGGGAGGGGGATGGGAAAGGTGGGTGGTTAGGCCCGCGTGCACCACGTAAGTAAGCCTCTTTCTTCTCATTGACCCTCAACAAAGGCAACCACACAGAGAAATCAGTCCCTTTTGAGAACAGCTGGTCTCCAGAGACATGAGGCAGGGAAACAAAAGTTCCCCAGCCAGGTCATACGCAGAGACTCTGGGGGAGGGCAGAGCCCATGGTCCGGGTCAAAGATCCCAAGAGGATGCTGGTGGCAAAGGGTACTGAGCGATCGAGGGTGGCTTTTAACCTCCATATGGTGTGGGATGCTCTCAAGCCCTTCCTGTCCATCAAATCACCAGCTCTGACGTCGGCTATGCCAGCTTCTTCCTATACCCGCCATCACTAGACATCCCAGGAGGTCCCCATGACAGTGGCCATTTGTGCCCAAGTCACACAATGACTTCCCCAGGCACTCCAGGCTCGGAGGCTTGAGCTTGCCATGAGACAGATCCCGGAATACCTGACCAGAACCCAGGAGTAACGCCCTCTCCATCCCAGTCCATCCACTCAGACCTGGGGTGATTCGGCTCAGATCCTGAAGAGCACTCCTGTCGCAGTGCTCACATCAGAGTCCTTCTCAACACAGCAGCTTGTTCACTGGGACTGAAACTCAAGAGGAACTCCGTGTGTTGCTAGTGGGCAGGGAGTTTCGTGACCATTCACCCATCAGCGGTTCAGAGACACTGACCTCATGCCTTTTTTGTATAAGATGGTGTTTCCTAAGACATGATAGACTTAATTCCAAAATCCCCCAGCCAGGGGTCTTTTCATACATGGGTCAAGAGAGATTTAAAAAAAATAGTAAAATGATAGACTTACATCCAATTAAGTCTGAACATGCCAGTTAAAAGTCTAAGGTTGCAAAGATGATAAAAAATGTAAGACCCAGCATACGCTGTCTACAAGAAGTGCACTTTAAAACCTCAAGCCACCTTTAGCTTCAAAGTAAAAGAATGGGAAAAATACCTACAAACACTGATCTTAAGGAAGCCAGGCAAGCATTATTAATACAGAGAAGGGAGACTTAACGCCAGAGATAAGTGGGAATATTTTATAACCGTAAGAGGATGCACTTAATCACACAGCCTCAGAAGCCACGAAGCAGAGAGTAACAGAATTAAAGGTTGAAGCAGGAAAATTTGCATTCACAGCTGGAGATTTTTAACACTCTGGTTTTAGACACTGACAGAATAAGGAGAAGATTTTCAAAATCCAAGGCTGCTAAGGAAGATCTAAAGAAAGCTGCTCCATGAAGAAGAACGAAATGTTATCATTCGCTGGGAAATGGATGGAATTGGAGAACATCATTCTGAGTGAGGTTAGCCTGGCTCAAAAGACCAAAAATCGTATGTTCTCCCTCATATGTGGACATTAGATCAAGGGCAAACACAACAAGGGGATTGGACTATGAGCACATGATAAAATCGAGAGCACACAAGGGAGGGGTGAGGATAGGTAAGACACCTAAAAAACTAGCTAGCATTTGTTGCCCTTAACGCAGAGAAACTAAAGCAGATACCTTAAAGCAACTGAGGCCAATAGGAAAAGGGGACCAGGAACTAGAGAAAAGGTGAGATCAAAAAGAATTAACCTAGAAGGTAACACCCACGCACAGGAAATCAATGTGAGTCAACTCCCTGTATAGCTATCCTTATCTCAACCAGCAAAACCCCTTGTTCCTTCCTATTACTGCTTATACTCTCTCTACAACAAAATTAGAGATAAGGGCAAAATAGTTTCTGCTGGGTATTGAGGGGGGGAGCGGGAGGGGGTGGAGTGGGTGGCAAGGGAGGGGGTGGGGGCAGGGGGGAGAAATGAACCAAGCCTTGTATGCACATATGAATAATAAAAGAAAAATGAAAAAAAAAAAAAAAAAAGAAAGCTGCTGACCACTTTGTCCTCACAGCTGCTTCCAGCACGCTGCACCCCGAACTGCAGAACCCATGTCCTTTAAGAGGCCTTGGAATGCTCCCCAAGACTGGCCATGTGCCAGGTCACAGAACAAGTCTCAACAGACAGACCTCAAGAGATTAAAATTACACAGAGGATGTTCTCTATGATATAATTGAGACAGAAACCAAGAAGGAATCTAAAACAACTCCCAAATCGAAGTTAAACAAGACAATCCATAAGCCAAGAAAGAAACTGCAGCAAAAGTTAGCAAATACCTTGGCATAAAAATGGAAACAACAGCTACTAAAACTGGTTAAGACATGGCTAAAGCAGCACTCAGAGGACAAGTCTTAGGAGGGGACAAGAGGCCAAGGTTGTATGTAGGCCGAATCTGTCATCCCCCTAATAAAGGTGTTACCATGTATCTCTCATTAGGGGATCCTTACAGTTGGCTCCATTTCCCATCTGCAAAATGGATTGTCCCCACTAGACATTCCAGCAACAGCCAGTCTCTTTAGTGCACTCTGCTGTCATTCTCTTGCTGGTGATGGTTAATTTCAGTGACTCTTTCCACCATGTTGGGAGCTTGGGCATGGTCGTACCTTTGCTGTCCCCCTGGACCCCCATTCAGTGCCTACTGTCCTGCTTATCAACTGGGGCCCAGGGGTCATTATGGGCTCCATATCCTGGGGCCAACCTGCTGCCAGGAAAGGTACTTACACTTCTCCAGCTGGTCCCCAATCACCCTGAGGAAGGCCACGGAAATCACGAGCAGATTGGTGAGGAAGCAGGCCTCGCATAGCTTGCCCATGGCAGGGCCACACAGTCCTCGGACCACGCCCTGGTAGGTGTCCTGGCCGCTGACAGAGGCTGCATAGCCCAGGATGACCAGCCCGCTGATCAGGAAGACCAAGGAGACCTGCACAGCAGGACCATGGCATTATACACACTCACGGCCCAGCCTCCATGCCAGCCACCCCCAGGTGCACCCTCCCACAGCCTCTGCAGAGATGTGCCAGGGCCCCGCCCTGCCTGAAACTAGAGAGCAGGTGGATCCTGGTGGCTGCTCTGGCTCTGTGATCACCCTCAGAGGCAGTGAAGCAGGTGGCTAGGAACCCAAGGTGAAGCAGGTGTGCCTGGTGACTCTACTGCTCATCTGCTGTGTGGCATCAGGCAGGCTGCCAGCCTCTGCTGTTCCAGCTAAGAAATGGAGTGGCCTTGCCTCCCTCCCAGGAGCGTCGGAGGTGCACTGGCTCAGTGCCCCATCTGGCGTGCCCTCTAGAAATGGGGGTTACCTTTTTCACCCTCCAGAGCTCCTGTTGCATCAGCTTCCATATTCTTTCCAATGTTTATTGTGAACAATTTCCAAACACACACAAGAAACAGGGGGACACCGCAGTGAATACCCACAAGTCATCCCTGGATTCTGTCATGACAGGCTCCCGCTTGCTTCCCTGTCTCCATGGGCTGGTCACCAAGCCATCCCAGTGGGAGATGCATCAGAGCAAGCTGCAGGCATGAGGTGCTTCCTCCCACACTCCGGGGTGCCCATGTTAACCAGAGCTCCACGTCTGTCTCTCATGGGCTCGACTTGCACAGAAAAACTGGCAAGTGCTCAGTGTGTCACTGCAGGGGTACAACAGGTGTATGCACATCCCTGTGAGCACACAGAGCCCCCCCCACCCCTAGGCAGTCCCTCTGGCCCCATCCCTACTGATCAGACACTTTCTTATGTACAACATTGGTGACATTCGTCTGTACTGTGAGCATCGGGAGCTTGTGGCTATTTTTTGCTGAGGAATAGTCTATTGTACAAATGGATCACATCCAAGCCCCCAGAGCCCCAGAATGTGACTTATCAGACGTGACACCTGCTGACATAGTGAAGCAGCTCTGGATAAGGTCACCTTGGATCACCCAGGTGGTCCAAATCCAAGAGCAGAGGTGGTAGTGGCAGCCCCATGACAAACAGGAGGCAGAGACCAGTGCAGAAGGCCTGGGGCCACCTTTGGAGGTTGTGAGGCTCTGGGCTTTCAGACTGGGAGAAGATGAATTCCTGAGGGTGGTGCTTTGACCCTGCCAACCCAACCTGGTGCTGCTGTGATTTCTTTCCCCAGCTGTGCGAAGCAGGCACTGCATCATGCAGCACCGAGGAGCCTCCTGCATCTCTTGTCCTCTGCACACTGAGCTCCATGAATCACCCCATTGCCTATTTTTTTCTTAGCATTTGCCCCAGAGATGTACCTGGCCTATCCCAAGCACTCAAGAAATAACTACAGTTGGAGGGAGGCAGAAGGAGCTCCAGCCCATGAACCACCCCCAGGACTGATGGCCATGAAGTCACAACGAGGCAGCAAAGAGCCCCGGCCATCTGAGCTGCAAGAGGGGGTCTGGGATTCATCTGATGTGGTTAAACCTCCAACCCCGATGGGGTCATTGGACCCCTCCAGACTCTGTCCACTGGCCTCCCAGCAGGAGCCATATTGGAAGGGGAGACACTGGCTGCTGAAAGGAGGGAGGTGGGTTCCTCTGGTCCTGCATTGTCTCCTGATGTCACCTGCCGGCCCCATCTCCCTGGCAGCTCTGGAGAAAGGAATGACTTGGGTAGGGAGGAGCTTGCTCATACCCAGCCAGCCCTTTTACCTCCTAGGGGGTTTCCCCTTACCCACATTTGGAGTTCCCCTACAAGTTTGATAAAGGGAGGGGGTCTTCTGTTTTTGGCAGTACTGGGGTTTGAACTTTGAGCCTTGTGCTGGCTAGGCAGTTGCTCTACCTCTCGAACCATGCCCACAGTCCTTTTTGCTTGTTATTTCTCAGGTAGGGTCTCCCATTATTGCCCTGGACTGGGCTCAGATAGTGATCCTCCTACCGACAGCCTCCCATACAGCTGGGGTGACAGGCACACGCCACCAGGCCAGGCTTATTGATTGAGATGATGGGGGGCGGTCTTGCTAACTTTTTGCCTGGGCTGGCCTCGAACTACAATCATGATCTCTACTTCCTGAGTGGCTGGGATTACAGATGTGAGTTACTGAGCCCAACCTGAAGGTAAGGATCTTGAGACCACTTTGCACAAAACTACCATCACCGGGGAGCAAGTCCAAAGTGCACAACCCCAGGCTACCCAGCCCTGCAGAGCCAACTATCATTTCTATAAATGGCTGAAGACTGCAGGGCTCAAGGTTTGGGGAACAGAGCCACACATCTCTGCCTCACAGCCCTTCCTGCTGTCCTCAGATCGGCCACAGCCCAACCACAGCTCACCTGCTTCTTTATTTTGTGGCTCGGTGTGGGACTCTGTCCTTGTTAGAAGGGCAACCTCACAGGTGCCTTTGTCCAAATCCAGGGCCACTGCACCTCCCATGGATTTCTACGAGTTCTTGCCTTGCCCAACTGGCTCACCTCTCCTGTCACCTCCTCAGAGAAGCCTCTACTGTGTCCCAGGAGTCCCCCAGCATGGTCACCCCGAACTCTCACTTGATCAGAACAAGGCTTCATGAGGACTGGAGCACACTGCCTTGTTCATCTGAGCCACGCTCAGAGCGGTGTTAGCAGCTTCCAGAGGATGTGATGGGCTCTGTGACCCTCAAACAAAACTTGACCACTGTCAGCCAGCTGCCATAAAGCACATTTGCCATTAGCTTGTCAATCTTGCCACAAAATCGGTGTCTCCTATCAGCCCAAGGAAGCAGCTTACGGAACAAAAGGAGCCGTGCTCATGAGGGCAACTCTCAATTGTGGACACTCAGCCCTGGACTGCCTGGGAAATAAATCCAGGCTCCCCTTGCGAACACAGGAGGCAGCGGACACCAGTGAGGCCCTGCAAGGCCTGGCCCAGCACGGTGGGCAGCTGGGCTGGCACACCTTACAACCCCATCTGCACATGGGCAACCTTGGTTATGGAGCTGAGGGCAGAGGCAGGAAGACCAGCTTGCTAGACAGGCCGATCAGAGGTGACTCCGTCCCGGCTGCAAAGCCAGCTTCAAGCCTGGGCACTGCAGTGCCTCTACCTGCGAGCCACCCTTGGTGGCACATGTGACCTCTCCAGGCACTACACAGCATGTTCGTGCCTAGGGCTGCCGTAGGACATCATGTCACCTCGTTAGATGAGCAGGGTAGAAGGTACCGTTTGTGACAGCCAGCTCCACAGAACAGAAAAGTCAGAGTACCTCCCACCTGCCCCAGAAGACCCCAAACACTTCCCAGGGACTTACCAGCTCCACCAGGAAGGTTGGCACCACACCCCCCGCCTTGTGGAAGGCCCAGGGGAAGTTGAGCAGGCCGGCCCCCAGCGCAGACTTCAGGAGGATGAAGACAGCGCCCAGAGAGGACAAACTCGGGGTGGCCAGGGCAGGGAGGGGCTTCTCTAGAAGGCCTTTGCTTCCGCAGGCCTGTCCTTCCATGGCTGGGGCAGCAGAGGGACAGAAGGGACAGTCTTCATACCCTCCTTCCTTGCCTCTGAGCTCACGGTCTCCCAAGATTCTGCAGGCATCTCTGTCCAGGCCAGCAAGGACCAATGTCTATCTCAGTGTCCCCAGAGCCCCGGACCCCCACCTCTCTCTGCCTTGGTCTCTGCTCACCCTTTCCAAAGCGTGATGCATTCATTTGCCCAGCCTGCTTACCCTTCTATCTTCCTACCCTGTTTATTCTCATTCTGGTCCTCCCTCTCAACCCCAAGGTGACCCTGACCCCTTCCTCCTCTCCCTCTTTTCTCCCAAATCTCCAACCTCCTCCTCCCACTGATTCTTGTCCCCCACATCCCCAGCCACCCTCTTTGCTTCTAAACTTTTGCACCCCCAGTGCCCCAAGCCCTTGTCCTTACCACCAAACCCCAATAAGGTGCCAGACAGTCCTGGGCTGCAGAGATGGTTTCAGGCTTCCTCCAGCTTTGACTGCAGCCCAGGTCTGCAGGGATGTGCCAATGAGTCATTCACAAAGGGGGCATGAGAGGTCATGTGTTGGGGACAGGGACAAGGGGTCCCAAGAGCTTGCAGCTTTTGAAACTTCCGTGGGAAGTCTGAAGATGCCCACCGCTCAGGCCCCTCCCTGGGGTGGTGCTTTCTCAGCTGTGCACTGTGGGACTGAGCTCAGCTGGAAGCCAATCCCACCCAGCACAGGTCTCAGGGTCAGCTTCTTCAGAGTTTCTGCCCCCAGTGGCCCTTCTGAGCCCTGCAGTCTGAGGGAGGGGGCATGGGAGGCACAGCTCAGAGTCTGTCACTTGCTGGCAGAGTGTGACAGGCTGAGTCCTTAACCCTCACCTGCGGAAGGGGGCTTGAGGTCCGACACAGGTGCTTCATCAGCCACTTTCCTCCCCTCCAACCTTGCTCCTCACACTAACCCCAGGCTCAGGGTCACCTGGGATCTTGTTGAAAGGCAAGCTCGGACCCCTCCTGGCCAAGGACCCTTATTTGTAACAAGCTCCACTGGGGAAGCTGCTGCAACTGGTCACAACCCACACTAGAGGAGAGACAGACTCACCGAACCCGTATGTGGGTGGCTAAGCCGGGAGAAGACTGGGAATGGCTCTGAAACCATGATTTTGAGCCTGCTTGTGGCTGGAAAGCAGCCCCTCTCTTGCTCCATTCTGGAAGCTCAGCTTGCATCAAGATTCCCCAGCATTTCTTCTGCAGGGGCCTGGGGTGGGGATCTAACACATCACAGGTATTGCTGCTGTCCGGGCCACCCCCACCCTTGAGGATAGCTGCTTTAGGTCCAATCAGCCCTATCTGTCTCACACCGGATGGGCCCACAGGGCTTTTTCCTCCATGTGTTTCTAATGGTCTCAAACCCCTGACTTGGTTACCTCTTTGAGGCTCCTCCACACAGCAGGTTCTCAATAAACACGGCACCTGCTGGGCTCAGCCTCTCAGCACGGATGTGGGAAGGGAAGCTGTCTAGGATGGCATTCATGTGGCCCCCAAACACATGTGCTAAGAACCAGACTTTGCGCAAAGATCCACAGCCATGGGCCCCACTGCATGGAGTAGGGACTGGGCTCAGGCAAGTGGAGCATGTGGTTCACAGCATTCCAGATGGCCAGTGACAAGCCTGGGATTTACCTTGAGTCTGTGTCCCTTCACAGGCTGGGATGTCACAGTGCCTCTTGCCCTGTGCTGACTCAGACAGTGCTAAGGATGGGACACACTGCAAGAATGAATGCAGATTCCAGAAAAGGGGAAAATCTCGTTTTATCCTCCATCTTAGGTTTCCTGTGGCTGCTGCACCAAAGTGCCAAAAACTTGGTGACTTAGAGCAACAGGTACTCTCTCCTGTCCTAGAAGCCAGAAGTCTGACACCCAGGTGCAGCAGGACTGGCTCCCTCTGACAGATAAAGCACCTGGGAACATGGTGCCCCTTCTGCAGATGAGGGCCCAGGGCTCAGCGTGTCACACTGCCAGCAAGTGATGGACTCTGAATGCCTTCCATGCCTCGTCCCTCAGACTGGGGGCCTTAAGAGGAGCCATTGAGGGCAGAAACTCTGCCTCTTCCAGTTGCTGGTGGCCTCTGGTGTTCCTTGGCTGTGGCTACATCACCCCCAGCTCTACCTATCTTTACATGGGGGCTCCCAGTGCCCAGGAAGGCCTCTAGTGGCCTGGGGTCTGGTGTCCAGGCTGAGCCAGGACATTCTTGCCACAGCAGCGATTTCAACTGTGTCCTCCTCACTGGACTGGGGTCATTAAACCTTGGGAAGATGGCCCTGGGCACCTCGGAGAGGGCAGGGGGGGTCCACGCCAGAGGCCAGGCTAGAGGAGGGCGTGAGCCACACGTAGTACTCACACAGCTCCCTGGGGCCTTCAGAGCAAATGAATAGCAACCCCCTTCCACCTGCCCAGCCTCCTGAGGATATAGACAAAAGGCTGAGGCTTTGGACCCCATTCATTGAGCTCTGGGGCTCAGAGGCGCTCCCCTGTCCCTGCCATGGGTCTCTCATTAGCTGCTCATTAACGTGCATGACTTAGAAATTGACCACTGGGCTGTGAAATTCCAGGCATCGGGGAAAATCTCTTCATTCTGAGGGGCTTTGATATCCACCCTCTGTCAGCATCCCAGGGCTGTGTGACCTTTCCAGAGCTGTGCAGGGCGCCTCACAGGGCCCCATCTGTAACCTCTCCTCCAGCACTGCTAGGCCTGGCACTGGCCCTGGTGCAGAAGGCAGGCACAGAGGGGCACAGAGGAGCCCTGGGAACTATGCAGGTGGTGGCCCACCCAGCACTGGCTCAGGAGTGCCTCACCTTGATGCCATTTTCCCTTCCGCATTTGGGGCAGCACTGCCTGCCCTGCCCTGCTGGGTGAGCACCTGTCACCAGGACTTCCTGAGCTCCCTCCTTACCTCCCCATGGAGGGCACTCGCATCAGATGACAGCTGGGGACTCTCACGGCAAAGTGGCCTGAGCTGGCTTCTTTGTGTTAACACCCATTAGAAAGTTCTGGATCAAGTGAGGGCAGGTCTCGGGAGCCACCTGGCTGATGTGAATGGAGACCTGGTCACTCATCGGCCACCTGTGAAATGGGATGGTCTAGTCTGGGGCTGGGGAGGAGCCAGTGGGAAGAGCTCAAGGCACAGAAGTAGTGACGACACAGCAGCCATCAGGGCTGAATGAAGCAGGAGTGCAAACCACCTTCCGCTGTCTGTGTTTTGACCTCTCAGCCCAATCAGGAGCTTCCAGAACCATCTGTAACTTAGCTACACCAGGACACCGAGGACCTCTTGCACTGCCAGTCCCAGACCCTTAGCACTCCAGGCTCCACTGGACTGGCACAGGGCTGCAAAATTCCTGTCAAGCTTCCCAAGAATGCTGCCATGAGTGGAGACTCAGAGTGAGGCTCAATGGCAAAGGCCTCCAGGGTCCTGTGTCCCTGAGCCCATGGCCTGTCCTTTCTCCACAGGACTCGGGGTGCCCAGCCCACCGAGGCAGCCGAACAGATACCACTGAGAACCCAAAGGAGCACAGCAGGGCCTCGGCATCCTCGTCCTCCCATGACAGGAGCCTGGGGCTGTAAGGACCAGCACCTAGGAACCCATAATGCATGACACCTTAGGGGCAGAGAGGAGGGAGGCCAGCTGATGAGGGTCCCAAGACGTCCTCATCCCCACCTACAGCCCCTGAGAAGATGTGACCTCACAGGACAAAGGGGACTCTGCAGATGGAACAGTCTTGAGATGGGGCAGGGATCGGGGGCATTCGGGTGGGTCCTAGATGTAACTGGGTGTCTTTGTTGGCGAGGAGTTGACGGGAAGACAGGAGTACAGACTGGGGTGGCAGGCTTGGAAAACAGGATAGGGCCATGACCAAGGAGTGTGGCAGCCACTGGAGGTGGGAAGGCAGGGCAGACACTCCTGGGAGCATCGCGCAGGCCTAGGCCAGGCCTGCCATCCCTGGACTCATCCCTGTGAGATCACTCTCAAGCTTCCAACCTCCAGAGCTGTAGGGAACTAATTTGTTTCAAGTCAGTAAATCTGTGGTCTCTTGCTACAGTGACCACTGGAAGCCACCCCCCACCCCCAACCCCCTGAACGGTAACTCTTGGGCACCCCAAGAGAAGAAGTTTTGAGCTCCCAAAACCCAGCAGGGGCCAGGTTTGCAGCTGACAGTCCTGTGTGTCCCGCTGTTCCCTCCCTCTGATGCACAGCTGCTTCTCCAGAGCTGTCATCGAGAGGGTCCCGTCTGAAGGGATTTGGACCTGCAGAGAAGAAAGCGTTCTTACGGCCACCTTCAAGTTCATGCCCCTCCTGCCCTGTGTGCAAAGGTGGCCCTAGGAAGGGCTGGGGCGGAGACGTGGAGCCCAGGCCAAGTCCACAGGCACACGCTGGGGTCTGAAGGGCCAGAGAGCGAGCCCCTCCTGGTCTCTAAGCCAGGGGATCCCATGAGGCTGGCCTGGTCACAAGAAAGTCCTGGGAGGATAGGAGTGAGCCTGTGTGTGAAAGAGTGGCAGAATTCAGGCAAAACTCACCATTTTAACCACTTTCAAGTGCACACTTCAGTGACTTTAAGTCCACTCACAATGCTATGCAACCTTCCCACTAATTCCTGAACATTCTCATCATCCCAAAAGAAAACCCCTTCCCCCAGGCCCTGGCAACCGCTAATCTGCTTTGTCTCCACGGATTTGTCTGTTCTGGACATTTCATACAAATGTGATCACACAAGATGTGTGTGTCTGGCTTTCATCCCTCAGCGTGCGTTCAAGGGTCACCACGCTGGAGCACGGGACACAGCTCTGCTCCTCCTTATGGCCAGCAGGCCGTTCCACCATCTGAATGGTGTGAATTTCCTTGTGGATGTTTTGTTTAGTGACTATTTTCTTTCTTATGGCTGCTGTTCACTCTAGGGAGCTTTTAAGAGCTCTAGGCCCTTTCTACGGGGCAGATGGTTTAGGAAGTCAGGGGCAAGGCCCCAGCCTGTATTTCTAGAATGCTCCCCTGTAATGTCTTCCTTCATGTCACCAGCAAATGAAACCAACAGCCTGTTAAGATCTGTAGCTGGGCATGGTGGTGCACATCTGTAATCCCAGTTACTCAGGAGGCAGAGAAAGGAGGATTGATGTTCCAGGCCAGTTCAGGCAAAAAGTTAGATCCCATCTCAACAAATAAGTCAGGTGTGGTGGTGCACACCTGGGAGGCATAAATAAATAAAAACTGGCAAAAAAACATGAGACCTTACTTTTTAAAAAAAGTAACTAGAACAAAAAGGGCTGGGGTGTGGCTCAAGTGGCAGAGCACCTGTCTCGCAAATACAAGCTCGAGTTCAAATTCCAGTGCTGAAAAAAAGATCCACTAAGGTGGGTATTTTTAAAAACCAAAAATTAGTATTTCTCTATAAACTCCTGCTCAGTCCAAATGTGGAAAGGCCAGCAACTGTCTGCAAACACTTGACTTTGTACTGTGCCCCACAGATCCAAGTCTTACTCCCTCATCTCTGGTCAGCCCATGACCTCAGACCAGGCTAGCCCTGGGTTTCTCCTGAGCTGGTGGCAAGCATCACAGTCGGAGAGCACCCAAAGGTGTCATGACTCCTCAGCCAATACCTGTAGGCAAGCACTCAGCAGGGGATACTGCTGTCCCTGCAGGGATGGCTTGCCCCAGGGGCCTAAGCTCAGCTGAGGTGCCTATGTCCTCACAAGCGGACATGGCATGGACAAGTATATGTGTAAACACTAGTTGTGAGTGTCCCGTGCACAGTTTCCTGGATCCCAGCACCGTCAACCCTGCTTTTTCTGACTTAGCTCTCAACTCTGTCCACTGTGATCCCATCTCTGTCCTAGTCCTATCCCAACTCTGACCAAAGCCCACAGGGTATGGAATCTTGAGACCACTGTGAGCACGTGCCACCCCTGGCTGGAAGGGCTACCTGTGACTAAATGGAGGCCTTGAACCCTCGGTCTCTGCAGAAAGCAAGCACAGGGCCTCAGCATGGAGAGAGGACAGCAGCAGAACTGGCTGTGAGGGCAAGTGACATGTACAGATGCCAACCTGGGAAGCCGGTGAGGGCCCCTCTAATGGGCAGGACAGGAACAACTCCCCAGTCCAAATGCCATTTTCTGGGCATGAGGTATCCAAGTCCCTAGGAGAGAGCCACGCAGCCAGCATGGAGACTAAACCCCTCACTGCGAATGCCCTCTGGTCAAGAACTCTGTCCCATACCGCACATGCTAGGGGGTTCATTCAGATGGGACTGAGTCTCAGGGAAGGAGACTGCAGTCTAGGGAGGCATATGATGTGCTGATCACGAGGGGGCCTGGGGCCCTGGCCCTAGCTGGGTGGCTGCAGTGTGGTTTCAGGGATCTGCCTAGGAGGAATATTCTAGAGGCTGCCATGACCCTGGCCTTAGGCTGTAGACTCAGACTGGATCCAATCACAGCCTGGCCTCTTCATATAGTGGGCCGTGAGCAGGCGCCTCCCTCACCTTACAAAGGAGACTAGAAAAGCTTTATCCTCAATTCAGTCATTTGCCAACAGTAAAGCTTGGCAGATCTCACATAATCCAGATTCCAGGCTTCTCTCAAATCAAAACCTGCACTCCCTAGCAGGGCCCGGCACCAATGAGTCCCTGCCATCTGCTGCTGCCTCCCGCCTGGCCCTTCTCTTCATTCCTGTGGCCACCGGGACCTGCACACTAGTGATACGGTAGTGACTTCGGCTGTCATGGTGCTGTGCAGTGGACAGTAAGTACTCCACACCTGTAGAGGGGCGGCAGGGGGACAAGAGCTTCCCCAGCTAACTGCCCCTTAACTGAATCTGAGAACAAGCACACAACTACCCAATGCTGACACCTAGAGCTGCTTGGGACAGGGAGCAAGGGCTTCAAGGCCCTCAGCAACACCTCCAAAGTCCTGCAGGCAACAGCAACCACAGATACAGTTATAGCCATGAGGGACCCACAGACCTGCCAAGGATGACAGGCAACAGCCACTTCTTTCTCCCTCCCTGACTTCCTTCTTCAATAACTTGCCCAGCACCCCATCGTACCCACAGGCCTTGGCAGCTTCTCTCACCTATGCTGTACAGCCTGGGGTCCAGCCAGTCAGCACACAGGATGTACTGGTCAGGAAGTAACTCAACAGTAACAGGCTGCCTCAGATCAGGCAATGGAATCTTAGACATGACCCCTAATACACAAGCAATCACATACAAAAGTAGAAAAACTAGATCCCAACAAAATTGAAGGTTTGATGCTTTAAAGGATACCATCGAGAAAGTGAAAAAGGGTGGTAGACCATCTGCCCTAGCAAGTGCAAGATCCTGAGTTCAAACCCCAGCACCACAAAAAAGAAAAAAGGAAAAAAAAATCATCTAATAAAATTGACAGAACACACTTTCAAGTCTGATAAGGGAACTGTATCTGGAACACAGAAAGCTCTTATGACTCAATAATAAAAATTCAAATATCCCAATTAACAAATGAGCAGACTTAAAACAGACATTTCTCCAAAGAGGATGTACAAAATGGTCAATGAACAAAGACTTTCCATGCCATTAGTCTTTAGGGAATGCAAATCAAAGCAATGAGCAGCCACTTCACCCTGTTAGGGTGGCCATGAGAGACAGAAAATAAACACTGGCAAAGATGGGAGACAAACTTGACGTTGCTGGAAAAACGTGTCTCCTCCATATATGGTTTTACATACACACCTGGCAGTTAGTTCCTCCTTGAGTATCATTTCACTGCTCCTAAGTATACAGCCCATCTCCCAAAAAATCCCAAACATGTTCACACAGAAACTTGTACTTCAGTGCTCACAGTGGCACTGTTAAGTACTCTATCAATGCAGTGGAATATGGTTCTGACACACGCCACACCACAGAAGAACCCTGAAGATATGATGCAAAGTGAAAGAAGCCAGTTGCAAAGGACCACGAGTGTGCAAGTCCACTGACAAAATGCCCAGAACAGGCAAATGCACAGAGCCAGAGAGCAGACAGGCCCCAGGTTGAGGAAGGAGAGGGGTGACTGCTAATGGATCTTTGCTTTCTTGGGAGTGATGAAAATGTTCTGGAATGAAGATGTCAATGGTGACAGTTGCATGACCGAGTGTGTACACAGAAACCCAATGAACTGCACGCTTTAAACAGAACAGGAAACCTTACAGTATGTGACTTGGCCCCTCCAGGACAGGCGTTAACAGCCTGCTCTAACACACTCTTTGAGCTTCATACAGGCTATGCGTATTTATTGAAAATCCTTCACCGACAATGGTGAGATCAAGACCCCAAATTACAAAACATGATGGCAGTCGATACTTATAAAAATAAAGCGAAGGTCTGTGTTTCACAGATTTGTGCAAGTTTCCTTCAGATCTGTCTGTCCTCCCATCAAAATGGAGATCATAGAATCCATGTTCTTTCTCATGATGTAAGAGAAGAAAACCGCATTCCGTTAACAAAAAAATAGCACAAATCTTTAAAGTGACTCTTCCCCACAATAAATATAGAAAATAGCCTTTACAAGCATATCTTAGCTTGGTCAGGGTTGTTGCGTTTATGTAGAAAGTACTCCTCCCTCTTGGGGCAGAAGCTCCCCACTGCTCCCCCAAGCTCTGTCAGTCTTTGGTGCACTCAGCTACTGGGCACAATGCTACTTGAGGCCGAGCCTGGAATCCCTTCTGCTGGTGTCTAGGGCCACGAGGTACTTCAGGATGTCCCATGGGCCTGGACGCTTCACAGGAGGAGAGGCCCAGGCAAAACAGACTCTACTGGAACCATAGCTGGAGATGGGGTCCCTCTGAAACAGGTGCCTCCCAAGACACCCTCTGAGCACTGCTTGCTCACCAGAGCAGGCAGTAAAGGCATCTGGTTCACACAAGTTAGTCAGACTGATGGTCACACTGATGGGGTCTTTGGTGGGTGGACCTGCTGCATGAGCTGTGGGCGCTTCACCCTGGGCTTCCTCCGCTTGGGCCTGCTCTTGGCCTTGTTGATTTGTACCACAAAGAAAGCCAGGACCACCATGGCTCCCAGGAAGGCAAAGACAGGGATGGTCTGGCCCACCTCCTGGTTGTAGCGGCCAGGCATGATCCCTGCAAGACAACGGTAAAGGGTGAGCAGAGCCACAGAGCCACTGCTGCAGCCTCTTTCTATGCACCGCCAGCTGGCTGATTCCATCAGTTGAGAAGCTTGAGCTGAAGTAACCCAGGCTGGAACATGGTGGGGAGGGACATACAGTGCATTCTCATCAGCTCAGCTGAGGTGTCCCTGTGTGTGTGCACTGGGGGCTCTGCTTCCTTTCCTCTCAGCTTACCAGACAGACCCAGGCCTTGTTCCTATCACAGATAATCTACTGACAGGAGTTTTTAGTGTCCCTAAAGCAAAGAAGATAAACAAGTCTCCATCCAGAGAGGAGAGTGGTATGTTGAAGTCCTACTAGGAGAGCAAGGAGGTAAAGGAGGGAGAAGGTAAGGACCACTGGCCATGTCCACTCTGGGAAAGTCCTCTGTGGGTGGGACCTATGATTGAATAGCGGCAGTGGTTACTGAAGGACCTTTGATTATAAATGTGGACAGCTATGTAGCTGAGCAATGCTGAGGGTTCCCGAGCACACCAATGGCAATGTGCCCATGACCTATATGCAACGCCCTCAGATCTTAGCATCACCACACAAAGTCCCCAGGGGTGAGCAAGGGCTGGGGTACCCTTTCCTGATCCCCAGAGTTTCTGTCCAATTCCTGAAACCCAGAGAGCCTCCCACCCCACCCCACCATAAGCCTCTTGTGGAGGCTACAGGAGTTTCCAGAGCAAATGAGCTGCCCACACTCAGCTGGAGTGGCTGAGGAGGAGAACCTGGCCCAAGGAGTCTGTCTGGGACAAAGACCTCAGCTGAGGAGGGGACAGGACAGACCACCTCAGGGGCACAGCCCAGCTTGGGCAAGGGTATCCCAGGCAGGTGGGGACCCAGGGGATGGCAGCTGAGGGCAGGCATCCCTGGGGAGCACAATATATGCTCACCTGCACAACCTTCATAAAGAGTGTGCAAGTAGCTCTGTACGTTTTTTAACGAAATTGGAACTTTCTGAGAAATAACGGCAGCTTCATGTCCTAGACCCGCTCTTGGCCTTGCTCATTTGTACCACAAAGAAGGGAAGGCCCACCATGGCTCCCAGCCCGCATGACTCAGCATGGCAAGAGAGGTCTAAAGACTCACCTCCAGGAATGTCCCAGGCACCACTTTCTCCAGGGGACAAGGGTCTCACTTGAGGGCGATTCGACCGAAAGTTGGGTAACACTACTTTGTCCAGGTCGATGGAGAGTAACTTCTGATGTTTCCAAAGATTACTTCAGAGAAATGGGTTAAAAGAGAATAAAGATGAGCAACTGTAGCTGCCTAGGACGTTTACTTAGCCAGTGCCTGAGAGACGGCAAAGTGATCACAGGGAGTGTGAGGACTCCATCTCTACCCAATGCCCTGCAGGGCAACCAGAGCAAGTGGCCTTTGCTAGGTCCTGAGAGAGCAATGTCAAAACCAAGTGCAGGCTCTAGATTTTGATTCAAGGAGGAACTGTTCTACTGGGTAAAAATACTCCAAAAGAAGCCCAGTTTTGCTTAAAGCTAGCAACACTGCCAAGCAACTCGAGAGGACAGTCCAGGTGGAAGGAGTCGGAGGATGGGAGGAGCTGAAGCCTCGTGAGACACAGGCGCCATGGAGCCCCTCTCCTTGAGGCACCAGAGCACGTAGAACTGGCTTTCTGAGGAGCGGAAAGCGATGCAGCGAAGGGCCTGTGCAACAACCACACACAGGAGCTGGGCAGATGGTGCTGGGAACCACACATCACCAGGTCCTCAAGGAAACCACCGTATGGAGCAAGAGCAGGACAAACTCACGAGTAGCCAAGCACTGGCGAGCGTAAGCAGCAACACAGAATCAACACTTGCTCTGGCTGCAGGGTGGGCGACCGTCGGCAAAGCGTGTATGTTCTGTGAAGGCAGGACACTGTATACACAGCACTACTCATTTTTAGATGAGGAACTTGTTTAAGTCAATATGACTAGAACTGAAGAAGAACCCAGTGCCTGCCCCACTGCAAACAGCAGCAGACAGCTTGGAGGACACCTGGCTTAGAGCCAAGCATTCCAGCACTGGTGGATGGAAACCCAATGCTGTTCTGACTTAGGGAGAAAAATGTCTCCGAATGGCAAAGTCCGTGTGTCTTTGCTCTGTCCATGTGGAAACGGTCAGCCCATACTGTTACTCTCATCAAGTAGTCAAAGACGCCCAGACCCATTAGCAGCAGCCAGGCGCAGGTCAGTGTGAAGCCTGGCGAGGAGGAAGATGCCAGCGCAAGTTTTTGGCTGACCACAGCTTCGGAAGACCACAGCCGACAAGACCGACAAGACCATCAGCTGGCCTGTGTTACATGACCTAACTCTACAGCTCTGGATTAATCAGTCTGAAATTTTAACTGACAAAGTCACGGAATCAGTACATTTAGGCTCTTTGGCTTTGTGGCTGAATGCACATGGCCACGCTGTCATTTAACAACGATGCCTGTCCTGGAGTGTAATGACTAGTGATAGTGCTTTCTAATGGAGCAGTCATTACCAAATGTTCCTGTCACCACTGGAGAGATTCTCAGCACCCTGATGGAGGGACAGAGGGCAGGTCCACCTCAAACAGGGGCTCCTCTTAGGGTCAATGCTCCCACAGGGGCTCTAAGATGCCCAACCAAAAAGTGGAAAGCACCTCATTTCAACAGATGGAAATGTGCCCTTGGCATGGCTGATAGCTGCCTGCCACTGGCAAACACTGGTCTTGTCTTCTACAGAGTCAGAACATGTCTGGATCTAGAACATTAGACAATAATACTTCCCATGAGATGTGAAATCTGAGATAAATGTGAGATGCAGGGTACACTAAGGGAAAGGAATCACTGAGAGTGACAGTAAAAATCCAACCCCAGGAGTTGTGCATTATCAGAACCCTTGGCGGGCTCAGCATCTGATGGATTATTTAATGGGGATGGGTAGATGGTAAAGGGTATTGTTGTCTGTTCTCAGAGTCTTGGACAATGCTGTGGAGAGTAACTGAGTTTCTGCAACTTTAGCTAGCACTGACTGTCCTGTAAGTAAGAACTGCTGACCGTATCTGGAATCTAAAGTCTGGTTTGGATGCTAGGATAATAGCAGGTTATAAACAAACAGGGTACAAAACTGGAAACACATCCTAAGTCTTAAGTGATGGAACACTACTGGAATGGAAAAGTACTCAGTAACTGAAGTTTAGGAGGAAAGCTGATGCTGAGAAGACAACATGACACTTTGCAATGTTTGTGCTTTCTCTGAAGCACGTCCCCATGAAGACAAAGAGCCACCGAATGGTGGATTCAGCGCTTTCTGCTTATGACAAATAGTACAGCAGAGAACGCTTCAACACCTTGCCACAGGCATCCTCTTTGTCACAGCATGGACGTGGTCCCATCCCTGGCCATACCACACCTGTCCATCCTGATCCAAGCACAATGGTGGCCTTAGGAAGGGAGAAAAGAAGGCAAGGCAGGGGTCCTCTTTAGAGTGGTCCTGTGGCCAGGAGGGTTGAGGGCCAGCGGGAGGGACTCCCACCTGCCTGGCAAGGACAAGTCTGACAGCTGTCCCTGGAAGACCTGGTCCCGTCTTGCCATGCCCTTTCTTAGAAAAAGTCCCCGTTTTCCTTGTATTGTCCTGCTCAGACAAGTGTGCCAGCAAGAGAGAAAAGGAGAAGATGCAATCTGGCCTGGCCAGAGAGAAAAACCAAGGGAAAACGATGCAAATTAAGAGGTGGAGTTAAACAGGAAGGCAGAGAAGCAGGGCCGCTCTACTTGGCAGGCAGGGTGAGGGCTGCATGGGGTATCCTTCCCCATGATACAATCGTCACTGGAGGTAAATGACACCAGCACACTCTTCCTGGTTGGACTGCTGCCGCATCGGCATACCTCCTGGGAGCAGCCTCTGCCTGGGGTACCACAAGAGAGTGAGCTGCCTCCTAGAACAGGGAATACAGCTGCAACCCCAACTCCTCAGGCCAAGCCAGAGATGCTGCTCTGTTGGATCATGGCTTTTTAATCAAGGGCTGGTCAGAGCAGCACAAGGCTGATTCTGCAAAGTGCCCTTTCATGCAAGATAGCACCAAAGGGCCCATTTCTAAAGGTCAGTGCAGGGTTCACTAGCTTACATAAATATCAGAAGATGACAAGCTAGGAGATGTGGTTATTTGGTAATGTCAGCAAAATTTCATTCTCTCCTCATAGGCTCAGTGCAACAAGAGGGAAAGCACAGGCAGACACTGACCTGGGTGCCGTCTCATTCAAAGGCTGTGGCTTGGCCCAAGACAAGTGTGGACAGGCTGGAAGAGGCCGGGGTTTCGGGTCTCCCAGATGGGCCTCAAGAACCTTGGAGTACCGATGAAGATGGTTTCCTGCGGGCAGCAGTAATACCACTGTTATCAGAATGCAAAGGGGGAAGCGTGACTTTGGGTTTGTCTGTGTGCATGCTGCCAAAGCCTGCTGAGCTGCTAACCTGTCCCCTGCATGCCTCAGGACCACAGCTGACAGGCTGTTCCACACAAGCGCCTTCACTGCTGAAGACCAGTGCAAACTCAGCACTCTCCTTTACATAGCCACACTGGGCAAAGCCCTGGCAGGCGAGCATTTGCTGGCCATCAACTGTACACACGAGGCCACTCAAGGAAACAAACACAGAACAATCTTTTTCTTGCTAAATATTCAATTCTCCGACAAAACAAAAAACCCCTACAGTTTCAAAGTTTCCTACAAATCTTATGTTAGTGCCATCTAATACAGTAGCCACTATCTACCTGTGGCCATTGAACAACCAAATTGGGCTGGAGTCAGATGTCTAAATATTTTGATCTATTAAGTTAAAACTACATTATTAAAATTGTCACCTTACTTTTTTTTGCAGTACCGTGGCAAGAACTCAGGACCTCACGCTTGCTAGGCAGGTTTTCTACAACTTGAGCCATGCCCCCAGTCCTTTTTGCTTTTGTTATTTTTCAGACAGGGTCTCACATTTTTTCCCAGGCCAGCATTGATCACAATCTTCCCATTTATGCCTCCTGAGTGGTTGGGGTGACAGGCATGAGCCACCGTGCCCAGCCTTCTTTTTACTCTTTTAATGTAGCTGCTAGAAATTTGCTTCTTTGGGTTTTTGTTTTGTTTTTGAGGCAGGCTCTTGCTATGTGGCCCAGGCTGGCCTTGAACTCACAATCCTCCTTCCTTGGTCTCCAAGTGCTGGGATCACTGCCATCCCTGTACTACCTAGCAGAAATTCTAGCACCTGTGGCTCACATCACCTTTCTATGGACAATGCTTCAAGGAGGAGAACATCTGGGACCATGAGCACATTAGACACCTGCTGTGTCTAAAGCAGCTGGAGGCACTTGCACAGATCTCTACGCAGCACTCTGGGCCCCCACCTCATACTGCCCAGGTGGCTTGGGGTAGTTACTTAACTCCTTTCAGCTCCTGTTCATCTGTACACGAAATAATAGTGTCTACTTTCACAGGATTACTGAGAGGCAGCACAGACCTAATCCCTGTAAAGCACCCAGCCTCGTGCCTGGTACCTGGTACCTAGTGGGCACTCAAAAATGCTGGCCATTGTCCTTGAAGACCCCAGGAGTCAGCATCTTGTGGCAAAGGAGGACAGTTAACACAGATAAGGGTTAGGGGAGTGTGGGCGAGCACCTGCACACACTGTGGTCACTCACTGCCTGCTCAGCCATCAGCAGCCATCAGGTGCCCTGGGGCACCACTAATGGGCTTGTGGGCATGACCACCTCCGGAGGCAGCGCTGAGCTTGGCAGGCTCCACCTTCCCCACTGAAGCACTGTGGGAGGCCACTTACTCACCTTCCATCCTCTCAGGAGGGGCCAAGCCAGCTCCGCTGGGAGGGCGCTGTCGGTTCCCTGAATGACTGAGGCTGGGAGGGGTCACTCCATATGACGTATATTGAAGGAGTGCATCCAGAAGCCAAAAGCAGTCTGTGGAGTCAACGAGCATGCTGTTTAGGAATGGGTTTTTAAACACAGGAATCTCTACAGGAAAATAAAAGAAAGTTAGCTCCCAGAAAGGGGAGTACATGGGAGTTTAGAAGTCAGAGTGTAGGTGCAAGTAAAGCTAGCAGCCCAGATTCCCATACTCTTGTGAAATATGCATCCTCCATGGCTGACGGCCCAGTCCACCCAGACCAACACACTCCAGCACAGCTGACTGTGGGAAGGCTTCACTCCCAGGGCCCCAGGGCTCTCGGAAGGTCAGCATCACTGGGCTGGACCAACTGCCTGAGTGCCACACTTGGCCCTGGACTGCTTATGGACAAGAACAGAAGGGAGCTCATTCAGAGATGGCAAACCCAGGTGATGTGAAAAGAATGGACTTGAGAGTAGAGGCACGAAGGCAAGAGGGCGGAGAGTAGAGGACCAACAGTTTCTGCCTGCAGGTGCTCCAGGGCAGGAAGCAGTTTACGTAAACTATTGGGAGGGTGCACACCATGGGGAAGTGGGTTCCAGGTTGAAATGGGTGAGTCTACTAATTTCAGCTCGCCTTTGAGTCACCAAGTACCAGTCAAAATGGTCAGTTCTCTTCTGGGGACATCTTAGAGTCTCAACAGCTCCCATCAGAGCCACACATATGCCTCCTTCCTCAAGGGGTAGGTGATGCTGCCACACCCAGAGCTGACCCCTCTGCCACCACATACACTCTCCTCATGTCTGCCCAGCCACGTCCCATTAACACCAGCTCAGCTTGCATGAGACTCCTCAGAGGAAAAATGTCATCATGTACATTACTTTTGTGAAGAAGCAGTTCTGGTCAAGTAGTTGAAGCCCATGAAAAACCCTAAAAGCTGCCATTTGAAACATCAGGATGCAGACGTTCTCTTGGGTATTTAAAATTTAATAAGGGCTCTTACTGAGATCTCAGCTCTTAAGAGAGAATCTCTGTGGAAATAAAACATTAATCTTCTCTCCTCTGTGACTTTAATCTTGCTTTTGATTTTTAAAAAGACCAATCATATTCTAATGGTTTACAGAACACCTAGAATCCAGTGAGCCTCAACTTAAAATGGGAGAGGTGCAATGCACAAGCCTCAGCCCCTGCCTGGAGGCCTGTGTCTGGGCAGCCACCCGCTGTGACCCCTGGGCACTGACTGCCCCACCCGGCTCCCCAGTGGACTCAGGGAGTCAGAGGTCAAGTTTTCAGCGCTGGGTTTTCACCGTCTTACCAGAAAGAACATGGGTCCATGTGCCCAAATCATTGCGCCCATGTGGTGTTTTGGGTTTTGTCAGTCTGTAGTGCTGGGATGGAACCCAGGGCCTTGCACATGCTGGGTAAGCACTCTACCACTGAGTTACACCCCAGCCCTTCCATGTGCTTTCACTGTACCTTTCTGTCGGTGACTGTCATCTAAGCAATTGGAGTCTCCATACAGCACAATCCGGCCTCCACCCTCAGCTGGAATCTGATAAAGTCCCAAAATGGGGACATTTTCAACAACTGCTGTCTCCTGCTTCAAAACCTCCAACCCTGAAACAACACAACAATGAAAACAGCAATCAGAGCTTCTGCTGAGGAATGACTTTCAATCTGCCACTTGAGATGTAAGGTACATGACCAAAAAAAATAGCAAAATCTCATATCCAATTAAAACTGTGCAAACTTTCAGGACACAAAAGCAGTATCTAAATGTCAGTAATTTTGGTTTTAGCAAAATTCAGCCAGCAGCTCTTGCTAAACAGAGGTGACCACAAATACAGTTACACAGGTTTTATGTTTATTATTAAAAGTAGGACAAATTTAAGTAACTTTCAAAATGTATGCTCTCCTATTTCCAACTTAGATTTAAGATGTTGTATTAATTTCACAAATATACAAGTTCCCATGGCAAAGCCTTCTTTTTTCTGTCCAATGACACAATTTGAAATGTTTTATGAACAAGAAATAAAAATGTGTAAGTGCCAAGGCAGCAATTGTCAGCGGCATGCATCATCTCAGTCTGCCTTCTCCTGAAGCACACACTGTCCTCAGCACTAGCAGATGACGCACGTTATCAGAAGCCAGTAATTTCTGTGGCAATGATATCTAAACTGTCTACGGCAACAGTTCTGCCCTCTGTGTGCAATTTCTCTAGAAGCTAAGCAGAAAAAAAAACACAATGTTCTCTGGAAGGAGGGAAGACAGAGCGGGGAAAGACGTGGGAAATGTGCACTGTGCTATTTGGTCTTGTGGTCTGATGAGTTTTGCTTCTAACAACAGGTCTTTTCTGAACTGTCAAAAGTCCTATTTTGTAAAAGGCTATTCAACTTAAAGCCAAGGCAACTGATTTTTGTTCTCAAGTATGTATCGCTAAACCTACTTCTGATATCCCCCTCACCAAAACAATGAGCTGCCAGAGGGCAGCAAGCCAGTTAGGAGACCATAGTTTTTAGCCCTTTGCCAGTACCTACAACGGGAAGTACACGCCTGTGAAAACTGCTTTTACAAAACGTCACCGAGCAGCAGAGACTGGGAAGACATACTTTTATGTGCATAATGCTAAATGTAACCCTGGGAAAGAAAGGCAGACCTTGTGTTGATGAGGGAAAACACTTTTCCATGGAATACAAAAGCTAAGTTCTATCATCTTGCAGCCCCGAACAGGTAAGCTGAGAAATCCTACAGTTTCACATTTTCAACTAATAAAACTGCCTCTAATCTGACCCCCCAAACACACTCCTTTTTTTGGGGGGGGGGGCACGGTGCACAGCAATATTGGGATTTAAACCTGGGAACTCATACTTGCTAGGCAGACACTCTACCACTTGAGCTATACTTCCAGCCCCTTTTGCTCTCATTATTTTTGAGGCATTCCACCAGCCCGCTCTGGTTATTTTTGAGATGGAGGTCTCACTTTTTTCCCAGGCTGGCCATGAACCTTGACCCTACCAATCTCTGCCTGTTTTGAGTAGCTGAGATAACAGGCATAAGCCACTGCACCCAGCCAAAAACAGTAATCCTGTTATAGTGGTGGAGGCTGGTTGTTCTGAAAACCCCAACATCAACTGCAGAAAGAACTGGATCCACCTCATACATTTTCACAAGCCTATCACTTAGGGCGTGTGATAGTCTCACAGTGCTGGGCAGAATGGAGAATCTTCTCATGGTTCAGAATCTCAGCTCTGGAGTGATGGCTGCAGGAAGGATGCCCTGTGGTCCTCTTGCCACCCTACTGCTCTGCATCTGGTTTTCAAAGGCAGGAGTGACTAAGCTCACCCCTCCTCTATGCACGCTAAGCACTCAGTAATATCACAGATACTGATCTGGGGACAGGCCTGGGCCATCTTGAGTGTTATCTGCCTGTAGCTGAAGCAAAACTGAACAGGTATGCCATCCTGCAGAGGATTTTTAGAGGCTACTCTGTAATTACTTTTTTTATATTTATACAGCTAAGAATTCTAAAACAGTTTATCTATAGCAGAACAATTCATAGGTTGTAATGAACATCTGTGCTCCTCTGCTGAAGGAATTCCATTTCTTTGCAGTGGCCACTATATACATATGTTCAAATTACCCCCAAGAGTCTGTCTCACCCCTTTGTACACCGGGAGCCTCTGCCCAAAGCCATGCCTATGTTAGTTACTATAAAAATAATACTGTAACAAATTCTAAAAGGAACTAAAAAGAGAAAAAAAAAAAAGAAAAAAGAAAAACCCACACAAGAGAATCAGAGCTACTAACAGGAATTCTTTGAGGATAATAAAAATGTTCTGAAGGTTGTCTGTGATGGGTATATAATTGTGTACTAAAAACACTGAACTGAACACTTTGCAAGGGTGAATGTTGTGATGTGCAAGTTATATGTAATAAAGCCACTATTAAAAAAGAGGAGAAAAGGAGAAAAGGGGGGAAAGGAGGGATAGAAGAACCAGAAAGCCTGTAAACAGTATCCTTTACCTTGGTCCTTGAAAGTCTGTGTTATCACTATGCCATCTTCTGGAAACTTGGCGATGCTGCACCCAGAAGCATAGTACACTAGAAAACAGTCATCCAAGTTATAGGAGCAGAGACACCGAGCACGGCACAACAGCTTCCATCTGCCCAACATGGGCTCTGACATTGTCAACATTTACTTGCAAAGACTACTCTAATCTTAAGACACAAACTGCGATCACCTTGTCACACTTAAACTACAAGCAAACACCCAGAATTCAAGTAAAAAGTCATATTAACATATGACTTCTGAACAGATTTTGTTAAATAAGAGCAGCCAGATGACCAAAACAAGCTAAGTCAAGACTTGCAGGACCAGTGAGTGTAACACTCACGGTGTTGTTCTAGAAACTAAAACCAAAAACATATCTGTGGGAAAACTTCTTAAATGAGATATGCAAAGTTATTTCATAACTTTTTTATATTTTATTTTACAAATAATTAGGAACCTCTGAAGTATTTCCTATTTGAGAATCTATAGTATATAAAGACCCTTACAGGCAGCACCAAAATCAGGGATGATTACATAACATTTTCATTTTAGAAACCTACACAAAATTACCATGGCTACCACACAGCTTTACAGGTGTATTTTTTTCCAGTGCTGGGGAAAAGAATCCAGGGCCTTTCATTAGGTATATGCTCCACCTCTGAGTTACATCCCCAACCCTAGCTATACTTTCTGAAAGCACTGTCTCATTCTTTCACAGACTCTAGCTTATTTAGGAATCACACCACTCTCTCCCTCTCTCTGAAACTTAAGACTGTAAAGGCTTGCGCTCTCACACCTCTGGGAGTAGCAAACCTCTTCTCATACACACAAGCCTTACTGTCATGGCTGGCTAAGGCGAACTCCCCTTCATACAGGCCATCACTGAAGCCCATGTTCCACACAGACAGCAGCTCATTCAGAGCTGGGATATTGGCTCCTCCAGTATCTGGCATCCACCACTGCCTAAAAGGGGAAACAGACACAGAAGGCAAGAATTAAACACTCCGTACACACTTCACCTTTTTGTGACAGAATTAAACATCCCTTGCTACAATCCAGCCCACCCATCCACACAAAGTATCAACTGAAACTAGCTGCTTGGTTTGAGAAATACTGCAAACTGGTTCAACCGATGTGAATATATTAAAACTTTTATTTTATGAAATGAAAATCATACTTCCTTGAAATGTACCACATATAACTACTGAGCCAGAATGAAGTAAAAGAAATGAGAAAGCAGCTTATACAAGTTCAAGTCACAAGACTCTAAAGAAAAGAATCCAAAAATCTTATAATGTATTTATAATACTCTAGGAATCTTCATCAAAAATTAATTAACTAGAAAGTTCCTTTAGAGATGTAGATGGATGGAACAGGACCAAAGAGAAAGTTAAAGCTCAAATCTCTGAGATCAACAAAGAAAGAAGAGGACCCTCTGCATTAGCACTTGGGTTCAATGAGCACCTCACTTTACAGGAACTTTCTCCCAGACACGGAGCTTTTTCTGTCCACACACCCTGCTACCAGAAAGATTTTAACAAGTCAGATATTCACAGAAGTACTTGCTGGCAGAATTCTAAGTCCCCCAAAGTCACAATTCTATCCAAATATCAACTCCTGTCAGTACCTCGTGTTCTCATCGTAAAACTTCACTTTTCTCATAACGGAGGTGTTGTACCAGTCACTGAAGACAACGAGTGAAAGGCCATGGTCCACATCCCTCCTCAACTTGGTGATCTCCTCGGGGAAGTACTCCTCTTCACTGTCCACCATTAGCAGAGTTCCTGATGGACAAAGTACCAAGGTTTGAGGACTATCACTTCTGAACGACAGGATGCCACTGTTTTAGAAACCTGGCATTTCACCAGGGTTCATACCCTAGTAGTTTGATTTGTGCCACCCTGTACTACCACAGAAGGTGAAAAATAAAGGATCAGGGCCCAACAATACATAGGGACCACTAGCTGTGGTCTGTGGTTTCAGTTGTGCTTAACTGATCAGGTAGGGCTGAGCTTCCTGTAATTAAAAAGATGCACTGTCTCTGTCCCCAACCAGTCTACTCATTCTGTACTTAAGTTGAGTGGCACAACCACCACCACCAAGGACATCATTCATAGCCTCCTTCCCAACCTCAACTCGGATATACGGTTCATTCTGAGCCTCCTTTTATTGGCCTAGCACCAAAACCTGTGGCTCATTTTCAAACATCTAACACATATCCAACGTGTGGTGGAAGATCATCTGGCTGTCATGTCACTGCTGCTCACCATACTGAGTGGCGTCAAAACATGTGAAGGGAGAGCCGAGGACCTCCACAAAGTAGCCCATGCTCCTCAGATGCTGGTACATGTCTCTGAAGTTTGTGTGGATGTGGTCACCATTCCTGAAAAGCAGTAAGCCACGAGGTTAAAATGACCAACCTCCACTTGCAATAAACTGAACCCCATTCAGTTACAGGGTTATCTCAGAAGCCCAAGTATCTCTCAAGGAGCACAGTGTCATTCCCAGTAGAGGAGGCCTGGGGTGCTGGCTGATGGCACAGGAGTTTCCAGAACTGTGTTCTCTGGGCCAGACACAGTAAAGTGAGGAGTAAGAGGGAAATTGTGTGTTATATGCATAGATATGATAAACTGACAAGAAGAAACAGGCAATGAAATGTTTTTTAAGATGCACTGAAGCAGCATGTCAGCAGTGACACCCATGTGAACTGCCAGCAGCCATCTGTATCTGACAACCAGCTTAGTGCATGGCCACAGGGACGGAGAGAAGCTGGCACACACCATGCAAGGTGAGTGCCAGGACTTGCACTTCACACAGCTCACCTACTATCCCCTTTCCATCCTTTTCCTCCCAGATGTGCTCACTTTTCCACTGCACACTCTAGGTGAACTGCCCAAATGACCAGCGTGAACACCCAGGGCACACGGCACATTCAGCCCTACAGAACTTACCTCCTAAGTAGCACTGACTCTGTGGGATCTTCTGCAAGCCCATGGCCTTGCTCTACTCCGTCAATTTCCCCCTCCTCATCTACCTGCCTTCACCAACCTTCCAGGGACATCTTATTTTAAAAGACAAATTTGACCCTCTTTACCCTGGTCAGATCTTCCAATGCACCCCCCCCCCCACACACACACTTTTGACATGGAGCCAAATACTTAACAACATAGAAACGTGCCTGGCTTTTTGGACCAAGAGAAATGTGGCTTAGCTGCCCTGCAGAGGACAGCAACTGTGACAGGGGTGTTTGAGGAGCCAGGAGGGAGGCAGCCCCAGCTTGGGGAGGGTGTGGCCATTTGAGTGAGTTGGAAAATAAAGTCACTGGAGACTTTGAAGCGACTGTGTACAGTTTATGTTTTCTGATGACTAGCACAGCTGCTATGTGGGAAATGAATTTAGGAGAGCAAGCTTGAGAGCAGCGAGGCACACCAGGATGTCATCCAGGTGGGAGAGAGCGGAAGGCCAAACACGGAAGGACTGGGTGTCCAACCTATCAATGAGGCTGACCAGACTTGCTGCCTGACTGAATGGAGAGGTTAGCGAAAGAGCAGCTGAGGATGATGTCAAGGTTTTTACTGCACAATTACTTAGTTAAGCTGTGAGTGTTTCAGAAGAGAAGGCAGGTGTCCTCAAGCCCCAGTGTGGAAGGACAGGGGTGGGGTGGGGTGGAAAGCATGGGAGTGAGACAGCTGCTTACCAGTCCAGAGGGTCGTTCTTCATCCTTAGGTTGTCCCGGGGGAAGTAGCCAGGGGGGTAGCGGAGGTTGTGGTACTGGTCCCAAAGGACTCTCTTGCTCCGAGGAGGGGTAGGAATTATCTTCACCTTAATTGGGAGCTTCACTGTTGAAGTTTGCTCTGCACCATTGTTTGACTGAAAAAAAAAAAAAACAACCCCCCCAACCCAGAAACTTAAAATGCCCATCTTTCCCAAGAAAAACACAGGTTTGGGGGTTTAAAAAGGCCTTTCTCTTTTCTATTTTTTGTTTTCTTGAGACAGGGGCTTGCTATTTAGCCCATGATGGCCTCAAACTCTTGATCCTCCTGCCTCAGCCTCCCAAGTGGTGAGATTATAAGTATGTACTACCATGCTCACCTTAGAAAGATCATTTCTATTCATCACTTCAAACATAATTTAAACAACAGAGCTTGCAGTAACAACAAATGTTCATGTATCACAACTAATTCCACTCCAAGTCAAGAGTCGAAGACAATTTGAGGCACTTCATTCCTGAAAGCTATTAGAGCCACAAAGGACTGAACCTCCATTTCCTTTTTGAGAGGCCTCATTTTAAGGTTGAAATCTGGCCCAAGCACATCCTCTTTGCCAAGGAACATCAGAACAAGCACCTAGTCCTCATGTCCTGAACTGGTGGTAAACGCAGCTGCTCTGGATCCCTGGACCACCATGTATGGCCATGAAGACAGTCTCTTCCCTCAACTGTACTTTGAACCCAGACCCTTGGTATTAAGACCCTCCCCCTGCAATCTTGGCAAAGGATGACAAAAGGTAAAGAAAAGCCACTTCCTGGCATGTCCTTACTTCCACTTCTGCTGGGGAAGCCACCGTGATCATAACATGGCCCTGGGCAATGCCTTCCCAGGAAGCCGCCTTCTTGGTCACAGAAATGGAGATGGCCAGGTAGCCTGACCAAGGCCACAACACCGAGGAGTAAGAGAATGCGACTTCAATGTTGTCTCCATTCTGTGGCAGATAGGGCTGCCAGTCAGGCTGCAGGAAAAAGAAACCAGGCCAAGGCTGAAGTGAAATTCGGGACAGAAAATACGCGGAAATCAGAAAGGCCTCAATTCCTAAATTACCTTAAGTGACTTTTGAGAAATGTTTTATTAAATTGAGCAAAATAAAATTTATGCACAGATACTAGGTAGTGATGCGCTGTCTGGAAGATATCCACTAGAAAAGCCTGGAAACCACTGTCTCAGGTAAGTGTCCAGGTTTCAGCCAGCAGTGAAACACGTCAGAAGTTGTTTTGATGAGGTACTTCTGTCTGATTAGAGAACTTACATAAATGAAAACCCTCAGATTTGAGGTCAGATGCCAATTAGTTGTATGCTGAAAGAATCACATTAATTAAAAGGAACAAAATGACACAAACACTAACTGTCCCCAATCAAATCCTGCAGCCAATGGGAGTGTGGGGTGATTAAAGGCAGCTCCCTGGCTGTCCCCGCTAGGTTGGAGGAAAGTGGGGACAGGCGTGAGTACACATTTGCTCACAACTGCCCAGTACTTCGAATCAACCTAATGACTCCTCTCCTGACAATCAGAGAGCAAGAATAAAGTCCCCAAATGAGTCAACAGAGCAGAAACACTTCTGGAAAAGAAAACTATTTGCAGGACACAGCATCACAAAAGTGAGAGGGAAAGGGACTGTAATGAATGCTCTTGGGACACTGGTTAGCAACTGAGAAAAAATTAACTTTCATCCATCTCTATGCCACAAATCAAATTAACGGATAAACTCAATGTATCATAATCACATAAAAGAAAATTAGTAGAAATATAAAACTGAGATTTCATATTCTGTAGGGGTGTCTAATCTTTTGAAACAATAGAAGAAATCACAAAAGATGAAAATTCAACTACATCAAAATTAAAATGTTTGCAGAAGGAGAGAGAAACAAAAACCACCACAAGAAGAAGGCAAACAATAATCCGCATAAAACACAGCAATGGTTAATTTCTGACATGAAGATCTTGTCAGGATCGACAGGGGAAACCCCAGCTCCAGCAGAAAAATGGGCAAGGACACAAAAAGTGAGTCACACAGAAGAAATACAGTAACTGGAAAAGTACACATTACACAAGGCACCCATATGACTCCTCAAAACTAAAACCCCATCAACAGAGACACAGATAAAATCTGTGTGTTTTATCTGGAGTATGAGCCACAGAAGAGTTAAGCACTGATCCATGACGAACCTTGAAAGCATTAAGCTCAGTGAAAGAAGCCAGTCACAAAAGGCCAAACGTCATGTGGCTCCATTTATATGAAATGTTCAGAACAGACAAACCCAGAAACAGAAAGCAGACTGGTGGTTGGCAGGGGCTAGAGGAGGAGGGACCATAGAGTTACTGCTAGGGTACAGGGTTTCTTTATGGGGTGATGGGAATGTTTTGGAATGAGATGTTTGCAAAATTTTGTGAATATACTAAATCCCACCAAACTGCATACTTTAGGGATTAATTTTACAGAATATAAATTGTATCTCAACTTAAAAAAAAAAAAAAACTCATGAAATGCAACAATAAAAAGATGCATCAAGTCTGGTGCTTACCATAGACTGTGTTCTCACACTGACTGTATAGAAAGAGGAGGGATAATAAACCCATCCCATGTATACCTCAGCCCAGACCCTGGGCCCCTCATCTGTAATGTGAATGGGAAGACAACATATCACCAAGGACAGGCTTGGTAGAGACACCTTCCCCTAAATACCAACAGCAGCTATCTAAGCCAATACAACTCTCTTGGAAAGAATTTGGGTTTATGTGCCAAGAACTGAAATAATATTCACACCCTCTGATCCAGGATTCCAATTCAGGGAGTTTATGTAAAGAAAATAATTTGGAAGAAAAAAATCATATATGCAAAGATAGTAAAATGTTTATGGCTGAAAGCCACCAAATTGTTTAAGCAACGAAAAACAGAAAATTAATCTATCAATTCAATTCAACGTCATGTTAAACAAACATTAAGAAGTTCACTGGTATATTTTTAAATGTTTATGATTAATGAGAACTGAAAAGAAAATAGTAGATATTTGTCTTCCACACAAAGAAAACAAAAACTGCATTTCAGAAAAGGGCCAGTAAAAAATACTTTACTAACAGTGGCTATGTTAACTTGGGCTGGAAGTGAATTTTCTAGCTTTTTCTCTACCCCTTAGTATTGTGGTAATGTCTTCACAATAGGTAGTCAAAAAACTACAAAGGCAAAATTCAAAAGAATGAGCAGACCTTCTAAACACAAAGGTCCATTTGTGCTCACTAAAGAATAAAATAATTATACTTGGGCCTGAGGTTAAAGGTAGGAAAGTGTACAGATGAAGAACCACTGGAACTCACTAGTCAGGAGCCACACTCAAGATGCTAAAGCAAGAAAGTAAAACTGGTTTCCTTAATTTATGCCCTCACTGTTCTTTACAGGGCATAGGAGCTTAGCAAATCTCTCACTGCAATTGCGCTGTACCTAGACAGGTAAAGACCACCTTTCCTTTCTGAACTTCAGGAGAGAAGGCTAAGGCATTAAGGTGTGGGCCATGTCTAAATCACCACCACGTCCAAGAGAAGTTTCACCTTATCCACAATTCTTCCTGTGACTCCCATGCCATTGAGGATTGTGACGTTAACGATTGTTGGCATTCCTCCGTAGTAGATGGGCTGGGAGCAGTAGGGCCACATGTAGGGACACTCGGTCAGGTCGATGTAGCTGGGGCTCAAACTGAAACAAGGAACACAGTGTTAGCAGAGAGGGGACAGGGAAGCAGTGCAACAAACAGCAAACCGTTAACAGTTTCCCTACACTTTGGGGCTGTTTGTAGGGCTGGCCTGGTGGCGTTGGGATACTTGCTCTGGAGCACTCTGTGCTGAAATGCTGCTGTGCAGCCTGAGAGGCTATGGTACAAACAGTGTGATGCACGGGAACACCTCTTGCTTTCTGGAAAAATGACAGCTGCTATGGCTGGCAGAGAACAAGTGTGTGGCCAGACTGGGTTTAACCTTGGACTTGAGTCTTAATAGACCAGCTGTGGGCAGCAACGTGCCCATGTCTTGATGCAGAGGCAGCTGCATGAGACCCTGCCCAGAGGGCTGGCGGGGGGTGGGGGGCTGGGGGGTGCTTAGGAAGCCTAAGCCTAGATTTCTCCAGATTCCTTGACCTGAGGTGTCCTTTTCCTTCCAGGTCCCCTGCATCCTTGTCATGCCACCAAGAAAACAATGAGAGAACTGACAGGAAGATCACCCTGCCAGACATTAAAACACACTCTAAAGTTTTATTATCAAAACAGTATGGGGGGCTGGCAGAGTGGCTCAACCAGGACGAATGCCTATCTAGCAAGTGTGAGGCCTAAGTGCTGCCAAAAACAAAATCACAACCAAATAACAGTATAGCTGAGCGCTGGTGATTCACGTCTATAATTCTAGCTACTTAGGAGGCTGAGATTAGGAGGATCTCAATTTGAGGCCAGCCCAGGCAAATAGTTTGCAAGAACACATCTCCAAAATACCGGAGCAATATGAACTAGAGGTGTGGCTCAAATGGTAGAGTGTCTGCTTTGCAAGCTCAGAGCCCTGAATTCAAACTCCACTCCTACCAAAATAAAAAACAAAAAGAAAACAGTAACAGTAAACAGGGGTGGACTCGGTAGGCTTTCTTGTTTAGCAGCTCTGACCTTACAACCACCATGTTTCACAAACAATCATTTGCAGAAAGCAAAAAGGAGGCAACGGAAACCCAAAAGGAATCCAAATACTAAATAAACCCAAATGTATTAAAAATGAATAGCAAGAAAAGACTTAACCCCAGTTAACTGTGGGAAACAGTATGACTTCATTCTGAATGGGTAAAGACCAAAGGCACTACACACAAATACCATACTCTAGTTAGCACACGGGTCAGCCATACAAAACCGGCTCGGTATGTGCAACCAGGACTGAGCAAGCAAGTAAAGGTATTGTGATTACTGACAGCCAGGCTATCACCCAATGTCTGGGGCTGGATTTCTAAATTCTCTATATGAAAAGGATTGTTTGGAGAAAGAACCGCTAACAAGGCCAGAATATGGAAATGCATGCTGGGATATCCCTTCCACCAAGAAGGAAAGTACTCAGAAAATGATGGTGACATACTGAAAAAGACAGAAGCCACAGAAGCTTGCTTCCACCAGCCAAATGTGGGACAATGTGAGCAAAAAATTCAACAGTGGTATCAAGCGTTAGGATCCACAGAGTAAAAGAAATATCCATGTGTCCATACTGATGTAATAAAGAACTGATTAAATAAATGGGAGTGAAAGGATGGCTCTTCCTTCTAGCAGAATTCTGATTATAAATGGATTATAAATGAAGGGAATACAGAAGGAACAGGGAAACAGAAAATCCCACTTGTCAAACTCCATGGTATTATTACTCTTGGAAGGCTAGACCCATCAGTACAAGCTAAAATGAGTGAGCAAAACAAAGACAGGATCGTGGCAAAGTGTGCCGCCCAGAGACACACAGTAGTCATAAGGGGAAAACAGCAGCCATCCAGTGGAGAAAGCAGGCAGGTGCTGACCATAGTCCCAAGAGCCACGCTAACCAGCACTCCTGCTGCAGAGGTGCAGCTACTGCCCTGTGGACCCTACCACTGTGCCAAGGTCACATTCCTTCCTGGGGCTGCTAAAGGCAATGACTGAACACAGGAGTACCAGGGCAGGCCTCTTCCTGAGGGCCAGGATTCCTCCAGCAAGTGAGTTTAGTTCAAGGATTTCTCTCTAGCCAAAACTACTTTAGGTTAGTGCTATGGTCTGTGGCTCTTCCTCACCAATCCTCCTGCCTCTCTCCTCCTCACAGGTGTCAGATCAATGCCACTATCCTAAGACCCTCTCTGCCTATCCCTGTTCCCTCTGTCATAGGCCCCCTCACCCACCAAGTGACTCTCTCAGATGTCTAAGCCCATCTTGGCATCTATTTCTTGCAAGATCTGGATCCACATATCACCTGGATCAAATGATGGAAGTCAGCCACACCAGTGCTAAGTCAAAGAACACTGAGGAACTGCCTGAGCAATGGGTAAACTACAGATCAGCCCCACAGTGCTAGCTCCACGTGAATTTCAGGCTGGAGGCTTGTGCCGAGGCTGTATAAGATGTGGGCATTAGATAAAACTAGGACAACTTATAAGGGTTCTCAGGTACTATTTATGAAAATTTGTCATAAATCTAGAATCATTTCAAAACAGAAGGAAAAGAAAGTTCTTGGTGTAAAACAACCTCAAACCCATCATGAGAAGAAATAAGCCCACATGGAACCATAGTATACAAAAGAAGTGGCTGGCACTCTCCAAGAAAAGCAGTCATAATGACAATGAAAGACAGGTGAATCGTCAGAGGCTGGAGAAGACCGAGATGACAAAACGCAATGTGGTGCCTGGATCCTCGACCAAACAAAAAAATGCAAGGGGGAAACATGAGTGGCTGCAAATTTCCTATAGTTTAGGATCCAACAGTGATGTACTAGTTTTAACAGAGGTACCAGATCAGCTAAGATGTTGTCATTAGGAGAAGCTGGCAGACAGCATATGAGAGCTCTATTTCTGCAAACTTTCTGCAAACCTAAGACTGTTTTAAAATAAGTTTAAGTAAGTTGAACAAATAGAAATCACTGTCTTAGTCACTTAAAGAGAACTTTCACTTAGTCAACAGTAGGTAGCAGTTGTGCCAGCCAGCACCCTAGGAGAAGTAGCAGCATAACCTTGTGTAGAGCACCGGAGTGCTGTGTGACCAGTGATGGCTTGGTGTTTTGAGGCTAGTATTTTGCTCAGAGTTTTGGAAAACCCCAAGGGTCCAATGAAAGAGAAAGGCCTCCTAAGAAGACCAGCATACCTACCTGGCCTGTGGTTTGTAGCTGTTGAGGATCTGATAGGCTCTAAGCAGGTCCAGCTTGCCATGGCCTTGCTCAAACATGTTGACACCAGGAAGCCGCCGGGCTGATGCAATCAGGGCCTGCTTCATACTGGCAGGATTCACCAGCTCACGTTTCTGGACTGTGCTAGGGAGAAAGTCAAGTACATGTTCATTTTCTCTCAGTAAAAGAAGGAAAATCAGACTATCCTTAATCTACAAGTATGCCACTCTGTGGCTGCCAGTCAGTTTTATGTCTAATGGGGGCTACTGGGTAGAGCTCACTCAAGAATGCCATACACTAGTGCTGCACCTGCCTCAGGACTGGCTGCTCAGTAGCCTTCCTTATTGATCTTCTGAATGGTGACTTTACTGATCTGTTTGTTTATGCAAAATTTATGAGTAGCACATATTTTCCCAATAATTTGACTGAATTGATCACACGAGTTGCAGGAGGCAAGAAAATCAAAGAGGTACCGACCCCAGGGGAGAGGACACCTACTAGCCAAGGGAGAAGACAACCTGGGACATAAGCTGCTTAGGGAAAGAAAAGGAACATGGGTGGATGCTGGAAATGGACCATGACACAGGACGGGCAGGAGGCTCAGGATGACCACTGCCTCTAGAGCCCACCCTTGTCTTTTTGTTTCCAGATTTGGAGGCCTATGTGGGATGAATCACCTAGTGGATAAGGCCTTAAATATGCATATCTGAGGTCACCTTAGCATTTTATCAGCAGCAGACTAAACATACAGCCTCTGCCTGGCTAGAAACTTGACTAACTTAGCATTAAAATGTTCATTTTTGTGTATCTCTACATCATATAAAAGTACATTTTAATCTCCAAATTGAGGGGGAAAATTAGTAGGCAAAAACGGAAAACTTAATTTCCTAAGTCCCTAAATATTTTTATATGATTGAGGGTGGCCTTGGAGTCTAGGCAGGTTTTCTAAATGGGAAATGTGATAGAAAGAAAATGGGAAAGAGAGGAGGATTAATTCTTAATGACAGAAGAAAAGAACTGCTAGCAGCTAAAGGTCAACAACCCTCCTCCACAAAGCACAGGCAAAGGTTAGGCTCTACTTCCCTGTTGCTCAGCATCTATCATGTTACTGTCAAGTCACAAGGTGGTCTGACCATCCCAATGGGAGTTTTTATCTGCTGCAGGAGATAAGGAGAGCCACAGCCTTCCGTGATGCTAAAAACACTAAAGTCTGTCTGCAGCCAGAGTTACCACTGGGAGTGGAAAGTACAGCCTCTTCATCTCCCCTCCCCATTTACTTAGCAACACAGAGCTGATGGGCTCCACAAGGGAGCTGCAACTCTCACTTCCCACTAATAAGCAGTGTGTGTGGGTGAAAGAAATAGACGAGGGTTTTCTGTTTTCAGAATCCACAGCACTAGCAACAGGAGACTTGGCTGGATCTTCACTTCACAAATACAAAAGCATGAGTGAGCCACATTAGGCCCACGGCCTGCCTTCCATCTCCTTATCTCACTCTGTACCACCTGAGGAAGAGAAAAAGAGTGGAAAAAACAGTGCTTCCAGCAGGCAGATGGTGATTCTCCAAAGAATGCTCTCTGACCAACCTCGACACTTCCAAGAATTTGGCTCTGACCTCTAAGGGAAGGACAAGGCAGGAGGCAGACAGCTACCTTTGTCAAGGATTATTAATAAATTAATCTCTGGCACTGGAAGCTAAAATTCAACATGCAATTCACTTACTTTAGAAGAGAATTTAACATATAAAAACATTTACTGTCATTTAACTATTTTAAATTAGCATAGAATGTATATTTCAAAATGCAGTTTTGTGTGTTATCACAACATAGTACCTCAACCAAGACCTCACTAGATAGAAAAAGTAAGATTTGTTTTGGAGTAAAATGCAGTGACAAAATGAATGCTAGCTCCAAAAACTTGTCTGTAAAACTATGAGAATCAGGTGATGGCCTGTCTGACTAAAAGTCAGGGTAGGTGAGCTTCAAGTCTTCTCCCACACTAAAGAACTCCCTTCTAGTTTTATTATCTGCCACAGGAAGGGCCAACATCTAAGCTCTGCTCTGTGTATGAGCTTCAACAAGACAGAATCAATGGCACAGAGAAGCCTGTCGCTCATAGAGGAGAAGCTGTCAGTCCTTAGCTGGCTTGGTATCACCTTAGCTATGGGCACGTTAAAGGTACAAAAAAACAAAATGATGGATAAATCTGAGAAGATGGATAGTTAAATCATTTCACAACACAAGCCTATTATCATCTGTACCCTACATCATATTAAAATACACAGTGAAATTTATTTAATAAAAAATGCATACTCAAGGAAAAACAGCTTACCTTTTGTTCCCTGCCTGATCTACACTAGGTATTTGGAAAGAAAATGTACAATGCCAGCACACAAACATATTTAAAAATGAAGCCATAAAAAAGGTAACTGCACTGTGCTTTCCAGTTTTCATAAGATTCCAAAGTGTGCTGGCACACACACCTCCAACCCTAACAAGGGGACCCCACCTCTCACACAGAGATGAAGGAGCAGAGGTCTGTGTACCTCATGCCCTGAGCCCTCTCTGCTGAACCGCATGCACCTATCCCAAAGGTGGGGCTGCTGGCCTGTACTGAACAACACTTACCTCACTAACAAGGTGACTGCACCGGCGACCACTGGAGAGGCAACACTGGTCCCAGAGAGGGCCCGGCATCCCCCTTTCACACCGGAACCCCGCACTCCAGCACCATAGGTGACAATATCAGGTTTCACACGACCATAGCCTCCTGGTAGTTCCTTCAAACAAGAATAGCTTGGTTTCTCCCTCACATACTGGCACAGCCATGTGGGGTCAGTAGTGAACAAAACCAGAATAGAAACATGGGGACTTCACAGTGTCACCTGAGGAAACTACTGGCTTGAGTCTGAAGTTCACTGCAAACCAGAAACAAGTGTAGATAATAATGTGCAAAAAAACCCTGTTTTTAGTATGTTTCATAATAACAAGTAAAACAGAAGGCCAGAAAGCAATAAAAAATTCTTAATTTTGCTAATATTTTAACTAGTTGCTAAATCAGAAACTAGTCACTAAGAATAGAAATGGGAAAGCGTTTTATGTCTAGATAAATTAAAAATCAAAAATACATTAGAAGAATTAGAAAATTAAAATTAAAAATCAGAGGGGGGAAAAAGAGCCTAGGCACTGGTGGCTCACGCCTGTAATCCTAGTTACTGGGGAGGTAGATATCAGGAGGATCGAGGTTCGAAGCCAGCTGGCTCTCTGATACTCATGTAAGCATGCACCCACAGCCCTGGCTGCTTTTCTATCTGTGCCCTGGCAAATGACACCTTAAGACTCTTAGACCCAGGGCTCCAGAAGCCATTAGACTAACACAGAAAAGCATACCCAGGTAGTCATCCCCCTGGAAGAAAAGCGGGCGATGTTATCTTCAAAGTCAATGCCACCCACTCCAATCACATCCATCTGATCAGCAGGGTTATTCAGAGTGCTAAATTGAGACACACACAAAAAAAAGGGAAGAGAAATAACTTAAAGTGAATAATTCAAACCAGGAAAAACCCTTCCAGAGAAATCTAAAGTGTCTTAAGTTCTTCTATCAGAAGACTTGTATAGCTGACAGGCTGCTTCTCCTCAGCTATCCTGTGACATGCCATGGTCCACCTCCATGCTGTTAGTCAACACTATGTCCTGTCACCTGGAATGCCCTTCCTTTTTTCCCTCTCCTCGTCATCTTACCACACACAGGTGGGTCCAACCCCAGCCTTCCTGTTCTTTCCTTTCCCTCAACTTCCCAGATGTTAACACGTCACAATTCAGCACCGAGTTGCATGTGAGGATGTCATTTCTGAGTCGTCCCAAATGCATTCACTCTGCCTCAACAAGGTCAGACACTATCTGAAAAAGACCACATCCACATCTGCATCTCCATGGTCAGAGGGTGAAGCTTTCAACTGACTTGCCTTGTCCCACTTCCTCAGAGAATGTGGGAAAAACTATCAGTACTCTCAAGCCCTTGGAAGAAAGATGAGGATGCCAGAAAAGCCAGGCCGTTCTCTCTCATACCTCAAGTGTACCAGATCTTCCAAGAAGCTATAATGAAATGAACAATGATAAAAATGTTTATAAACTATCAAGTCAAGATGAAGCTGATTCGAAAGTATGAAATGGCAAGTTATGAAACCACATATCTAAGCTTCATTACAGCTCCATTACAAAACAGAAAACCTCTCTGGCAATTCAATAACTATAACTGATTACAAGTGGCTTAAGAGATTTTAGCAGCAAGATTCAAACCACACCCAGTGAACCTGAGGCTCTGCCTTCTGACCTCACTGGACCCCAACCTGCTGCCAGGTGGTCATTCCTAGAAAGCAGAATGGCTTTCCACTAGCTGATGCTAGAAGTCTACACACTCCCATGAATTCAAGGAGCAGAGGTTAGCAGAAATTAATGGCAGGATCCCCCACTGAAGTTGCCAAAAGAACACCCCTTTCTGACCCTCCCTCCACCTGTCAATGTCTGCAATACTCAGAATGCTTGCAACCATTATAAAAATAAGGGAAGTCATCAAGAGGGCTGGGCTAGGAAATAAAGAAGCCACTGCTGGTAATGAAAGGGGCAGCTGCAGCTGCACAGTCACTGGAACCAACTCAAGAGGTCAAGGGTGCAAGACCCAGAACGAAAGACTAGGTCCCTTGCCAGGACCCGAGGGACGCATGCTCACTTCCAGTGAGCTCACTTCTGGGAGCAGTACTCTAATACCCAATTCATAAAACTGTAACTGCCACCTGCAGGACCACAGGGATGGACATGTGCCATCTGCCATCATTGCAAGAGAGTGCAGATGCCCAAGTCTGTGTGCACAAACAAGCTGAGACGGGACCTTCCTCTCCAGGCTTTCCTCCTCTACTACACTCTAAATGCACAGCTCTCTCCTGACAAGCTAGCAAAGCCACAGGATTTCAGGAGGTGGCTGGTGGGTGACAAGGCAGCTAGAATCCCATGGGAAAGAGCAGACAGGTGTGAACAGAAGGACTGGCAACAGGAACAGGTAGAGGAAACCTGAAGTAAACATGGTTTCTTGTAGATACACAGGAGGGGACCAGACCAGAGAAGGATGTGCCAGTGGTAAACAAAGGCAAGCCAGGTTCTAGCTAGACTTGACGAACTGAGGCTCTGGCCAAATCAGATGCACCACCTGTTTTTGTGAGCACAGCTTTACCGAGACACAGCCAACCCCATCCATTTCCACATCACTCATGGCTGCTGTTACACTACAAGGGCAGAGCCAAGTAGCTGTAATAGAGACCATCTGGCCACAAAGCCTAAAATGTTTACTGTCTGACCCCTTGCAGGAAAAGTTTGCCTACTCCAAGGCAAGAGTACCAAAGACCTTGAAAACCAGTAAAAAAATGTGGATTTTATGCATTAGGCAATAATGATCTGCTGCAGATTCTTGAATAGAAACACAGGCAACAAGAAAGGAAACAGAGTGGCCTTCACTCAGAGCATCCGTCTTCACAGTGCTCTCACCTGTTCAACTACCTTGCAAGCAATTCCATCGTTTCCCCTTCATAACAAATACTGAGCTGAGGCCCAGAGAAGGGAAGGTCCTCAGCCTAGATGGGGCAGGTCACACTTGTCAGCTTCCAGACTGGTTCCGCCCTGTCCATGCTGATGTGAAAAAGACTAAAGGAAGGAAGAGGAGCTAAGAAAATGACAACGTGGGTGACTGCACTGGGCAAGGAGGTCAGAAATGGGGGAAGTAGAACCAGGAGGAACACCTGAAGGGAAAACAAGAAAGCTAGACATTGGAGATTACTCGATAACTAGTATTTTTCAGGGAGGAGGTACGGTAAGGGTAGTCCATGCCACTTGCACTTAGAACCACAAACCACACTGTTGGTGGCACAGCAAATCCAGAACCTTGGATGTCTTACAAGGGGACAGGATCATTTGCTAACCTAGGCTGGAACCGAATGACTGCCAACATCCCTGGTTTCTGACTTACATAAAGACTGACTTTACATAGTTTAGCTTCACACTATGTCTCTGACACTTTGCATTAGCTCCACTTATCCCGCAGACAGCCCGTCTTCCCTCAGCACAGGCTCCCAGACAGTCCCAGCCAGAAGCAGTGAATATGTCCACATCAAAAGCGTGCGCGCACGCACGCACGCACGCACACACACACACACACACACACACACACTCACACACACTCACACAGGGCTGAGTACACACAGTCTCTCCCTCCCTTGTGCCATGGCACATGGAGCATGCATCTGGCATTTCCTCTCTTTTCTTTGTGGTCACGTCAAACCCTTTGTTCCAGTACCAAATTGCACCCATCCTGGGTACTAAGTAAGAGGGTGACAAACACAAAAGCAGCTATTTATAAACTTTATTTGTATAATAAAAATCAGAGCCTCAGTAGAAAGAAAACTGAGATCTCAAACCAGACAAAAGCTGGCAGGCAGGCTGTGTTTCAGGAGGACTGCTTCCTACTTCATGTTACTGTTATTCACAACAACCCACACAGAGGCACACTGCAACTCTGCTCCCTACTGCTCTCCTAACTGACGTGCTCATTAGTCCAAAGCCCTTTTTTTTTTTTATAATAAAATCTATTATTTTTTTTTTCATTTTTCTTTTATTATTCATATGTGCATACAAGGCTTGGTTCATTTCTCCCCTCCAAAGCCCTTCTGAGTCCCTGCCAGGCCCCAGCACCTTCTCCTTCACATGAGTTTCACAGTGCTCTTACCCCATCCTTCATAGAAAGATAGGCACCTCACATATTTCCCTCTTAATCCCCATGCTTTACACATAGTGGGCCTCAATAAATACTTAGAATCCATTTCTCCCTAACAGATTTCCTGATTGATTTTTTTGGTGTAAGGGTGGGGAGTGCAGGAGGGAGCAAATAAAAAATTTAGGCCTCCACATTACTATTTACCACAAATTCCCTCTCTAGAGATGACTGGCTTTCAATGAACTGAAAGTGTATTCTTTCTTAATAAATTTTACTATCACTTTCACTAACAACAAAAAAAAAGATTAAACAGAAGGAAGATTGAACTGCTAAAGCGAGTGGTGAGTACTCAGGGATTCACTATTTTTTTTAATGAAAAAAATAGTTTTAAAAATCGTTGTAGGCAGATATAAAAAGTATACTTAGATACACAAACAGACTGACAACAATTTTTCAGTTACTTCAAGGGAAGAACCATCCCTAAGGTCATCTTTGTCCAGGCTACTCACCCATAAAGAGGTCCATCGTTACCAATAGCAGAAACCATGATTACATTGTTTGCTGTTAATTCCCACACCTACAAAATGAGCAAGCATTTAATGAAAGTATACCACATTAAACAATCAACATGTAATTATCCCCAAAACCCTACAACTTCTACAAGCAATCCTAAAAAAGAGGGGAGCCCCTCAAACAACACTGGGCATGGCAAGCTGGGCACACCTAATCCTGGAGTGTTTAGAAGAGGATGACGCCCAGAGTGCAGGGCTGGGTGGAGTGGAACACACATCTCCCTAGCCAGGCTCAGGGAAACGTGAAGTGCAGGTTTAGGCAAAAGGAATTAACAAGACACCATGTGCTCTTTGCAAATGCCTTCTCCCGAGGCCTCTGACCCGCTGGGTTTATGACATGCAAGTCACTAAAGCGCATGCCTCCACCTCGGTGGAAAGCTCCCGGCACAGCAGAAGACACAGAGCTGGGGATGCGCGAGAGCAGGAGGTATCATCCGAGCACACGTCCTTGTGCAGTGACTCGACCGACCTTGTCAACAAAGGGATGGTCCATGAAGTCAGGACCACCGATGCTGAGGTTCAGCACATCAATCTTCTTTAAGATGGCATAGTTGAAGGCATCCAAAAACCAAGATGTGTACGATACCTGGTGAAATTAAAACAGCCCTTTTAGCCTGTCAGTAAAGGTCTCAAAGCATTATGACGGTGTTTATTTCTAAGGGTAAAGTGTAAGTATTTCTCTTGCTATTCTTTCTTAAAAAACTTAAAATCAGATATAAATTTCAAGCACAAATAATGTTCTGGAGTATAAAATACCCAGAAATTCTAAATCTGTGGGGCTGGACCCAAAGACTGGAGCTGTGTTAACAGGTGGTTTGTCTCTCCAGGTGTAATGGACAGCTCTTTACTGACATTATGCCTTTCCTAGACGAAACTCAAGCTTCCCACTACCCCTCGTATAAAAGGACTCATCCTAAAACACTTGAATTAAGTTAATTATGTCAAGATTTACAATATTTGTCTAACACCCTTCGTTCCTCCATGGACTGAAGGACAATTGCTGCAGTGACAGCTGCTTCACAGTGTGATGTCTCTGACATTCAGTTTCTCCTTCTGGCCTTACATACATTAAGTTGTTTTCTTAAAAATACAAAGTTAAGGTTATAGTGGTAAGAAAAGTAATATGATTAAAAATTTTTTTTTGGCAGTACTGGGATTCGAACTCAGGGCCTCATGCTTGCTAGTCAGGTGCCCTTACCACTTGAGCCACTCCCACCAGCAAGTATTGTTTTTAAAAGGCTCTTTCATTTTTACTTTTTTTGGCAGTACTGAGGGTTGAATTCAGGGCCTTGTGTTTGTTAGGCTCTACCACCTGAGCCCACACCTCCAGCCCAGCCCTTAAAAGGCTTCTAAATGCAAGACTCCATACTACAACATGTAAAAGAAATCCTAAAAGGCAGTGTAAGAAACCAAGAGCACTATATACCATACAGACAAATGGGCTGAGAACTCACTAGACAGGTTGGCTGTCATCACTGGGTTGCCTTTTGATTTCTAAGCTGTGTATTACCTACTCAATAATTAAATGTTAAAAAATAAACACACACTACCACTCTCCCTCTTCTCTAGTTGCTGAATGAAGAGTGAGGGAGGAAAGCTGTCAATTCACATTGTCCAACACAATTCTGGGAGCTGGAACATAAGAGGTCAGTAGCACAAGCCTCGCCCTCCAGCAGTAGGGATTAGATAAGGGAGGCAAACATGCCGCCATTCCACCAGGCAGACCTAGGATATGGCACAGAGGCCCTGGACAAGCCTGAAGGTGAAGAAGAGACAGGAAATCAAGGAATCCCTGAACACAGTGGCCTTGGAGCAAGGTCCTCAGGGTTCAAGGTAGGCCGGTGCAGAGGGTGGTGGTAGAAGGGCAAATCCACACAGAAGGCAGAAGGGACCGGGAAAGACACTATGACACATGTAGGATGATAGAGGCAGCTCAGTGTCACTGATATCCATTGCTTATAAATGGGTGTGTATGTTCTAGTACTTTTACTTTTTATGTTTCAGTACCAATTCCTTAAGTTTTGGGGGGGTCCTCAAACACCCACCTGATTGTTGGTAAAGACCCTGAAGATATGAAGTTCTGCATCTGGGGCAAATCCTTGGCATTCCCTCATGCTGGCGATCACACCTGCCACAAATGTGCCATGGCCCAGCCCTGCACCCACAGGAAAAAAACACAAAGTCCCGTGACACACAGCTGATAATGCATACAAAAGTGCAGTACTGCAAACCATCACGTCCACACAGGCCTTGTTCTTGAGGCCTAATGGAGAGCTCTGCTGCGCTCCACTGTGCTCTACCAAAATGGCTGGCACCAGGTCCTGCCACACTGGTCTCTTCTGTGGGGGAGCCACATTCACCAGGTACCCCCTTTGCCCTCAATCTGTTTCCCCCCATCTGAGATCTTCACAAAAACTTGACACAACAAAGGGCACAAGGGTGCGGACTCAAGGCACAGAGCGCCTGTCAAGCAAATGCAAGGCCCTGACATCAAACCCCAGTACCTCACCACCACCCCCAAAAAAAAAAGGTACAAACAACTTGGGTTTTGGGTTTGTCTAAGTAACTGTGGGACACAGACGGTGGAGTCATTAGCATGTGGGAAAACATATTCTCAGCCCACCTCGAACAAAAATGGAAGTGATGCCTGCTGAGACCTACCATCATCCAGGGTGCGCTCATTAGTCCAGTTGGTCCTCTCCTTCACATTCTTGAAGTGAGGATGCTTCTCACTTAGCCCAGTATCAAAAACAGCGACCCTAACATTAGCACCTATTGCAAAAAGAAAAAAATGCACCTTCATATTTGGAGACAGCATCTTTACAGAGTTTTGTCTATAAGCACATCCATTTAAGGCACCCATAGGAAAGGGCATGTCATGGAAAGCCAGAGGCTGAGTGCAACAGCTTAGATCAGAGGCTTGGGGGTCAGCTGGCTGAGTGAAGACCACTGAAGGAGGTGAGGGAAATGCCTTCATTTGGCGTGAAACAAGATTTGAAGAACAGAATTTCTCCAATCACCCCTCAACCATCACCAAACTTGGGAACGGACCCACTGTTCCTCACTTGGAGAAAGCTCTCCATGCCGCAGGCAGAACCTGTGTGATAAATTACTCCAGGTATCTGTTCCACCTCCCCCACTAGAGACACTGCAAAGCTCCCACAAGCTGCACATTTAAGGAGCCGGATGTGCCAAACAGGGACAGGAAACTATCCCCATTCCTGACAAGGACAGAAATCCAACCAGTGTGGCTCATTAATAAATTCTGTAGAAACGGACTGTAAGCAACATGATCAGTTTAAGGAAGATCACTCAGGATGCACTTTTCTAAAACAGTGAGTTTATTTCAAAGACTGACCAAAAGTCATCTGGATTGACATGATAGATGACTGACCTGTTGGATCAAAAAAATGCAAGACAACTGCAGGACTTAATAGCTAACCAATGTAATGAAGGAATGTTTTCCTGCTTTGACAGTTGTTTACAACTATCAATACTATATTATATAAACAATACACTGAGATAAAATTATTGCCACTGTTTAAAAAATGCATACATGAAACTGGGAAACGTTTGGTTTGGGTGGAATTAATAATGGGGTCAGGCAAGGTGGTGCACACTACAAACTCAACACTCAGGAGGCAGAGGTGGGAGGACCTTGAGTTCAAGGCCAACCTGGGCCTTAACTCATAGCAAGACCTTGTCTCAAAAAAAAAAAAAAAAAAGTGTTTCTGATGATTAGACAATTTGTTTTGTGAAGAAGTTTTCTCTCTAAAAAGACAAAGTCAGGAAGAAACAAATCATTTAATAAAGTATCAGTCTACCAGCTGTTAGAAGTCTAAGTATCTCAGATATGGTGAGGTGCAGGGGTTTAAAATAGTCACAGAAGAGCAGGTCTCTAAGATCAAGAGATAGGAGTAAAGACACCCAAAGCAAAACCATGGCATCCAGGGAGCAAGGCACTGGCTTACACTTAATTCAGGGTAAAAATTTCCACATTAGTTAAAACAGAGATGTTCTACCATCGTGGACCAGTAAAGGGAAAATCTTATTATGAGGTTTTTATTTCAGAACAAATGGTCCTTAATAGTTACCTACTCTGAAACAAATGATCAGTGAGTGTGATACCAATCACTTAGTTACTCCACATACAGGGCAACCAAACTCAAGTGGAAAACTAATCTTCATGCAACTGCCCAAATCCTGGTGACCATCTTTGAATGTGATCTCCTTCCCTAGGAAGTACAGATCCTTGCAGGACTGTCAGCCAGCTCGGGCTGTGAGCAGTGCTGTTGGTAGAAAGAAATGTGCATGTGTTGGTAGAAAGAAATGCTCTATGATCTGCCCCCAGAGTAATTCACAAACTTTGCTCCCTACTCTTCATTTGGCAACTATACAACAGAGGGATGGTGGTAGTATTTGTTTATTTTTTAACATATACTTATCAGGTAGTACCAAAAATAAGACACATTTAGTGACAACTAGAAAATCCACAGAAACAGATGCCTAGCTCACAGAAATCAAAGACAGGGGTAGGCAACTGTGCCTAGCTCAATGAATAGCAAGAAGGATAGATATGAAAGACGACAGGTCTGGGGTGCTGGACACCAGACTTTATGTGAGTCTGTCGACAGCACACACCTGTGTATCCCATCTGCCACAGTACATCTGCCTGCAGTGTCTGGGCAACCTGGCGTGGAATGGCTCTCAGCAACCGTCTACTTGAATGCCGTCCTGTCGCGTGCCAGAAGCCAGAGCCCAGGGAGAGACTGGCTCTTCTCAGGGGACGAGATGACTGCCACTTCTGGCTCCACCGAGTTTCATTACAAGGCATGATGGGGTCAGCTACAGTCAAGGCAGAGAATGATCAAAACCAAAGAGGAAAAACACACTATACTATCACAATGGAAAGTAGAATTCTTTTTTTTTTTTTTTCAGGATTTCCTCAAAGCAATTATAATTATAGGACATTATTTAGTTGCCATATCATTCCCAAATTTTTTAAATCTTCATCTGTACTGAGTATGTATGGATTAATTTTTTTTTGGTGGAACTGAGGTTTGAACTTAGGGCTTGATGCTTGCTAGGCAAGTGCTCTGCCACTTAAACCACTCCACCAGCCCCCAAATGATTCTTTACTTAGAATTTTCTAACCAAGGAAAGGAAAAGCAAGACTAATAAAATAGTAATTTTGTAAAAAAAAACCCTGCTGGGCCATGGTGGTACACACTTGTAATCCCATTACTTGGAGGAAGAGGCAAGAAGATTCTGAGTTCAAGGCAATCCTGGGCTACAGAATGAGCCCCAGGCAACAGTAAGCAACACAGGGAGACCCTGGCTCAAATTTTTAAGAAAGCATTAATTGGGATACTAAAAGTAAAGAAAATTCCCATTTTCCCCCAATAGGTTGGTCTTACTGCACCAGAACAGGAAAGACACTAATAGATCATGACATTTTGCAGAACCGTACCTTGGGGATGGGGACAGAAAAAGGCTTGCCTGACTGAACAGATCTCTGGCCAAACATCAATAGGGCCTTTGTTCTATTTGGGGGTGAGGGGTGAGGCAAGGTCTCCCTATGTAGCCCAAGTTGGCCCTGAACTTGTGATCTTCCTTCCCCAGCCTCCTGAGTGCTGGGATTACAGGCTATAGGCTGTACCACCACAATTGAGCCTTTTAAAACTACATATTGCTCAATGCTCTTGCTCTTCTCACCGACCAGAATTTCTCTTTTCAGAAAACACAATACCAGGAGGAAGGGAAGGAGAATCTCAGAGTGATGGAACTATGCTGTATCCCAATTATGTTGGTGAATACTGAATGTATACCTTTGCCAAAACTTACCAAAGTGTACTGCAAAAAGGACAAATTTTACTGTCTGTAAATCCATTTTTAAATAGAAGAAAAAAAGTAAAACAAGAGTTTTTCCTTTACCTTTCCAAGTGCATGTTATAATGAACAAACATCCTTAAATCAGTTTTAAGAACAAATCTACACTACTACTATAGGTCAGTTTCTAAAGCAAACAACTCATCCAGCCTTAGCAGGTGACACCAGTAAAGAAATGGGGTCTGGATGCAGACACTCAGGTCAGCCTCATGAAGTGACTGCTGGCACTGTCCTTCCTGGCACTGCTGATTCTGCTCCTTAAGTCACCCATGGGGACTACACTGGCAATACCAAGTAAGAACACTATCGAGATCAAGGGATCTATTTTACTTTGAACAAACCAGATTACACTTGTAGGATCATACTCAGTTTTGGCCTTTTGCTGTTTAAGAACAACTTAGAAAACTTGCATAGCATTCAAAGAAAAACAAAATGGCAAGGGGACATGAACCATGTCATATGAGTAAAGGTTCAGCCCAAAACGAAGCAAAATCCTCTTCTTCAAGTAAGAGAGCTGAGCACTAAATACCATTTAATGTCTCTTAGAACATTCTAAACTCTGCAAGCTTTCTTCACATTTCAGCTTCTCAGAACTGGTGAGGTAGTTGGGCACCTCCATTTTTAGGGATGAAGAAAAGTGAAGCCTAAAGGTGACAAGGAGCCTCCTGCTCAAGAACTGTAAGAACAGGCATGTCCAGAGATAACATGCCTCCTGTGGAATGTCTGCCACACATGTGACAAATGCAGTGTCGATGATGTAGAAAGGAACTCCTGCCAGGGCAGTCTAGAATTCTTGTGCTAAAATTAGGTAACTTTATACTCCTAAAATATTCTAGAGCTCTCTAAGAGAAATAAAACAAAATAAAAAAGAAATCAAGCAAAACAGCACAATGTACACATTTGGCTAACTATCCCAGGTTTGATGTACTTCTCCTGGATCATTTTAGGGTGTGACTGTGTGTGTGTGTGTGTGTGTGTGTGTGTGTGTGTGTTTAGGGTGTGACTGTGTGTGTGTGTGTGTGTGTACTTCTCCTGGATCATTTTAGGGTGTGACTGGGGTGTGTGGGTGTGTGGGTGTGTGCGTGGGTGTGTTTTACCAGGGTTTGAACTCAGGGCCTCACCCTTGCTAGGCAGGTGCTCTACCACTTGAGCTACTCCACCAGCATAACTGTTTTTTAAGGAGAAAGATAACATAAAACATTTGGACTAGCAGAAAAGGTTCTGAAGAAGTCAGATGTCAGAGTCCACTGCCGACTCAAGTATTGGCTTGTTGCACTCTAGAAATTAGTTAACTTTTCCCAAACTGCAGCAAACCTCCTAGGCTCTCAAGCCTACTAAATGACGGACAAAGGAGGAAAAGCAAAGTTTTCTTTTTCCTTCCACTGAAATGAATAATAGTAAACAGTTAAAACTAGCAATGTGTTACTGTTTGTGACAAATAAGGAAAAAAATCATTCTTGTGGTAATATATACACTTTGGAAAATATTACACAATGAGTATACAGTTTATTACTTGAAGATAAACTCTACATTGACCAGCCTAATTGTGGCAGAGTAAGAAGCCCAGGCCTAGAAAGGCAGAGCCAGACTCTGCTCCCCATGCACACTGACAACCATGTCCAGCTCAGGCTCAGAGAGAAACAAACTGAAAATCAAGGAAAAGATGTCTTGCAAGGATTCCTTAAAAAATAAAAACTGAGGGCTGGTGGAGTGGCTCAAATGGTAAAAGTGCCTGCCTAGAAAGTGTGAGGCCCTGAGTTCAAGCCCCAGTACCACCAAAAAAAAAAAAAAAAAGTGATGCTAAGAGGAACAAAACAAAAATGAATAGACAGCAAGGTAAGGTCTAAGGGGGCATGATGGCACACACTCAGCACTTGAGCAGCTGAAGTAGGAGAAGTGTGAGCTCCAGGCCAGCCTAGGCTACACAGCAAGACCCTGTCACAAAAGAAACAAAGGGAAAAAAAAGACAAGGCCCTTCCCTTCAATTCATGAAAGGGCTCCAAGTCTCCAAGATGAACCTGAATGGAAATCACCGCCAACAGAAACACAGATCACTACCCTCCTTCTGCTGCTGACCATCAGTTTTCCTACCACAATAGCAATGAAACCTTTTTCTTAAAGAAAAGCCTACCAGGAAACCTTTACAACGGATGAACTAGATGAAGGGAATGCTGAAGTACTTATATTTTTTCTGCAGCGTGAAGCCTTCGAAGTGAACTGAACTGGTACAGAGCCACCCAAGGTCATAATACTCACATTCAGCATACTTCAGGGAACGAAAGACTTTCCGCTGGGGTGTCACCCGTTTGATGTTTGGATGATCTTCGAGTGTTAGCAGCCCAGCTTTCTGCTTCTCTTTTATCTGAATCACCTCAAAATCACTAGGGTAGTCACTGGATGGATTGTTCCGAGGTATAATTCTCCAATTGTCTACTGCACTGCTCTTCAGAGCACTTGAAATAAATGAATTTCTAGCTCTGGCTGTAAAGTATCCATTGAAAGCCACAATATATTCTGAAATCAATGGCCACAAATAAAAATAAGAAAATTAGAATTTATGATTTATAACAGAGTATATCTAATGTCTACTTTCTCTGGTAAAAGAAAAAGAATGTATCTTAAAGCCCACAGTGAAAAAGAGCAAAAATGACTAACTGCCCTGGATAGCAGTCCACAGAGCTTTGAGTTAAAATGATCTATACAAATCCCCTGATCACACAGACTACACCATTCAAAACCAGATTCCGTGGTATGTTTTAAAAAGCAAGCATCTATGTAAGTTTGAATATACAGTAAAGAAATGTAGTTTTTCAAAAGAAAAAACTATACAGAATGGAATGCTTCACTTGCTTTATTTTACTGAAAACAAAAATTCCAGAGTGGATGACAGGAGACTATTTGCTTAGCTGCTCGGATCTGGTCACTTGAACTTCAGAACATACACTCAGCACCTCCATGCACCCATGCTTGCCAGCTGCAGTGGCACGTGTTCCACAGAACCCAGCTGGCTCTACTGGGAAGCAAACTTATGTACAGGAGACACCATGTGAGGTCCCTCACCCCGTTTAGATGACTGCAGAAAAGCTAAGAGTCAGGTCGCAAGTGAGAACAACAGAGTTCAAGACAATGACATTACCATATTCCACAACTGCTGAGGAGAACTCCACCCTCAAAGTCAAGTGGGAACAGCCAGGGCATGGTGCCTTTTCAAAAGATTTCTTTTCCAGCTTGTCACCCAGGTGTTTCTTCCACAGAGCAAAACTACTAGCAGAAGCAGCCAGATGTTGATGAGCTTCATGGTCATAAAATCGCCACAATTCAAAGTGCACTTTTTTCTTCCTTGATTAGCAGTGAATTTTTGTTTTGCTAGACACTGCAACCTTTCTGGCGAGCCGTCCTACAGTGTTGTCCAATGTAAATGAAAGCTAAGCCGCATGGCCGTCCGTAGCTTGGCCCGAGGAGAGGCTTTCATTTCTTTCTGCGCTTCTTCTCCATCCTGGACAGGAGGCTGCTCTCATTTGGGCCGAGACGACTGAGTCCTATACTCCATTTGCACAGAACCAAGCCCAACACAGCTCACCAATTAATCCCTCCGTGAGCCAATCTCTGAGACAGAAAACAACATGCACAAGCATTAGCACAGCCTGATAGAGCCAGGTATGATTTAGTTATTTGCAATTCAGATAAAAGGATCAAAAAGATAAACTAACTGTAAGACAAATGTGTACAACAGCCATGAAACATCTTATTATTTCATGCTTATTTAATTATTCCTCATTGCTTTCATGGAAAAAAGTTTTAAGGCAGCTTTAAAAACAAACAAAAAAAAAGGTTAAGATAAGTGATAAAAGTGGAACAAGGTATGGATAACCAAAATACACCAAGGACTTAAAGCCCTTTGGCCCTGAACACCCCTGAGGCAAAGAAGGAACCGTGAGCCTTTGCTTCCAAATCCTTAGTGTGAGCATCCTCGCTTCCTACCATGAAATGAACACATTTTTAACACCGTATTTAAGAGACCCTGCATTAAAACTACTCAGATTTAGTACTTTCTGCCAATTCTATGAAAATAGCACAGAAAGGTTTTCACTGTCATTAAACTTACTTTACTTGAAGCCTCAAACTTAAAGAAATTTAACCTGCTAAATCTGTTATAAAACCAGATTAGCTCCTTACTGGAAGTGACATAGGAGGATGGTTTGTGAGGCAAGCAACTGCTAAAGAAAAATGTTATGTGAGTATTATATTACTCATGGGCACAGATACCTTTCAAAATTTCTGAATTGTAGGAGAAACACCCATTCTTCCCAATGAACAGAACAGCAGTTAAAAAAACAAGCCAGGCCTAGTGGCTCACACCTATAATCCCAGCTAATCAGGAAGTGGAGATCAGGAAGGTAACAGTTCCAGGCCAGCCCAGGTAAGAACACGAGACCCTATCCAAAAAATAACTAAAGCAAAAAGCACTGGGGCCATGGCTCAAATGGTAGAGCACCTGCCTAACAATGAGGTCCCGAGTTCAAACCCCAGTAATCCCAATAAATAAATAGATAAATATGCAAGCTGGCAGTCGTGTGACCAGAAAACACAGTTACACCGATCAACCTGAGACACAGAATCCAGCAAGGGGAAGGGAAATAAGTGACACAAGACAGGCCCTGTATCACTACAAGAAGAAACCACGCAGAACAAAGAGAGATTTGGGTTGTTAAACTCCTTCCTCTGGCAGAAGATGGTGGTTCAGAGTCACAGAGCTCTTGGTTTCCACAACAGCCACGTGTATGTCCACTAACAGAAAAAAACTGGGAACGTACCAGGGTGAAGTGTCTGAAGAATTGTTAAAAGTTTGACAAGTAGGACCTTCACTGCTGTAATAACAAAATGTCCTGGAAAATCAGCCTATCTCTAGAACAGGCACTGGAGACAGGATGGGGGACATATTCACCAGAGATGAAATCATTCACTCCAAAAGAATGAGAATGTCAAGAAAAGCAAGCAAAGAAAATGGAGACAAAAGCCAAACACAGAGACAGACCACTGAGATGGAGAAGGAACAGGAGCAGAGGATACCTACCAACTACAGGTTTTATGGTAATCCAGACTTTTTGTTCCTTTATGCTTGCTATTATTTCCCACAATGGTATCACAGAATGTAATTTCATGAAGCATATATCTAACTGGTCAAAGGAACTAAAGCTAGTCACCATGTTTGTAATTCTAATGTTGTAGCCATTAATGTATATTTAAAAGATTTAAACAAGCCCCTCACTCAATTTTTTTTTTTTAAAATGAAAAAATCTCTTAGAAGTCTTCAGCCTCAAGCTAAAGAATCTATGACTCATTTGGGCAATAAGATTTGGAGTAATACTGGCAAGAAAATATTATACCTGGGTTAAATCAAATTTATATCCAAATAGCTCACTCACAGGTAAAGACTGTGAACTCGTAGGATATTATGGTTATTTGGTGGTAATGGGATTTGAACTCAAGGCCTCACACTTGCTAGGCAGGCGCTCTACCACTTGAGCCACTCACAAGCCCAGGAGCCTGACTTTCAAAAGAGAGAAATCAGCCAGGTATGGTGGCGCACACCTGTGATCCCAGCACCAGGGAAGCTGAGACAGGGGAATGGAGCCTTCAAGGCCAGCCTGGGCTACAAACTCAGACCCTGACTCAAAAAACAAAACAAAACAAAACAAAAAAGCCAAAGAAAAGGAAAAGAAATAAATTACAGGTTTTTAAATGAAAAGCCCACAACAAATGTTCCCCAAATTAAAAAATTACATTTCAGTAGGCCGCAACATGAAGACAATACCATAGGACATTCTGCCTCAAATACTCATCAACTCATGTGATGTTACAGAAGCTTCCCAAGCAATGATAGTACCAGGTGCTGCAGAGCACACCTGTAAGCCCTCCAGGTGTGAGGTGGCACAGATGGTAACCTCAACCAACCAACCAAATAAAATGCAGGAAAGGGAGAATGTCAAAGAGAGGCCAACCTCCAGCATCAAAGAGACACTATGGATGAACACAGGACCAGTGGGACATCCCACCTGAAGGAGGGAGGGGAGAGATGTCCCAGGAGAGGCTGAGACAAGGGGAGGAAGGGACTCAAATATCAGGTTTGAGAAGGACATCCAGCAACAGGAACAAGCATCTCCCTCTCACTGGAGTGAACCACAAGGAGACCACACAGAGCAACTGCTCTGAACTTGCTTCAGGAGCTCAGCACTGTTCCAGGTATGGGAACAAAGTACTGAATAAACCCAGCAGAAACCTCTGACCTCACAGAGCTTACCTTCCTGTGTGGGAGACAGATGAGAAGCAAGACAAGCAATACATACAGCACTTAGCAAGTAAGATTTAGAAAGGAAAGCAAGCAAAGGGAATAGGACAAATCAGGAGGACAAAGTTTTCAGCTAGAGTGCCCAATGCCTCTGAGAAGGGGACTTTTGAGTAGAGACCTGAAAAAAGTAGGAAGTTGACCATGCTGTGTGGGGATCCAGGCAATGGGAAAAGAACAAGTGCAAAAGCCCTGGGGCAAGGAACATACCTGGAGTGTGTGAGGAGGAGCTAACAGGCCAGTGTGGTTGGAGCCGAGTGCAGAAAGGGAAGGCAGATGAGATGAGAGGTATTGGGGGCGGTGGGGGGGGATGACCAGGGAGGGCCTTGCAGGTCAGAGGAGACTTCAGCTTTTATTTTGAAGATGAAGGGAAAGTACAAGATGGTTGTCAGCAGAGAAGGGACACAGCTGATGACACTGGCTTCTGTGTGAAAGGAGGCACAGGTGAAGCAGGAGCCAACTCAAAAGACCCCCGGATGTAAATAACCCAGGGAGAGAAGATGGTGGCTTGGACCAGACAGTAGAGGTAGAGGTAGAGTTGACAGCCTCTACTGATAACCAGACAGTAGAGGTAGAATTAACAGCCTCTACTGATGACCTCTACTGATGTCCTTCTTGATGCACACAAGAAAGGAACCAAGGTCTCACCAAGGCCCTTTGCCCCTTACTGAGATGGAAAAGACCACAGGGAAGCCGGTTTGGGGAGCACCAGAGCAGGCACTGAGCTATGGACATGTTAAATTTCAGATGAGAACCAGAGATGGGTGCAGGGCCAAGAACAGAAGAATCCTGGGCAGTCCAGGACCTTTTGTTTGGGGACACAACAGGCAGAAGGCAACGAAGTCAAAAAGAAAACCAAACTCAGACCTTGAGTAAGGAAGGGTGGGCCATGGAAACAGAACACTGGCTTAGTGATTAAAGGTCACTGACCTCTTCCAGAAAAGGGTTTCTGCTGGGTTTATTTAGTACTCTGTTCCCATACCTGGAACAGTGCCGAGCTCCTGTGAACTAGCAGGCCTGGCCCCAAACTGTACTGCACCAAGCCCATCTACTCCAGGTGCCTGCTAGAAGGCAGACACCTTCAATTATAAAACTTCCCTGGGAGGGGTTGGGGATATAGCTCAGTGGTACAGCACTTGTCTAGCAAGGCCCTGGGTTCCATCCCCAGCAAGGCAAGGAAAAAATCCATGACGATAAATGACAAGGGTGAAAGTGACAGAAAATAAGCACCCCCTAATTTGTTTGGAGCTAGTTGACCTATGGCTCAAAAACTGAGTTTTCTATGCTTTCCCCATGCTAGAATAAGGCTTCAAAATAAAAAAATTCCTTTAAGGAAAATAAAATCCCCACCAGAGGGCGAGAAGCTGGCGAATGAGGACAGGGTGCTGGGGCACACAGGCCTGTCACTTACTATCAAACCCTGTGCTCTTGGGCCCTGTCCCACGGACTTGTCCAATGGGGCTTTAAACACAGACTGCACTTCCAGGGTCAAACACATGTATGTACCTGTGTCAACAGCTGAGCCTCCCTTGTACCCCTATATAAAGCAAACCTGGAGAGCACGAGCCCCAACACAGACTCACTGACTAGTGGCAACCAGGTGGGCAGCCACAAGTGGAAGCTCATACACACTGGGGGAAAACCCTAGCTTCTCCTCCCTTCTTCCCTTTCAGAATTAAATGTACTGTGGAGTTCAGATTGCCTCAATGGTCTGCTAGGAGCTGGAATCTGAGCAGGTTGGGGGGGGCGGGGACTAGGGAGAGATAATGGGGAGGTGTCAGAGCCCACGTGGTAACAAATGCATTGCACAGACAATGGGGTGATGGAACTGAATACAAAACTGATCTGATCAAATAAAGACTTAACAGATAATGTCAAGCTGCAGAAGGAAGTCAGAAACATGAAAGAACTGCTGGGTATGGTGCACCACACCTACGATCCCACCACTCAAGAGGGTGAGTTCAAGGCCAGCCTGAGCTACACAGTAAGATCCTGTCTCAAAAAAGAAACAGAATAAAAATAAACCAAATAAAATAAATAACTTCGTATGTTACTGGTAAGTACATTAAAAAAAAAAAAAACTCTTACAACCCTTTAGAATAGCAATGTGCATTAAAACTATTAAAAGTGTACACAAGACTTTTGATCTAATAAATCTAGTAATAACAAAACTTAGCATTTACTGGCATTTCTTTTCTTTTTTTCTTCTTTTTTGCAGTACTAGGGTTTGAACTCCTGGCCTACACCTTAAGCCACTCCACCAGCCCTTTTGTTGTAATGGGTTTTTTTAAATAAGGTCTCACAAACTATTTGCCCAGGCTGGCTCCAAACCTCAATCTTCCTGATCTCCGCCTCTTAAGTAGCTAGGATTACAGGCGTGAGCATGGCGCCCAGCCTAACTGGCATTTCTCATGCAACAGGTGCTATTTTAAGTAATTTGCACATATTTAATTATTCAATCCTTATGGCAACCTCTTATTGCTCCCATTTTCAGACAAGAAAACTGAGGCCCAGAGGAGCTAAGCCACTTGCCTGGAGTCCCCTGGCCAGGAACTCTGGTGATTTGGTTCCAGAGGCCATATTCTCCAGAGGGAAGGAGCCTGCTTTTCTAAAATCCCCTCTAGGAATTCATCCCAACACATGAATATGAAAGACTACAATGATTTGCATCCAAGGATACACACTTCAGGATTATAACTGGGAAAAATTAGAGACCATTTCAGCGTGCAATAAGAGGGGATGGTGAAGTAATTACGGCTCATTCATACTAGGGAGTGCCATGCATCAATTTCAAACTATTCCTGCGCGAGGCTGAATCATGCCCCCACCCCAGATGTCCATGTCCTAATTCCCAAACACGTGAGTGTATTTTACATGTACAAAGGGACTCAGCAGGTGTCACTACACCAAGGGTCTCGGGTTTGGGGCAGCATCCTGACTATCCAGGGGGTCAGGTGTAACGACCAGGATCTCTAGCCAAATGGTGGTAAGGGATGTGATGGAAGCAAGGGCTGATGTAATATGAGGAAGAAGTCAGGAGCCAAGGAATGCAGGTGGCCTCTAGAATCAGGAAAGGACCCGTACTCTCTCCTCAGAGCTTCCAGAAGAACTCAGCCCTGTGACACTTTGACTTTACCCCAGTGAGACTGACTTTGGACTTCTGACCTCTAGAAGTATAAGACAGGAAATCAGTGTTGTTGTAAGTAGTATTTGTGGTACTGTGTTACAGCAGCAGTAAGAGTGAGAGAAAAAAACAAATGAAATATTAAATAAAACAGTTCAGTATAGTATGCTTCAAATTTTTGCTTATTTTTTTGGCAGTACCAGAATTTGAACTCAGGGCCTTGAGCTTGGTAGGCCTAGTACTTGAGCCATGCCCTAGCTCTTTTGGCTTTAGTTATTTTTCAGGTAGGGTTTTAAGTTTTTTGCTAGGATTGGCCCAGATGACAATCCTTCTACCTATGCCTCCCACATAGCTGGCATGATGGGCACATACACCACAGCCAGTTTTTTTGTTGAGATGGGGTCTTGCTACCTTTTTGCCAGGGCTAGCCTCAAACCTCAATTCTCCTGATTTCTGCCTCCCAAGTAACTGGTATTACAAGCATTAGCCGGTCTCCAAATGTTGATGTGTTAAGATTGTGTCTGTGCACGGGGAAAAACATGCCAGAGTGTAACACTGCTTCTACCTCCCAATAGAGCTGGCCACAGATACATTCTGGTTTATTCTGTTTCTATTGTTACGAAGAGCATACGTTACTTTTATAGCTAGATGAACCATTATACGCTTTAATAGACCTTTTAAAATAAGTTTTAGAGAAAAAAGTCACGTTTTCTGGTATGACAGTAACACAAAAATTCGAATGTCCAATTTATCTCATTATTAGGTCTTTCTAGAGAGCTTAAAAGAGTTTTGTCTCCTAGAAATTCTAGGAGAAACAATTTCTAGGAGAAAATTGTTCTCACAATTTCTAGGAAAGGCTTCCTATTTGCATATCATCTACTCTCAGGCCCACTTAGGCTGCTACTGGACCCACCAAGCGCCTGCTAATATTTCATGTACAAGACCTGGTTATTTTTCCATGAAAGAATACTCTAAAAGACGCTATTTTCATCTGTGGATTTTCCATGAGCATGACCCCACCTCTAATACAGGTTTGACCAAAAAAACAAATGTGACAGTTCAAATCCTATGTACCAGGAATAAGATGCCATGAGATCCGTGTGTAAAAGGGAGAGAGAGGAAGTACATTACTTAGGCAAAGGAATGACCTCCCTTACAGCTGAGATTCCTCTACTTACAATTTGCATAATAAAAGAACATCACAAAGATTATACTTCTAGGTATAACTTAAATACACTTGAAATTATTTCTTTGAAAATAATTTTAATACATAATTCAGGTAAGAGGAAATGACTTGTATCACATGATAATCATCTAATTGTGCAGCTATACCTTGCTTTTTAATAAACTAGTTTACTGAAATAACTCCAGAGAAGACGAATTGTTTAAACCACAAAAGGGTTCTAGCTAGTTTAATTAAAGTTGGCTGGAAAACTACCACTTCCCTAACTAACTGCATACTTGGCTATAGTACCACTGTTTATCAAGCTAACAATTAAGCAATGCCAGTACACACTGTCTTAAAAATAAAGGTGTATACTTATGTCTGATGGAACCACTTCTTCTGGCACATTCTGTCCATCAGTCTTGAGAGTTTTTTAAATCTTTTTTTGGGGGGAGGTTGTTTTTTGGGGGAGGTACTGAGGTTTAAACTCAGGACCTCAATCTTGCTAGGCTGTACCACTTCAGCCACACACCCACCCCTTTTATGAATTATTTTTCATTTTTGTGCAGGGCCAGCCCTGTACTGTGATCCTCCTATACCTGCCATGTACCTGGGATGACAGGCATGTACCACCACCCCCAGGTAACTTGCTGAGATAGGGTATTGCTAACTTTGTCCCCAGGATGGCCTTATTTCATAATCCTCGGTCTCCACCTCCCAAGTAACTGGGATTACAGGTATGACCTCCATAACTAGCCCTTTCTTTTTTGGTTGAGACAAGGGTCTCACTATGCAGCTGAGGCTGGCCTCTAGCTCACCAACTGGAATAACAGGATTACAGGTGTGCATTACCATGTCCAATTTAGTCTTGTATTTAAAAATATCCTGTAGACCAATGTGTCAATAGAGAGCCTTTTGTCTAAATGTCACTTTGTACAACGTATTATTTATGCCATTGTCACACATCCTTCCCATATTTGCTCTTGGCTTCTAACAGTTTTCTCTTTGGTCAGTTTGGCATTCACTCCAACCACATGAGAGAGCTCCAAACTTGCTACCTTCCTTGTTTTACTTTAAATTCATTTCTTTAAGCAAAGAAGCTGTCAAGATTAATATATCTAGTTAATGGATTTCTGCAACATGTCAAGACTGACTGGTCCATGAGGAAAGAGAAATCCACTTGTTTTTATCACCTCCTTAACCTGCATCAAGCAAAACACAGCAAGAGACCACACTGTCTTCAACCCTCTATCCCACTCAGCTACCAAACAGAAGGGCTAACTTCCTGTTCTTAGTACTTCAGATCGCCCAAGGGTGGAGTGGCTAAGTGTTGCTAATAAAATACAGCTCCCTCCCAGGGCAGAGGCAACTTACAAATCTTCTGAAGAGAACCCACTAAAAGCACTAATAAGAGATGTGCAGTGTTACCTTTACCTTCAGCCAATGGAGTTTGTTACTCTAGTTATTTGTGATGCTGTTGCTGCCACACAAATAAAAAGGCAGCAGTCCAAGAACTACCCTCCAACAGACAGAAAACAGAATCAAAGAACACTGAGTTGAAAGGGATGATGATAAAACCCTTGACTAGAAAAGAGCTCCTCCCCCCCCATTCCGAGTGCTCTGTCAGCACTGTACTAGAATTTACCGTTTTAGACAGCAACAAGTACTCTGGATTATGAAGAATGTTTGGGGAATGCAGTAGATACCTGAAGGCAGGGGCAGGGCTCAGGCGTCAGCTCTCACCCCAAAAATGGTTCTGCTGTCATGTGTACCACATACTGGAGCTGTAAAATTTTACTAAGTGTCCTTCATGACAGAACGTGTGCTGTCCATAAGACGAATGAGATGTCATTTAGCCACAAAAAGGAATGACATATTCCGAAAAGGCAAATCTAGGAAGACAAAGTAGATGAGTAGCTGACAGGCTGGAAATGGGTGCTGACGGCAATGGGTCCCGGAGGTCCTGGGGGTGACGGGAATGACCTACAACTGGATCGTGGTGCTGACCAATGAACGCTGGTGAACTGATGGCATGTAGTAGTATCAAAATGAAGGGTGGGGGTGTGCCGCAAGTGGCAGAGTGGCTGCCTAGCAAGCGCCGGGCCCTGAGGTCAAACCCCAGTGCCGCCAATGAGCAGATAACTAAAAGAAGCGCTTACATTAAAAGTACTTTTTTAAAAAAACAGGTTTTGCAGATTAAAAAAAAAAAAATAGAGGGGAGGGGAAGAATCGCTCTTCCCTAAGCCCCACCTTTTCATACATACGCAAAGTGAGACCCCCGAAGTCAGGCTTACCAGCGCAGTTCCCCCGAGGGCGGGTCACCCGGATTCAGCTAGTGTCACTCACAACCTAACGCGTGTTCAACCTCATTTCCACGGCCGAGACGCTCTACCTACAGCGGGGGGTACAGGCCTTAATAAAGAGGATGTCGACAGGCCAGCCGCTCCGGATCTTTGGAACCTGCGGGGTTAAAGGCCTCTGGCTCTCAGCTGTCCGCCTGCCGCCGGCTGCTAAAACTGCCTCGGAGGAACCGCAGCGCCGCGTGCAGCCGGCGACGCCGACCCAACCGGACCGGCCCGGAGCGGCCGGCTGGAGGCGCGGGGCCGGGGCCGGGGCCGGGGCCGGGCACATTATTTCGCCTCGTTAATAAAGTTTACTTCGCAAGGAAGAAACGACGAACGTCAGACACAAGCTACCCAACCGCCTGCAGCCGCGGGGAGGCCGGGGCCCGGCTGGCGGGCGGAGGCGGTATCCGCCCGGCACGTCTCGCCGCAGTGCGGGGCCGCCCGGGGGACCTGGGACCTCGCGCGCGGCCGGCTAGCGGGGGCAGGGCGGCAGGGGGCGGGCGCGGGCGGCTGACGTACCTGCGGTCCCCTCAGGCTTGGGGACGGCGGGCCCCGGGTAACGGCGCCTCCGCCGCGAACACGCCTCGGCTCTCCATTCGGGGCTGTTTACTCGCAACTCTCGCGAGACCGCGTCACACCAGCTGGGGAGGCCCACGGCCCGGAGCGTCAGCCCGACAGCCCGGCGTGCCCGGCGTGCCCCGCGCGCCCGAGGCCTGCGTGCGCGCTCCAGAGGCCCTGAGCCGCGGGCGCGCGCTGGGAGGATGGACGGAGGTCTCGCGATGTTTGCAGCGCCGGGTCGCGGTACGACGCAGGGGGCGGGGCTCACTCGCCCGGATTGGCCTGAGTTGGTGAAAGCAAGTCATTGCAGTATTCGGCTTGGGGTGCGCTGGGCTTTGTGCCACAAAAAGGGCCAAGGGAAAAGAACGCAGACCTAAGAAAGGCCCATCTAGCGAAAAGCTCCCCCTTACTCCAGCAAAAGCTCTTCTTGTAGGTGTCCACATCCAAGCAAGTGCACAGTCCTTACTCCCCCCAACTAGCGCAGCTCAGGTTCCCCACACCTCCTAATGGCACCCCCACTTCCCGCCCTCCCGCATCTCCTCTGGACATCTCTCACCGATGCAGCAGCCGAGGTGTGGGCAGGTGATTGAAATGGCCCTGACTTCCACCCAGACTCCCCCAACCCCGCCAAGTCTCATCTGTGCGACCTCTGCAACCCCTCATGGCCTTGGCTTGATTGAGAAATCTCTGCATAGACCTGCGCACACCTGTTGCCAGGAGCGTCCGAGCCTTCAGAGACAGGATTTTTGTAACGCCAAATGTTTTCCTTTTTGAAAAAGCAAAGATCAGTGTGAAAAGTTTGCTTGACCCACACCCCCCCCCCAGAAAAAAAAAAAAAACTGGGTCATTTACCAGGATGAAGGGTTGTTTTCAGTCTACATGTTGAACTGGCCCACACTTGCTCCTGGGCACAACTAAGAGGCTGCAGGCATGCTGAAGTAATGCTAGTGGGCAGTGGTGTGCTCCCTGGTGAGATAAAACCCTCGTAGATTTTTTTTTTTTAATTTCCACTGTACCTTAGTAATGCTGAATGCCACCAATATGCAAGAAAGTGAGTAACCAGAGTCCTGGGCCAGGGGCCCAACTTCGAAGGCTCCAATGTGTCAGGTCCGGGCACTAGGTCAAATATGTCAGACATGAGTAGTGGTGAGGTCAGAAAAAAAGAGATTTGATGAGGTCAGAAAAAAGGAAATTTGATACAGCAGCCGAAGCATTTCAACCCATCTTTGGGGGACAGACATGAGCTTTAGGATTGTAGAGGAAGAACGGCAAGCAGCACAATTAAGCAGTCCCAGTTCCAGGCAAAGTGTGACCTGGTGGATTTTTATCTTTGTTCTGGTTCTGCAAGGGGTTCTGGAGAAGTTATCACTGTCATCACTTGAGGGGAGCAATCTGGTTCCCAAGAGATGATTCTTCTGCTTCAGGAGGCAGCTTCCTGGTTAGGGAGTGATCTGTTTTGTGAGGATCTTCCATTCCTTGGGTTAGTTTCAGTCCCTTGTCATAAGTGTTATCAATCTGTCCTGTCCTTCCTGGAATCCAAGATGACTGCAGAAGAGATACACACAGGCAAAGGAGACGGGTGTGAGATGGAGGCAGGGATGTCAGAGTTTTCTCCTGCTTTTAGTTAACCTGTGGGCTCAGTTTCTAAGTGTCTGCTATGATCACAGCACTTCATGTTCCTTTTAACATGAGTTAACCAGACTGATTTAGTGTAGTGGGTAATACAGAGTCACAAAATGTCATATCCCACCTTGGGCAGCTAGTTTGTCATTTTTAACAAATTTTTTTTTCACCTCAGCTTCCTCATCCAAAAAGCAGGCATACTAATACCTTCCTCACAGGTGAGGGTTCAATGAAACACACAGGTAGTGCTTGGCTCATGTAGGATTCAGTACATGAGTGTACTGGGTTCTCAAGTCCTTTTCGGACTCAAGAGTTCATATGACTTTATGAATGTTCAGAAAACTGACTTTCTGCATTTTCAAATCTTCAAAGTGCTTCATTCTGCCACCATGCAATGCCTTTGATCTTAACCTTGACTGGGTCATTCTGCTGAGGTTTGGTTTTTTCATGGTACTGGGGTTTGAACTCAGGGCCTTATGCTTGCTAAGAAGGCCCTGTATCATTTGAGTCAGGCCCTCGGCTCTAACTTGGGGTAAACTAGTCTCGGCAGTATTCTTTTAACACTCCCCTACAGCCACCATCCTAGTGAGTATAGCTAGAATGTTTGGAACTGGGGCACAACATCCCTGTCATGTGACAGTTAAACTCCAAAGCAGGGAAGAGGATATGTCTCCAGTTCTGAGAATGAATTGAAGGGGGCTGGGTTGGAACAGAGAAGTCACTCAGAGATAACCAAGAAGGGCTGAGGCCTAAAGGATCTTGGTCTACTCCCTGTCCTAAAATAACTTCCTACGCTCATGATGCACGTACTGAATAAAGCATGTGCAATTCCAGAGGAAGGTAAAGCTTTATTGAAACTGGCATTGTTTTAAAGACTAACAACCGATGGAATCAGCGCAGGCATCAGCAGACCAGGAAATGTCAGGGTCGCAAGTTGCAGCTCACAGGTCCTGGCAGCCCACTCCATAGCACAAAAGATCCAGAGGTCCTAGTGGAGCTGCACAGCTGCTTTTGGGCAAGGGCAGTTTCAACCATGAGCTTCAAAATCTCAGCACAGACTCTAAAGCGGTGCACAGGGCAAGACTGAGCCTAAGTCACTGCTCAGTTTGCACCAGAGGACGCCATGGAGACAGCATTCACTGTGGCCTCACCCACAGTGACGCAGGCTTCCAGGGCTTTTCTGAAAGCCATACAAGAGGAGGAAAGCAGAGTCTCAGACCCATTACCAGTTGTGCAGGTCATCCTCACTTGACAACACCTGCATGAAACCAAGTTCTTCACTAGGACCTCGACCTGGGCAAACTCTTGCTGAATGAGTATCTGGAGGGATTTAACCACAGAGGTCAAACATGACAGTCTGCAGAGGAGACCCTTGGAGAGATTCTACCTACCTTGCTCCAGAGGTACTGGATCAGAAAGGCCTGCTTTGAGGCAGACCTGTGGCCCGCAGGCACGCCCTGTATACCGTCAGTGAGCACCTTTGGAGACCTCTTTCCTAGGAGCCCAGCTTGGACAGCATTCTCACGCCCACCAATCCTGACCCACCATCAGGACCTGCTGCCTGCTGACCATGAAGGGACTGCTCCAGGACCAGAGCTTTGCTCCTGCTGCCTCCCTGCCCTCTCCTCACACCTGCTCACTGATCCCCGAGGCTTTCAGTAGCTCTCAGCAACCTGAACCCCAGTAGCCAGCAGCTCTCAGTCCTCACTAAGGGCAAGGAGAAGCCCCTGCTGGTTCCAATGAAGAGAGGAACCAGTAGCTTGGAGGACAGATGAGGTGCTGTGCTGCGGCAGCCACACAGTGTCACTGCCACGAGTACTCACAGCAAAGGTGGGGGAGCAAGAGGAGGCCGTGGCTCCCACCTGCATCCCAGGTTTCCAGTCCAGCAAGTGGACATGTGCAGCCTCAGGTATCAGCTGGGTGCTGAACCAGAGGCAGCCTGTAGTACACACCAAGAGGGCACCAGGTCCTACCTCACTGGGAGTGCTCATCCAAACCTTCTTAAAACTTTCCATGACTCTTAGGGCTGGGGGATGTGGCTCAAGGGGTAGAGCAGTAAGCCCTGCATATCTGTGGATCCCATATCCACCTTCTCAACTAATCTGTGATTGAAAATATTTAGGAGGAAAATCGTATCTATATTGAACATGTACAGACTTGTCGTTCTTTCCTAATCAATGCGGCATAACAACTGTTAACACAGCAGATACCTAACATACAGTGTTAGGCATAAGTAACCTAAAGCATATGGAAGGACGTGTGTAGGATCTATGCAAATAATATGCTGTCTTATAATCAGACTTCAGCATCCACAGAGGGTTGGTCCTGGAACTGATCCCACACTGATACCCTGGGGCGCCAACATGGAAATCACGTGATCATGTGTGTGGCTCACTGTTGCTGCCCAGCACTGAGCATGTAAGACCACATATCACTTGCCTGGGAAAAGATCAAAATTCAAAATATAGCTTCTTTTCAATGCATATACCTTTCTCACCATTGTAAAGAAAACACTGCGCCTGGAGCCACCATGAGTCCTAAGTCATGGGCTGTCTGTTCTGAGACAGTCATAAATAGATTGGAATTGGTTTTGGAGAATGCAGACGGTCCACAAAGACACACCGTTAATCCTACAGTTCCAAATGTGACAAGATTTTATATAACTGAGGTAGGAAAAAACAAAAAACAACAAATGCCTCAAAGCTGTCTCTATTGTGTTAATCAGACTCTTTACCACTGTGACAAAGTACCAGAGAAAATGACTTAAGGGAGGAAGCATTCACTTGGCTCAGTTTCAGAGCTTTTGGCCCATGGCAGGATGGTTCAGTTTTTCTGGGCCTGTGGTAAAGCGGTACATCATGGCAGAGGCTGTGGTGGAGTGGAGCTACTCACCTCATGGCAGCCAGGAAGCAGAGATATCCACACACACCCCCCCCCACACCTCCCAGTGACCTCCTTCCTCCAACCAGGTCCACCTCTACTGTTTCCACCACCTCCTAACAACGCCATCAAATTACAAACCCATCGATGAGTGAATCCATTCATGAAGTAAGAGCCCTCATGAGCCAGAAGCCCCACCTCAGAACACTGCTTGCATCAGGGACCACATCTTCAATGTGTGAACATTTTGGGGAAAGACTTCCTAGCCAACCATAACACTCTATTTGCCCTCTCCCCTTCTTTCTTCCTACTTTCTTGAACCCATTACAGTCTAGCTCTCACCCCTACCACTTGACTGATATGGCTCATGGCAAATCACCCACTATCTCCACACTCCCAAGTTCACTGATCAAACCTACCTTCCTGTTGGGCATAGTGGTACAAACCTGTAATCCCAGTACTTGGGAGGCTGAGGTAGTGAGAACCTGTCTTAAGAAAAAGAAATCACCCTAGGCAGCCACTAGGAGCTGAGATCAGGATGCCACTCAGCAGCTTCTGATGTTACAAAACCACAGGCAATCACGGGTTAATTTTTGGCCATCATTTCTACAAAGAAAAAAGAATCTTCTGCCAAACAACCAGCTTACAAACATGCAGCAAAACCTCTTCCAAAGGAAACAGCAATGCTTTTATTGTTACATTTTCAATTTGCAGGTTAAGTTTCAAAGGTTCAGATTTTCCACATTCTTAACAAGAAAATTCCATCCACCATGGTCCAACTAACTCTCAAATTCAAATGAGCTTTGGGAGAAGAAAGTATTGTATGACAGCTAGAAAACCTAAAAAAACTTCCTGTCTTGATGTTTCTTATGCTATGGACAGCTATGCACCACTCTGCAGCAAGGAGCCTACTTGGCTAGGTGCTGCCCAGGACAGGACTTGCAACCACCACTGACGAGGGATATCTACTCATTCTCATCACGTAGCAAGGACTCTGCAACTGAGTGGTCAGTATGGGCACTGCACCACAGAACCTTACAAGTAACTATCAACAATGGGCTTCTGCTGTTGTACGCTGCTGTTTGTAGCAGCGTCTTACTATGTGGTCCTGGCTGGTCTGGAACTCATGATCCTCTGCCTCAGCCTCCTGAGTACTGGGATGACAGGTGAGGCAGTATGCCTGGCTTGATGCTGCTTTTACATAAAGTTGCTGCTGCTCATTAGACACTCATCCATGTCCACATCGATGTAGCCAGAGGACTCTGTCTCTACAGAAGCCTTCGTGGTTCACAGTATCGCCAAGTGTGTGGTCTTTTGCATCTCACACTTTGAAGACATGCTTTAGGAGTGGAAGAACTTTAGAACTTAACCCCTGAATTCTGAGTCCCAGGTACAGCTGGAAATGCTAGAGGCAACATCACGGGCAAAAGTGTGGTTTAACGTAGAAGTGTGGTTAGACCAGCTTCAATGGACTATCACCTAAAACAACCCCATATGGTCCATATTTCAACCCACTTCCCAGCTCCTGCACTGGTGTCATCACATCAAGTGCTGAATTCTAAATCCACACATGTTGGCATGTTTGCACAGAGGATTATAGTTTCCAAAGCATGAAGTCTGTGGCCCTTAAAAATAGTTGGCTTTATAAGATTTTAATTAAACATTTCATAGCAGGTTTCAGTGCTAACCTATATTATGGGGAGCTGTGCACAATTATCTTCACACCAATAAAAGAAAAGTATTCCCCATCCAACACATAAAGTCAATACCCGGACCAAAAATGAGCTAACTTTTTACTTCAACAGGGACATCACATCAATCACAAGCACAACGTGGCCATACTTTAACCACTATTTTCATAAATACGTGATGTTTATATCAATGATGCTACTGGAATGGAATAATATTACATAGAAAAGTGTATGAAAAACAGATATGACAAGCTCTAAAGTAAAGTTCAGTTATAAAATGGATCATACTGAGAAATCACTACTTGTCCGCAATAATTATTTTGTAAACCAGAAGGTGACTGAGGATTACCCAAACAGATCCAAATCTAGGAATGAATTCCTTCACAGTGTGGAAAAACAAAACCATCAGAGAGTAAGCAGCATTACACATGGCAAACCTACAACACAAGATTGAGTAGGTTTGTTTATAGTACAAAAAGGAATAACTTAGATTTTTAATACCTTATAAGTTTCCACATTACATCACCTCGACGAGAAGTCTCTTTTATACAGCGTAGCCATAAAGCTGCATGGACACACAGCGCACACAGTGCACACAGTTCTCTAGGAACACATGGAAGAGCAGCACTTGCACACAGACAGTCCACCAACTGGAGCTGCGCAGCATAGCACAGACTTCTACCACTAACACCACCAGCACTGTCGATTACAAAACACTACTTGTCAATAGTCCTCCTGATGAACCTTGGAAAACCAATACTGTAGGCATCTATAAAAAGAAAATAGGGCCGGGTGCTGGTGGCTCATGCTTGTAACCCCAGCTACTCGGGAGGCAGAGATCAGGAGGATTGCAGTTCTAAGCCAGCCCAGGCAAATAGTTCTGCAAGACCCTATCTTGAAAAACCCTTCCAAAAATAGGGCTGGTGGAGTTGCTCAAGGTGAAGGCCCTGAGTTCAAGCCCCAGTATCGCAAAAAAAAAAAAAAAAAGGTAACAGGTAATTTTCCTTAAAAAAGCAACACCAGAAGTTAGAAGAGCTGCCAAATCATATTGTGTTAGATTGCTGTGGCTCCTAGAAGGACGTAAATCACACAACTGTTGAACATCATGGAACAAAAAGCACCGCACTGCGGTCTCTCCCATCAGTTCATTCACCGTGGCTCTTGATCCCGTTTGCTCTGTGCCACCGCTGTGGCCCTTGAAGGATTTTTCACAGCACTCTCTGAAAGTCTGCCTTGCAAATGATGAATCAACAGTGTGCTAGACAATCAGTAATAAATGAAAACACATAAGGTAAATTAAATGTGTGTCTCCAAGGGCCAGAATACTGCAGGTTACTTTGAGTTGGCAAACTTCTCCTGGATGATCCCGGCTCAGGCTATGCGGGATAAGGCCTCTTTACGTAGGGAGCGGTTGAGCAGGTTTGCTCCCCACACCCAGAGCCATTCAGGCATGTACTGTGCAAAAAGAAACTAAACAAGAGAGAGAGAAGGATGTAAAGTTAGAATTCAAAACCAACACTGATGAAGTGCACAGATCAGCACATGATTTACCCAAGAAAAGACAACCACACTAAGTCAGCAAAGGAGAGTGCCCCCAGCATTTCTGAACTGAGCACCCAAGATTCTCTGGGGAACAGACACATGATCAGAAGCAGCACCTACCCCTTCTCGGTAATGAGGCTGGACACACCTGCATATAGTAATCAACTCCATCTTATTTAATGTGACATGACAGTTAAGAATTAAAGTCACTAGAGAAATGAAAGTCAGCTGAAATAAACAGGTGCACACAAAGTTAGGCCTTTGTAGGGAAAGGCCTGGTCACTCCTTCTGGAAGCCTGTGCTCTAAAGCAAAGCACTCTAAATCCTAAGAGATCATAGGAATCCTACAGTGGCCCCTCAAGGGACCTCCTAAGTGGGTCACAGCAAAACATGGGCACCTGAGACAGGTGAGATCACAGGCACCACCTCCCGGTGATGTTCTTGCAAGTTTCAGGGTTATTTAGTGGGGAAGGGCTCAGCACCAAGAAGCCTGTTTTCATTCCCATCTGTTTCAGCATCAAGGGGTGCTTTACCCCAAGGGGCTGCAGAGGACTCAGTCGCAGCCATTCTGGGCATTCCAGAAAGGCAAACAGGATCCTCCAGGTATGGACATATGAGCTAAAAGGGCTGACACACTGACCCCCTAAGAGGACAGCAGGTATGGGGAAAGAATGCCACACTCTTTGTGCTGGGCATGTCCCCAGACTGAAGCAAGAAGGAAGTGGAGGTGGTTGGGGGAGGGGCTTCTGGGAACCTGACCACTCTGCATGGGTTTAAGAGATCAGTGTTCCCCACCGGCAAAAGCCAACAGCAGCTCCTAAAGTGGGGTAGTCCTGGAGTGACACTGCTAAAGAAGACAGGGGACCTGACTTGAGGAGAGAGACCATGGTCCATGTTCACATTCAGCCCACTGGAAACCTGAACTGGCACTGAAAATGCAGATGCCCTTCCTCCCTGGAGATGGAGGCAGGTGGCTCTTGATGAGGTTAGGACTGGATGAAATGAGCAGGGATTGAGGGCCTAAGGAGAAGAGCTACAGGCCGAGTATCAGGGAAAGACCCTTCCCAGCTAGAGTGGAACCCAAGGTGAAAAAGGACTGTATTGCTGATAATCCCCTCCTGGCTTCCTCCTTCCCACCCCCACCTCTGCTAGACCTCCTTCCTCCACCTCTCCCTGCAGAGCTGCAGACCTGAGTCTCTCACCACACTCTCCTTTCTTTTCCCTATGTGCTCTCTTGGGTGTCGCCCACCCCACTGCTGACAGGCAGTCACATGCTGCTGACTTCAAGCCTGTCTCTGCAGATTTCTCACCTGAGCTCCATCTGTGCAGCTGCCACCTCCACTTGTCTGAAATACTTCCCAGGACCTTCAATGCCAGCAAGTGCACAGCTCCTACCAGTTCTCACCACACCCAGTCTCCTCCTCTCTCTCCTGTCAGCCATAGCGCCATTGATTCTGCCAGCTACAAACCTTTCCTTCCACCCTTCAACCCACAAGGCACCACATCTCCAGCTGGGAAAGTAATGCTGATGCAGTTTTCATGGCTAGTGCAGATTTGCAACAAGCTGAATGTACACATCCACTACTGACTTCCCCCTCTCATCAACTAATCTATACAAAATATCATTATTTGATTCACAGTGTAGAAGATGAGCTGGAATAAACAGCACAAAATGAAACTTCATCCGCTTGTTTGGTATATCACATTTTTTTCTTACAGACTAAAGATTGACAGAGAGCCAGGCACCGACGGCTCATGCCTGTAATTCTAGCTACCTGGAAGGCTGATCTGGAGGATCATGGTTCAAGGCCAACCCAGGCAAATAGTTTAAGAGACCCCCATCTCCAAAACAACCAGAGTATAATGAACTGGAGGTGTGACTGAAGTGATAAGAGCGCCTACTTTGCAAGCATGAAGCCCTGAGTTCAAACCCCAGTCACACCAGGAAAAAAAAAAAAAAGACTGACAGAGGATTGAAATCTTGATTAAATGTATGTATTTGTGACCTAAGCAAATTGCATTCAGAAGAAACAATAACTACTAACGACAAGTCACAGAAGATACAGTAGCAAAAGCTACCAGAGAAACATATTTTGGTCAAATCAGTGACTGATGAATCAAATCTTTGTTGCAAAAAAAACTGATAATGTTGGAAATAATTTGAGTACAATAAAAAAGAAATAGAAGAAAAATGGAAAGTTTTAACAGCTCTATATAAAAAACTACTCTAGAAATTAAATTAGCTTCACATAAATTCCTGGCAGAATACTCTGGGAAAAAGCTCACCAATGAGAACTCAGTCTAACTGTGACACAACACCAGTGTCCTTAAGTGTAGATATCTAAGGCATTTCAGCCGGTCTTCACTATGTCTTCATTTCTAAGAGAACTTCCAGGCCAGTGGATCCTGGAACTACTCCTTAGGTTTCTCTGCTTTTCTTATGTAACTAAGGACTTGGAAACAACCACTTAGATGAACTGCTTCTCATTAAAGAAATCTTTAAGCTTTTTGATCATAGTAAAAATCAACGGTTGATTTACTTATGTTTATTGTATAGTTGTAAATCTAATAATCCTTACACACAACTTTGTTTCATAATTTAAAAAACCCCAGGTTTTAAAGAAAAAATTTATAAACAAGGGCACACCTATTCTCTATGCCAGAAAAAGAAACACAAATAGTGAGTTCTCTCCCTAATACTTAAAATCATGATTTTAAATATTTAACAAAGTTCAAATCCTCCTAACAGACTCAAATCTGTCATGTCTGAACAACAAACTTAAAAAAACTTCTATGCTTCTTGAATAACTAGGTCCAAAAATATACTGAGGTATTATTTTATATAATGTTTACATAAAATAAACACCTGTTTTGTGGTTTATTGAGCTTATTTAATATTTTATTAAACTGCTCAGTGTTACCCCTTCAACCACTATTAGGCTCCTTACTTTGAAATTCCCCACATGAACGTTCAGCATTTTTATATTCCCGACACCTACTTATACTGAAGTGGCATATTTCATCTTTTAGGTGCCACAGAAGAACTTCTGAAACTCCTTAATGCTGTAATTGCACAAAAGAGAATTCAGTGTCTTAATGGAAATCATCAAGAACGTGAGGTTTGGGAATCTGGCCTCACAATCCTCACCTTCCCATGTTAGGCCTCAATCAGACTCCTATGCATCTCACAGAGAGCTCAGAATGCAATTACCCAGTTACGACACCCAAAAGCACACTGCTACCTGAATAGAGTGGGACCAGTAGCCTGTGGTCCTTTTCGAAATCCCCAGGGTAGACACGGCATGGTGTGCGTAGACTCTTGGCGAAGGCACCAGCCACGGGCATCTGTGCAGAAAGCTGCTGGGTGCCGTCATGTTAGTAGCCACGTAGAACGGGATCAGACTCTGCACGAAGATCCCCTTAGATGCATACTCATACTGCAATGCCCTGCTGAAGTGGTCTAAGTAAGCCTGGTAAAACAGGGGAGGAGACTTTTAACTTGGGGGAACCTGAAACAGAACGCAGGAGGAAAAGACTTGCCTGTTACCATTTCTGGAAAAAACACAGCTGCTGACAAAGAGCTCAACACACTGGACCTACTGACTGTGTAAACGTTCTACTGCACTGGGGTTTTGTTATGCAGAGGAAAGGCTAACCTTGGAAGCAGAAAAAGCAGCCAGCTGGGGAGTGGGCTTGCAGCAGGAGCCAGAGGAGATGGTGACGATGGCGCCTTTCTTCCTCTCCACCATCCCTGGCAGCACTATGTGGACCATCAAACTAGCAGCGGCAATGTTCACATTCACAATGTCCCAGAGCTTGTCCTCGGAGAGCTGGGTGAAATACTGAGGGTGGGGATAAAACACGCCCACGTTGTTGACCAAGATGCCAATTTCCTTGTCTCTCAGGGCTTCTCGAATTGGAGCGTAGATCTCACGGCCTTGGCTGAAGTCAGCGACTATGACATCGGTCTCCACTTTGTAGGTGTCTGCGATGTGTCTGGCAACCATCTGCAGCTTCTCTTCATTGCGACTGATAAGGGTGATGTTGAGGCCTTGGCTCGCTAGCTCTTCTGCATAGGCTTTTCCAATCCCATCTGTTGCACCTGCAATGCGAGCCAAGAAACATGAGCAGGTTTCTCTTGGGGGCCATCAAGATAAACCTGAACTACCCACACCAGGTTCAGTCAGAGAAAAATGCACACTAAAAATAAAGTGCACCCTAGGATCCATTAGCCCAGCCAGTGCTGTGAACGACACATGCCAGACTCCCTCGGCACCGTTTTCCTTTGCCATGCTGCAGAGAGAGACAGGAGGAGTTTGTTTCCAAACTCCCATCTGGCTTGTATGGGCACCAGAAGGTGCTCTTCTGGGACACAGTCTAAAGTGAAATTCAAAATAGGTGAAGTGTTTCTGAAAGTGGTGACAATTTGAGCAGGCCTGAGAGTAGGAGAGGGAAGAAGAGGAAGATGCAAATCAAGAGACAAGTTCTCCCTAAGATGAGGGAAGTAAGAATATGTGAAGATAATTGTTAACAGGAGACATAAGATATTTTTTTATCAGCATGTTCCCTTGAAGACACTGCATCAAGTTTAACAGCTCTCTGATTAGAGCTTATGGCTTAAAATACAACCAGACAGAAAAGTCTATTTGCTGTTAAATCCCTTACCACTGACGACGGCCCATCTGCCATACTGCTTGATCAGGTCTGCCCTGCTCCCCAGGCGCGGAATGAAGTGCAGCCGGATCAGACTGTAGAAGTCACAGATGACGGTGATGCTTTTCCTGGCTGTATACCAGGCTCCTACCAAAGCCAGAGCTTCCATATAGCAGTTGCAAGACCGGGCAATCTCCCTGTACAAGAGGTAGAAGCTGTCAACAGCAGCCATGGCAACCTGCAGCGACAGGAAATGAGAGATAAAGAATCACGCACATTGTCTGAATGAAAAAAGAGGTGAGGACATCAGATCTTGACAATTCTGCATTCAAACAACAGCAACTTCCCAAAAGCAGGCAGTACCTGCATCCAGTCAACTTACGATCTCATTATTTCACCCCTTTGGCTAATAAAGTCTTTTCTTCCAAGAAAACTAGTCACTAGAACTACCAAGGGTTACCCAATTCCTCCTAAATTCTGACATAGCTCTGCACACTGTAGATAGGGGAAAACACAAAATGCTTTTGTCCTGAGAAAGCTCCTACTCCAATATAATGAGGCACAGACTTCTAAGCACAGGAGAGCCAGGAGGTATGCTCACCTCTCTAGTTACCCGTGATCAGCAAGTTCAGAAGCCTCTACCCCTGTGGATTCAGTGGAAAAGACTGGTAGTGTGGGGGCATGGCCTTGGCCTCAAGGAGCTTACAATCCATCCCAAGCTTAAACTGAGCTTTCACAAACTTTAACACAAATTTAAGAGGGAATCTGAGTTTACCAAGGTTTGCAGAGAAAAAAATGAAACAAATTCACTAATGAAATGGAGCATGTGACACCATGTTGTGACAAAAGGCATATGAAGTGGAAGGAAGGGAGGAGAGAGGAAGGAAGGAAGGTAAAAAACACCTAGACACTTGGAGCAGAAAGCCTGTTCTAGTAACAGGGAGGTGTACCTCTAGGATTAAAACCATGTTTTCAATAAAAACCTACAGGCCACATGTCCAGATGTACGGGCTGTAGTCAAAACACACTGTGGGCAAACCGCCATGTAAGTCGTGTATATGAAGCTCCAGAGCAAAGGCGGTCACATCTGTCTCTGGTGCCCCACACTGAAGCTGTGTAGAGAACATCTGCCCCTCAAGCTCAATTTCCTCAAGAATTTGAATGTCTGGAAATAAATCTGTAGCAAAAGTCAGACCTCACCTGCTCTAGATTTTGCCCACCCTTGGTCTCCTCTTACCTTCTCCTGCAGGTCCTGGGCCTTCAGCCCTACTCGGCTCTGTCCTCGTAAGGCCAAGCTGTGAACAAAAACCAACAAGAAACAAATTCCTTCCCTCTTTCCTCGTAGCTTAGCTGGGAACACTTTATATAAAACTAAGATTAAAGTTTTCAAAACTTAGCCAGGAGCTGGTGGCTCATGCCTGTAATCCTAGCTACCTGGAGGCAGAGGTCAGGAGGATCATGGTTAAAGGCCAGCCTGGACAAAAAGTTTGCAAGACCCCATCTCAACCACGGCTGGGGGCAGTGGTGCACACCTGTCATCACAGCCATTTGGGGAAGCTTAATTAGGAGGATCACAGAGGTCCAGGCAGGCCCAGGCATAAAGTCAGACCCAAAAATAACCACCACAAAAAAGGCTGGGCTCATGGCCCAAGTGGTGGAGCGCCTGCCTAGCAAGCACAAGGCCCTCGGTTCTAACTTCCAGTACTACAAAATAAATAAATAAATAAATAAAGTTTTCAAAACTTAAGAAAGCACAAAAGAAAAAAAACTAAAGCACAAAATTTCTCATGCCGTGAGTAGGCAGCAGTATTTACTGAGCGCAAGACATCCTCCTCTCAGAATGAAGGCATCAGGGTGTGCTGGGGACCGTCCATCAGGCTTTCTGGCTTGATGAAAGAGGGCTCTCCTTTCTTGCACCTTCCTTCTCAGGAATGGATTATCAAACGGAACAAAAGCCCATTAGCTTGGAAAAAGATGGCAATATACAACACTCAGGGCCCTAGGGGAACGGAACCCAGGCAGCCAGCTGGTGTCTTGGGCAGGGCACACGGCTGCCCCCATCACGTCTCTCCATGCCATCTGCCTCCTCCTTCATCCCCTGCAGCATCCACTGGAACTTGCTCACTGCCGCAGCAGCCTTGGCATTTCTATGCCAATGCCTGAGCCCAGGTATCCACCCTGATCTAACACCCTGGTGGGAGTGGAGAAAGTGCAATGCCACAGTATTTGGGGAACCCCACACCGTGAGTGGGTGGCAGCTCTAAGCAGGAGGAAAAGGCACCTCCATACCTGACGTCCCCCACCTTCCCCACACATTGCAGTAGGGTTATCTGGTTTTATACCTCCGCCCAGGCCCTTCTCTGCCACCCAGTAGGCTGTGCTCTACCAGGCAGAGACCACTCTTACACCCCTGTCCCTTCAGCATCTCCTGCAGGCCCTGGCACCAACGAGACTAGCGGTGTTTGCTGAGTGAAAGGACACGAGTCTCAGGCTGCAGTCTGGCTGAATCTCTTCCTGTCCAGTCGCACATGCCAACAGCCATCGTTTTCCCCAACTTGGGACCGCACCACCCACAAGTTCTTTAGACCCTTAACAGAAAGGAAAAAGAGTGTTGAACCTGCCCGGAGCCTCCTGCTCAGGGTCCAGAACAGGCGTACATACCAGAGGGGAGCTGAAGAAAAGTGGCTTCAGGGGCCTCAGACCCACCATGGCCAGTCATCCACTCTCCCCACTGGAGATCCTTCACCAACCTGTCACCATGATGTAATGCTAGCAGGGCAGCCCCCCCACCTACAATATCCTACACATTTGTTATCACTGCGGTCCTTGTTTTTAAATCAGAGAATCAGAGGGCTGATGTTGTTAAGGTCTGCAGCTCAGCCTGGTGTACAGAAGGACAATTCTATCATTCCTCAGAGGCAGTTCAAGATGGAGAGATCTGACTCACACCCACCAAACCCACAGAGGACTGACCAATTCCAACACCACCTTGTTTATGAATAATGAGCAATGCAACCAAAAAGCCTAAGTCTGCGTGATCACTGCTCTGTGGAAGGTCTCGGAGGAAAGTCTACATGGAAAACCAAACCACCCGAACAGTCCATGAGATGACAAAGTGTCCCGGACAGAGGACACCATGAGGACTAAAACAGGATTTACCACCATCCTGAGTACACAGGTCTCACAGAAGCTAAACCGTGTGCCAAGAGCCAACAAAAGGCAGCAGGGGTACTGCTGAAGCGGGGAGGATCAGGAGGCAGGAGTAAGACCCCTAGGCAGAGAGCAGAGGGCTGTGAGGCCAGAATCCCCAAGAAAGGTGTGGCATTGTGGCAGGTCTGACTGCTCAGAGCAGCCAAAGTCCATGCGCTTACAGCGTAGGTGTGCACAGCAGGTCAAGGGGCTGGGAGAGTGGGCAGTGAAAGGCAAGTGCGTGGACTTCCTCACAGGGCACAAAAGGAAGGGGCCCACAGGGCTGGCTTTGGAAGGTGACAGGTGAGGAGGCGAGGGCATAGTCCGGAGCAGGGGGCTGAGGGTGCACTGAGAGCACAGACTCTACAGCGCCCACCACTCTGCAGGCATCTTCCCCATCCACTCAGACCCCGAGAAAGAAAAACAAGAGGAAATGAGCAGCTCACTCCAGCCTTCCAATTCTTCCCCATCGTTCTGCACTCAATGGAAAATAACACTTTTCAGATGAGAGGAGACCAGTGCTTTCCCCAAAGCCATTCAATTCCTTCCAGACACAGTTAAGTCCACAGCTGCCAAACACGCAGACACCAGGCTACAATGACTCGCTATTGTAGACAACAGTAGTCTCTGCTATGGTCTTCACAGTCATGTCCTCCCCCCAAAATCGTATGTAGGACCCTAACCCTCCAGATGAGGGGTTCAGGAGGCAGGGCCTTTGGGAAGTGACTAGGTCACTGGGACTCTGCCTAGTGTGAAGACAAGCCCAGGAGGCACCATCCTAGAATACCCCCTCTCACCAGACACCAGGCCAGCACCTTGAATTCCCAGGCTCCAGAAGTGTGAGAAGTGCTTGCTGAGTATGGGCCTCCCAGATGATGGTATTTTGTTATAGTAGCCCAAACGGACTATGTCTATCACTTAGAGAAACTCATTATTTGAAAAGCAACATGAAAACCCTGTAAAGTCCTAACCCCTGTTCAAGGTTGTTATAATGGAGATTGTGAGAGGTTAGGGGTGGGGAAACTGGGAGAATCTGGGCAAAGGGTACAGACTCTCCGTTATAAGATGAATGCGTTCTGGGGCCTAACATACAGCGTGACTAGTCAGTGCTGTACACCTGACTATAGTTTTCTCTCAACAGACACACACAGATGGTAACTATGGAAGGTAGCAGCTGTGTTAACTAACTGAGCCTGGTGATCATCAACAATGTACACCTACTCAAATCATGGCGTGCCTTAAAGGTGTGCCATTTTATTTTCAATTATACTACTTACAAACTTTGAAAAAATAATGGTAAAAGATTTTTTTAAAACCTTTTCTTTCTTGTCTCTACAGAACATTAAAGTATCAGTGAACAAAACAAAATCAGAACTGTCTGAAAACTAGGGAAAGAAGGTAATTCTTTATCTTTGAGACATTATCTACTTCCACTGGGCACGTTCATTAAAAACCTAAAGGAAGCTGGGAGCTGCAGCTCAACCTGTAATCCTAGCTGCTTGGGAGGCAGAGATCAGGATTGCAGTTCAAGGCCAGTTTGGGCAAACACACACACACACACACACACACACACACACACACACACACAAGGCCAGTTTGGGCAAACACACAGACACACACACACACACACACACACACGCAGGCAGAATGGCTCAAAAGTAGTGGAGTGCATGCCTGGCAAGTATGAGGTCCTGAGTTCAAACCCCAGTCCCAAGAGAAAAAAAAACTAAAGGAAGCATTCCAAGTACAAAAGTGAAAAGTTAAGTATGAAGGGGGACTAAAAGGCAGTCAGAGCACCAGCAAATGACAGATCACACGGTCAGCTGAACGGTGTTCTCCAAAAATGGCCGTATCCTGATCTCCACCACATAAACATGGCACCTTTGTAGGTGCAATAAAGGACCCTGAGGTGGGGAATTATCCTAGAGGGGCAGAGAGATCAAAGATGGAGAAGGTGAGGGAACACAGAGCAGAGCTCAGACAGCATTTGACTTGACAGTGCTCCTCTGCAGGGCTGAGGACAGAGGTGAGGCCACCAACCCGGGACCACAGGCGCTTCTAGATGCGACAAAGGAAGTGTTCTCCCCCAGAGCCTCCAGAAGGAACCAGACCTGCTGGGCACCTTGATGTTAGTCCAGTGAGATGGGTTTTAGCCTTCTGACCTCTAAAACCCTGGTAATAAACTTGTCTTTTTTCAAGTCACTGCTTTTGTGGTAATCTGTTAGGGCAAGAAATAAAAATAAAGGGAGGGAAAGCAGGTGGGCCAGTAAAGAGACAAAGTGAAATTCCTGCACTGTCCTGTAAGGCACAGCCATCAATGTATTCAGGAACCAGGAAGACTCCTCAGAAATTCCTTTGGCCTTGGATGGAAGGGGGCTTGGGTCCTCCTCACCGTCTTCAGCCTGAGAGGCTGTGGTCCCTCTTGCAAAAGCTCTGGGGCTCTTGGTATTTCATTGACTCTTCCCCACGCCTGGTGCTCAAATCCTGTCTGTCCTTCCAAGGCTGGCTTAAGTCCTCCTGCTCTCCTTGTCCATCTGGAACCTTCTGAGAAGCACCAGCACCCTCAGCCCAGGGACCAACTTCCCTCCCACCTCTGAGACTCTTACCCAGCACTGCTCTGTCTCTACTCAAACGATTAACTTGTCTCTGTCTTGCTTCTCCAACTAGAGCTCAGGCCCTAGGAACGCCCCAGGTTTCATCCCTGAAACCCCTGAGGGCTCACGCTCCCAAATTCCAAGGTCATCACGTCCTGGGTGTTCTGTGAACAGCTGCACACCCCACAACAGTGCTGTGTGGTGCTGCCTGGCTCGTGCTTCAGACGGAGGAATCCAGCCGTGGTCTTTGGTGTCCTGCTTCTCACACGGCTGTGCTGAAACGTGTGCTGCAGATCCCACAGTCACTGAGGTCCCACCCACAACTCATGTGTCCTTTATGCTGATGGGCACCTGGGTTATTCTGAGGGTGTATGAGCCGTGCTGCCAAGCAGGGTGGCTGGGACGGCGTCATCACGCTTCCCTGGGAGCTAACGGGGCTGAGAAGCTTCTCAAAGTTCTGTGCCATTGTACTTCCTAACCGTGACGTGCCTGTTCCCATCTTCCCCTCTGCCGTGTTGTCCTCTTTTTCTCTCATGAGAATTCTTTTCAGGTTCCAGATGCAAGTTCTTGGTACGTCTTGTGTCTTTCTAGGCTTCTGATGAATGTCTTCATTTTCCATGTATTGATCTTTCTCCTTTGCTGCTTGCGCTCCTTATGTTGTATTTCAGAAAGTTCACCTAAGCCCCAAGTCATGAAGAAATCTCCTCATAGTATTTTCTAGAATGTTTACAGTTTTGCTTTTCTGACTTCAGTCTTTAATCCTCCTGGAGCTTTGTGAAGCTGGAATCTCAGGCATCTCTAACACCACTCCATAGTAACTGGCATACTGCTATGAATACAGTATTTATTTAATAAACAGAATCAAATAGTGCTTTGTGTTCAAAGCTCAAATTTACTCGAGGGAAAAAAACATAAGTGCCTGAAACTCTGGATCAGCACTCTGATGGGTTATTACGGCTACATCACCACTTCCTGGCATCTCCTTACCTGCTTTTGGCCATTTTCTTTTCTCTTTTGAGGCAAGGTCTTGCTGCATAACCTGAGCTGACCTTGTGCTCTCGATCCTCCTGCTTTCACCTCTCAAGTGCTAAGGTTACTTAATGTGTTGCCAATTTTTGATATTTGGACTAAAGTAACAGTGAGGTTGAGGGGAAAGAGCACAATATGGGAACTGGAAACCAGGATTCTTATCCAAGACCCAATATCCCAAGTCTCTTATCTGCACAGCAGGAATTAAAATAGCAGCATCCTACTCCTAGACCTACACCACAATTCCAGAAAGCTTTTGCTCACATTAAAATTTACACTGCATGGTCACAGTGACCTTATTCACAATAGCCAAAAGGTGAAACAAATAAAATGTCCAACAATGGATGACCAAACAAAATGTGGCCTAACCCATCAGACGATGGATTATTATTTAGCCACAAAAAGGGAATAAGTTACTGACACATTACAATATGGATGGACCTTGAAAAATGGTGCTAAGACAGAAGCCAGACACAAAAGGCCACATATATTGATCCCATTTATACGAAATGTCCACAAGAGGCAAATCCATAAAGACAAAAAGTAACACCAGTTTGTTGAACTCTGTGCTCCTGGAATATTCCTGTAGTAATAAAGACCAGACTGAATAGAGACCGCCCGGGTTTGAATCCAGCCTCCCATTTAAGAGCTGTGAGTGAAGTAAAAATGGGGATGGGAGCCAGGCACCAGTGGCTCACCCCTGTAATTCTAGCTACTAGTAGGCTGACATTAGGAGGATGGAGGTTCGAGGCCAGCCCAGGCAAACAGTTCTATAGACCCCATCTCCAAAATAACCAGAGCAAAATGGACTGGGGGTGTGGCTCAAGCAGTAGATTGCCTGCTCTGCAAAGGCAGAGCCCTGAGTTCTAACTCCAGTCTCACAAAAAAAAAAAAAAAAAAAAAAATTTAATGAGAGGGAGACTCGATCTTTGTAAAAATGTGGATAACATCTCCTGCCTATGAGAATTCAATGAGGTAATACATGAAAAGCACTTAGCAGTGTCTGCTCGTAACTGTTCAATAAACCTCAGCCATTAGCCAGTATTACTACTCGGTGCTTGATGCCAGCCGCCTGCTATTGATGCTTTATTTCTGTGGTCTATTTGCATTCCCTTTGTCTTCCACCTTATGGGGTGGAACCACAATGGCACCCCTCCCGCCCCGGTTTGCACACGGGAAAAGGAGCTTACAGAGGCAAAGTAACATCCCAAGACCCCACAGCTGAGAAGAGGCCGGCCTGAGCTCCACCGCGGTGCAGAGCACGGGCTGCCCCCCATCCCACCCCAACACCGGCCACGGTACCGCGCACAGGCCCGCTGTCGCCGCCCGGGCTGCGGTGCGGGCGCCTAGTTCTTCTTCCCTTGCTTCCCTCCCTCCCGCACATGGCGGGGCCCAGCCGCCCTGCCATTCCGAATGGTGTGACACAAAAACACGGCGGCCTCAGAACCCACTCAAACCAAGCCACTTGCAAACGAAGAGTTACGGCCGACCAGCGGGGCTGGGGTCTGCGGGCCGCGGGGCGAGAACGCGAAGTGGGGGGGGGGCCGGCGGGAGGGCGGAACCAAGAGTTCGGGGCTCGGGAGTGCGGCGGGGCCCGCGGCGCAAGGGGCCGGGGTCCCGGGGGGCGTGGCTGAGGCGCAGAAAGGAGGGGACCGGGCCGGGTGGCCGCGAGGGGAGCGCCCGGAAAGTGGACGATCGGGCAGGACGCGCGGGCCGTTGTACCTGCAGCGAGCGGCTCAGTCTCCGGAACCGTCCAGTCAGACCCGCTCCACCGCCTCCCCCTTCTCCGCCGCTGGGGGCTCCCCACGTGACCCGCGCACGCACCGGAGGCGGAGCTCTGCCAAAGCCCTCCCCCCCCCGCGTAACGAGTACGCGTGCGCAGTGGTTACCGTGGCGACCAGAGAAGCGTTGGGCTGCCAACGACTTGGCGCGGGGGTTGGCGGAGTAGGAAAGCTGAGCCTGCTCGGCGAGGCTGGGGGCCGACCATACCGACTACTGCGGGGTGTTTGGCGTTAGAGAATAAATATGCACCCGGAGGCCGCCGAACCGGCGGAGGATGGGCCGGCGGAGCCCGCTTGCGCGCCAGAGCTCGGCGTGGAGGAGTCCGCGGGCGACCACCCTGACGCGGGCCAAGGGGTCCGCAAGGAAGGTGCCGACCGCCTCCAGGGAGGCCGAGGGGGGCAAGGGACCGAACTCCCCATACCACTCGCTCGATCTTCACAGCTAACAATAGATAAATTAGTCATAGCAGCCAGTGCATTAAAGGCCAAGCGCTCAGCATTTGAGCGGTGCACCAACCCTCTCCCATAGGCACACGGGAAAGAGTTTCCTTCCTTCCTTCATCTTTCTTTCTTCTCTTTCTTTCTTCTCTCTCTCTCTCTCTCTCTCTCTCTCTCTCTCTCTCTCTCTCTCTCTCTCTCTCTCTCTCTCTCTCTCTCTATTTTTGCAGTTCCGAGGTTTGAACTCAGGGCCTCGCGCTTGCCAGGCATGTGCTCTACACTTGAGTCACTCCCCACCCCAGGAAGAGTTTCTGAAACTTGCTTCAAACGCTAGACAGTCTGCCCGACACACTTTCTCCTCCCTCCCTACTTCAATTTTGAATGTACTCTTTTATTGTTATTGCCATGTAAGAGCAAAGGCTTGCTGTCCTGGTACACTGCAGGCAGACATCAGGGCAGGCCATCTTGATAGAAATTGAAGTATCTAGTCCAGTGTCTGACACATCGTAGAGACACTGCACCGGGGTTTCTGGGGAAGGGTTAAACACAGGCATCAGCTGCTTCTCCCCCTACGCTTGGGGCCCTATGGAAATCTTTTTTATCGCTGGATATAAAAACTAGCTGATGTGTGTTTCATTTTCCTAATCAACAAAGTACGTTTTAATCACCATAGTTTGTTCAGGCAAACCGTCTGAGGAGCTGTAGGAATTGACATAGCTCAGTGCTTGGCTTGGTCTCATTCAGTAGACAGTGGGAACACAAAGAGAGCAGCAATGGCCCTGAAAATCACGTGCATCTGAATTGGCCAATTCTGATTGAGCTTTTAAAAAATCATGTGCATTTGAATGTGCTCGTATGCTATTCCCACCGTTTTTGTTTCATCTCATGTTTTTCTCCCCTTCTTCTTGCAAAACAGTAGCAAAACTTTATTGTCCAGGTGGCATAGAAGCCAATTTCTTTTGAGTTTTTTTTTAAGACAAAAGAGCAGAGAACATTACATAACAAATACCCACGTATTGCCACTGAGAACTGAAAATGAGGAACATTTTGTCGTTCTTACCTGAAGTCTTTGTTTAGTGAAGGAAACAAAACATTTTACATGAAGTTGATATTTCCCCCCACTGCCCTTTCCAGATCCCATTTTCTTCCTCGTCCAGAATTTTGTATGGATTTTTCAGTCTCTCCTCTATACGTGTGTCCTTGACAATGCATAGTATTGGTTTGCACGTTTTTAATCACCACAGTCTCTACAAATGGAATTTTTATTTTATAGAAATTAGCGATCCTAAGGAAATATGTGTGGGTTCTTCTGACACACCCTACCAAAGCCAGCAGCAACAGAGTGGTGACAGTGGATCAGATAGTCACTTAGCCCACCCAAGAGATGACAGGGAAGATCGAGGCCCCAGGTACGTGGTTGAGCTGCATATTTCCCAAGTAAGGTGCATGGTGTGATCGCCCCTGGTACCGATTTGGGGATGGAGGGTCCTGGAATCTGAGTAACCTACCCGGTATCTGAGAGTTGTCCAGTGATGGAGTCCGGCTGGCGCCACTTCTGTGGCATCAGTAATCACCCCTATTAAACTTTTATGCCAGATCTTGATGACACTGTTAAAAGTATTTTTATTAGGACACACGTGGCAGTTTTAAAGAATGCTGAAAGTAACACTATTGGATGAGGCACTGAAAGCTGTACCGAGAAGAAGGAAAGGAAGACAGGAAGGGAGGGAGCAAGAGGGGAGGAGGAGGTGGACTTAACATAAAAATATTAGACATATATAGGATGTTACAGAACTTTGGACATAAATGGATATAGTAAAGAACTTTTGGAATATATTTTACAACTGACAATTTAAAATTCCTTTTTCATGTTTTTCCCTTTAACAGAATGACTAAACAGTTCCTGCAAAAACTCTGCAAGCAGCACAAGCTTTACATTACCCCTGCACTGAATGATACGCTGTACTTACACTTTAAAGGTGAGACCTGTAGAAAATTACCTTCGGGACCATCGTTATTGCTCAGATTATACTTAAGTAAATACCTCAGCATTTAGTGGAGAGTTATGGAAAAAGAAGACTTCTTTAAGGAGAAAGTCTTGCCTGACTAGAGTTTATAAAGTTGCTGGCTAAACGAATACAGAGGAAACATTTTGGTATCCTCATGTTTGTTTACTAAGGTCTTAATGGTTTTACAAAGCAGAAAGCAAGCTTGCAAATACCTTGGGTCGGGAGGAAATGTGAAGACCTGAGAGATGAGAGTCGTTGGGAGCCTCTCAGAATGGAAAGGTGTGATGAGGCATCCTTAGGTCTCAGGCTTGGTGTCCGGTTTCACATCGACATCTGAGTCAGGTTCGTGGTGAGGGCCATTCCTCCCAGTGATAAAGAGGACTGATAGCTCCTTGTCTGTGCTAAGTTGGGGTGGCCAACCTGCTTCCTTAATCATTTATTTGTTCATTTATTTACTTATTCAGTAAATTTTTCGGAGAGACTTGTGTGCCTGGGACCATGTTCAGTGCTGACAATGTGCAGGTGGGTGGGCAAAGATGCCTTAGGTGCTCTGAGGGACGGTGCCGTGCCCAGGAGCACACGTATCTTTGGATGTGGAATGCCTCCTTCCTCACCTCCATTGTCACCTCTCCAAAATTCTCCACCAGCATCTAAGTATAGCAGAGGATAAGATGGTGCATGGCAGAAGGAAGGTCCCAGAGAAGAAGAGGGCCCAGCAAGCCAGACCAAGTACATTCAGAGAGGTATTAGTTATGCACTGCTGTACAACTCGCCCCCGAACTTAGCATCTTTTTTATAAAAGTCATTATCTCACAGACAGTCTGAAGGCCAGGAATCCTGGTGTGATTGGCTGGGTGCTCCAGGCTCAGTGTCCCTCTTGAGGTCGCAGTGGAACACTATCACATGGCCCCAGTAATCTGCCAACTTGACTGGAGCTAGAGAATCCAATTCCAGCTCTAGGCTCAGGTCTTCACTGGCTGTGGCCCCAAGGCCTCAGCTCCCCACCATGTGAGCCTCTCCATGGCAGCTGACTTCCCATAGAGCAGGTTATCCCAGAGAGAGAGGGGGAAAGCAAGGACAGAAGCCTCAGTTCTGGGTAACATATCATCACTTTTGCCTTATTGTACTGGTCTCAGGGCTACTACCATCTCATTGCATCATTAGCACAAGGGTGTGAACACCAGGAGATGGCAATCCAGGTGATGCTGAAAGGCCTTGGGAGAAAATAGAAAATGGTGATCAGGGCTGCTGGGTCAGGGGCTCAGAGTGGTCAGAAACCAAGAGAAAATGGGACTTAGCAGCCAGGATATGACCGGGGTGCTGAGGAACTGGAGATGGAATGGAGAGAGCAGGAGTGAATTGGAGACTGGGGCCCCATGAACTGAAGGAGCAAAGGAGGCCTGTCCCAATGACAGGAGACAGGAGAGAGCTGAGAGCAGGCCAGAGAAAAAACTGCAAGGTCAGAGCCTTAAGGGGGCAAACAACCCATTCCCCAATCAAAAACTGCAATGAAAGAGAGACAGAGACCATAGCTCAAAAATGACCTAAAATGGCTGGAGGCACAGCTTGATGGAAGGACACTCGCCTATCATGCATGAGGCCTTGTCTTCAGTCCCCCGTACTGGGGTAGGTTGAGGGGAGAAGGATGGCTCCTCAAAGAAAAGCATTACTAGAGGAAGGAGGGGTAGATGCTGAGTAGATTGGAGTCTTAGTCCTTCGGGGCTGCTGTGGGGGCTGAGAGGTTCAAGACCAAGGTGTCAGCAGATTTCTGTGCGTAGTGAGGGCTGCTCTCTGGTTCACGTATGGTGCCGTCTGTCTGTGTCCTCACATCGTAGAAGGGGTGAGGGAGGTTCCTCTTGTATGAGGCACTAATCCCATTTATGAGGGCGCCACCCTCAGGACCAAAGGCCCCACTTCCTAACACCTTCATGCTGATCTCAATATAAGAATTCTGGGAGAACACAAACATTTGGTGCCTAACCGTGGGCAAAACAAGGGTGCCCTTGGCACCTTGCCCACGTGGAAGCTTAACTACCCCCACTCCTTCTCCCAAGGCTTTGACCGCATTGAGAACCTGGAGGAGTACACGGGCCTACGCTGCCTCTGGCTGGAGTGTAATGGGATACAGAAGATCGAGAACCTGGAGGCACAGACAGAGTTGCGCTGCCTCTTCCTGCAGGTGAACTTGCTTCATAAAATCGAGAACCTGGAGCCTCTGCAGAAGCTGGATGCACTCAACCTCAGCAACAATTACATCAAGACCATTGAGAACCTCTGTAAGAGCAGCCTTTTCTCTGCCAGGCCCACCACTTCCCCTGGGGAGGCTCCCAGCTTTTATTCTATTAGGGTGTTGCTCACTCCTGCTGCCATCCCATTCCAGCCTGCCTCCCAGTCCTGAACACACTGCAGATGGCGCACAACCACCTGGAGACTGTGGAAGACATCCAACACCTCAGGGAGTGCACCAAACTTTGCGTCCTTGACCTTTCCCACAACAGGCTGGGTGACCCGGAGATCCTGAGCGTCCTCGAGAGCATGCCCAATTTGGTAAAAACAGAACAAAAAATGTCACAACAAATCAGATCATATTATTTTATTTTGGTTTTCTTGTACTGCTGGGGATGGAACCCAGGGCCTCACATGTACCAGGCAAGTGCTCCACCACTGAACACTCCCCCCAGCTCTTAATTATTTTATGTCATTTAAATACCAAGTCCTATTTCCTCCCTCCCTTCCTCCTTTTGCACTTTTCTCTGTTTTTAGCTGGAGAATCTTAAATGCCAGATGTCATATAATTTTCTATCCTATCTTTGACACATAAGGACTTCTAAAAGCATCATCACAATACTACCGTTATATTTAAAATATTATAATGGCTACACTTCATACCTGTTCCACGTTCAATTCTCCACTTTAGTCTCAAGTATATGTTTTGATGGTTGGATTGTTCAAACCCAAACCAGATTGGACATTATCTTGGATTACTGTCTGTCCCATCCCTTTTGGTCTATGACAGCTTCCCTTCCTTGTTTTTGTCCTCATCTCACTAATTTGTCAAGGAATCAGGTCCTTTGGCAATTTCCCACATCCTGGATTTGGTTGACGATAGTCTCATGGTGTCTTTTGACACACTCTGTTTCCCCCAGTATTTCCTGTAAAATATAGAGCCAGCGATCTGATTGGATGCCAGTTCAGTGTTCTCCTTCAGTGTGCCATGTCCTTCCATGGACTCATGGGCTTACATCAGGGCCCATGGCATCTGCTTGCCTCTCTTTTATAAATTACGATTTGGAATTACAATTAGCGAGTACAGATTGTCAGCCTCATCTGGCCATTATGAAGTTCTCCATCAATCTTTCTGCCAAGTTGTCTTGGCAGCTGTGGATGAGTGTTGCATTAGGAGTCACAAGGTGTCATGTCCTCACTCTCTTACTCCTTCCGCATCGATTGGTTGGAATGCTTCTCCAAAGAACTTTCACTTATCAAGCCCAGCACTGTGGCTCATTTCTGTAATCCCAGCTATTCTGGAGGTGGAGATAAGGAGGATCAAGGTTCGAAGCCAGCCCAAGCGTATACTTCTCAAGACCCTATCTCACAAAAAACCACCACAAAACAGGGCTGGTGGAGTGGCTCAAGTGTAGGCCCTGAGTTCAAACCCCAGTACCACACACAAAAAACCTGGCACTCAACAGTAGTGCTTCATATAAGACAGGTGTTCCCCTCCTCCTTTTTACCTGTCAAGTCTCAGCTAAATCAGTCAAGACCCAGCACTGGTGATCACAGGGCTTTTTCTTTTTCCTCATCATTGGGAGTACCTGGGCTCAGATGTACAGTATCTGAGATGATTTAAGCCTGGCTATCATTTTTTTTTATTTTTAATCCTTTTAAAATTATTACTGTTGTACATTTACCAAAGTTCTTACAATATATCATAGTTGAATTCATCCCTCCATCATTGTCCTTTATCCCTCCCCACGCCATTTAAATTTTCCACATCTGGGATTTCCCATCCTTCGGCCTTGAGGGCCCCTCTAGGGAATCCTGGGTGTTGGACTCAAGTGCAGCTGCCTTTGATATCTTCCTTAGTGTTTAGCATGTAAGTGTTAAAAGTATTAAGAACAGCAACAAAATCTGTGAGTCCACTGCCTAGGGCAGGGATCAGTGCAGGGAAAGTGAGTTGCTTCAGAGAAAAACAGTAAGGGAATCAGAGTTCACAAGTAATCTGCAGAGGGAATTTTCTGGAAGCACTAGTTTTGAATGGCCAGCACGTGGGGATGGAAAGCTATAGTAGTGTGAGTGTGTGTGTGACTAGTTTGCATCGTGAATGTTCCCTAAGGCCATGAGTTGAAGGCTTGGTCACTAGCCTGTGGTGCGATTAGGAGGTGCGGTCTGGTGGGAGGAAGTGAGGTCACTGGGGACATGCCCTTGAAGGGGATATTAGACCCCAGCCCTTCCTCTCATTCTTTGCTTCCCAGCCATCACGCGATGAGCAGCTGTGCTTTACCACTTGCTCCCTGCCAAAATGTTCTGCCTCACCACAGGCCCATGGCAGTGATGTCTCACACATCTGTGGACACCAATCTCTGAAACCAGGAGTGGAAATAAACCTCCCTCTTTTAAGTGAATTTTCTCAGGTATTTTGTTACAGTGACAGAAAGTGACACACAGCTGCACCAATGAAGTACCACAGATTGACAGGCTTACACAAAAGAAAGGTATTTTCTCACAGTTTTATAGGCTGCAAATCCTAGATGGAGGACTGATTTTATTCTGTGGCTTCTGTCCTCAGCCTGCAGATGGTTGCCTTCTCCCAGCCACTCTACGTGCTCCCCCTGCCTCCATATTTTTCTGTCCTGATCTCTTCCTATAAGGACACCTCAGGTTGGCTTAGGACCCACCCTGATGAACTGGCTTTAACTTAATTACCTCTTTAATGACCCTGTCTCTAAATACTGTCACCTTCTGAGGTACTGAGGACTAGGACTTTAACATATAAAATGGGGAGGGGTCACAATTATTCAGCCCATAACAAAGCAGCCACCTTATAGTCATTTTGTGACTGCTTTCAAACCCACCCCCCCAACCCAAGCACCCCTTCACTGCCTGGACTGGGACATTGCTCCCCATACCTTGCCCTTGAAGATATGGTGAGATTGACCAGGGCACTTTAAGAATGGACTCTGGGGATCTAAACTAACTATGTCTGTTTATAGGTCTCTGGGCAGGAGAGAAGTGATAGCCTTTGACAGCGGGGACATTGCTGACTGTCCTCCTGATCATCAAGCCCAGGAGAAAGGACTCCTCCATTCCCAGGGGAACTTGCAAACTTCCGTCCTTTTTCAGTCACTGCTACTTGACTCTGAATGTTTCCTTAAAATGGGTCCTGGCTGGGAAGGAAAAAGCAATCAATTAGACCGAGATGCATTTCAGTAAAAGAGATTGGGGAGCAAAACTATTATAACCACTGCACTTGGGAAAGCCTCAGGAAGTGTCTTTTCCAATATTGTTTCTGGAAGGACACAGAGGAGTAAACTCTGAAGTTCAAGTAGAAGAAAGGGCTCCTCAATTCTCTGACAGTTTTGATGGCACAAAAGCAATGAAAACCTCATTTTTGCAATCAGTGCCCAGGGCATGATGCTAGCAGTTACATTTTGTTCAAGAAAATAGATTTTGTTAAGTCATTCTGATGACACAGTACATGTAAAGCAATTTAATCTTTTCAATGTAATCATTTTGGGGCTGAGCATGGTGGCATATACTTATAATGCTAGCTACACAGGAGGCGTAGGTAGGAGGCAAAAACTCAAAACCCCATCCAAAAAGCAAAGCAAAAAGGACTGGGGGTGTAGGTCAAGTGGTAAAGTGCTTGCCAGTCACAAGGCCCTGAGTTTGAACCCCAGGACTGCCAACAATGAAACTAAGTAATTATTTTGGCTTGGCTTTATTTGCTTTACAGCGTGTGTTGAACTTGATGGGAAACTCAGTGATTAAGCACGTCCCTAATTACCGAAGGACTGTCATCGTTCGACTGAAGCACTTGACATACCTGGATGACAGACCAGTTTTTCCAAAGGACAGGTAAGAAGAGAGAAGCCTTTGGATCATGTTTTGAACATTTGCTAGTTGAGCACTTTTAACATTAAACTTTTAAAATTTCTGAGCATTTTCACACATTATTTTTTATTTTTTAAAATTTTTTTGGTGTTCTGGGGTTTGAACTCAGGGCCTTCTTATGCTTTCTAGGCAGGTGCTCTACCATGTGAGCCACACTTCCTCCAGCCCCCTTTTGCTTTAGTTATTTTTTGGATAGGGTCTTGCATTTTTGTCTGGACTGGTCTGGACCACAATCCTCCTATTTATGTCTCCCACACAGTTGGGATGACAGGCAGGTATCACTATACCCAGCTTATTGGTTGAGGTGGGGTCTTGAAAACTCCCTCCTCCTCCCCACCTTGAACCTGGACCCTCCCTGTCTCTGCCTTCTGAGCAGTTGGGGTCACAGGTGTGAGCCACTGTACCTGGCCACATATCACTAAATATTCTTGGATCATAAGTTTAGTGGCTACATAACTCTGCATAACAGGAATTTGAGCACTTATTCATAGATTTTTGTGTTCCTTTGATAACTCCTGTGGATAAGTTTCGACCTTCCATTTCTTGGGATAGAATTCCAGGCATAGAATCACTAGATTAAAGAATGTAGTTTGACCCTGAGCTCAAACACCAGTACCAGAAAACAAAAAGTGGTTTGAGGCTTTTAAAAAGCTCCTATAAATAGTTTTGTTATCTAGAAAGTTTGTACCAGTTTACAGCCTCATCAGACGTAGTGATGTGAAGGAAATCTTTGCCAGGTGGCTTACTGGATGAAGAGGGTGACATTTGGGATCACTGTTGAGGCTAGTCATCCCCACCCCTGCTGGACATTTATGCTCCTCCTTTAAGACCAGTCTGCTCATGACCTCTTCCCTGCTTCCTTCGGAAGTACTTTCTTATTAATGTGTGTGAGCTTTCTTTAGCATTAGGAATATTATACCTGCACTGCCATGTCACAACTTTTATCTGTAGTTTAAATTTACCTTTTGAGTCAGTCACTTGGAATTCTAACTTGGAATAAAACCATTAGCACAGACTTCTTGAGGGGGAAAAGCATCTGAATTTTGAACTGTCTCGTGTTTAAAAAGAAATGCAACTTGCATTATGTTTTTGAGTTCATAGTTCACATGGAAGTCAGAGCCTCCCCTCTATCCAGGCAAGAGCAGATCCCTGCTTCTGGGAAGGGTGGCTGGGACTGACTCGGTAGTTCGCTAGGCTCAGGGGCCTGGCCCAAGGAGGGACAAAAGGAGCTGGACAGGCAGGGGGCAGGCTTTGTGGCCTCCCTAAGCCTCCCGTTTCCTTATTTGTAAAGCAGGATCATTATGATACTGGATCGTTGATCCTGAGTTGGTGTCCTGAAGAAGGCTATGATTGAAGATGCTGGACCAGGAGTTAAGAGTAAGGCAAGCACAAAGTTTATTGAAAGGATAGTGAAGCACCCTGCAGGTAGGACTTAGTGAAAGAGCTCAGCCAAAGAAAGGTGAAGTATAGTGGATAATATAGGGCTCTGACTGGCTTAGACTTCCCCTCCTCTACTTTGAAGTTACATCTGTAATTGGATGTCATCTAATTAACTCTTACTGAACCTAACCACCTGGCTACATACCCCCCCCCAGCCCACATCCCTATCAGACTGGACATTCCAAGAGGGTCTCAGTCCATCCTGTCCTTGAGGCCTGCCATACACATTTTATGACTACCTCTTGTTATCTTGGTGAGACTCACTGTTCACGTTTATAACCCCTTTTACTATCTTGGGAAAGTCTGCGGTGTTATTTTCCTTAAGGGGTCTGTTTTCCATCTTTTTAGCTGTTTGTCTTTAAAAAGATGCTCCTTTATCTAGGAGAAAGACCACTGCGCTTTACTACGGGAGAGAAGGCCGCACCTCAGCCTCCTTAGATGTTTGCTTTTAAGGATTCTTCCTGTCTCTTTTATCTAAGACAAAGTTACTTCTGCCATCTGTTCCCTTTACATTCCCAGTGGCACAGTAACACGGCAGGGGGCCTGTGAGTACTTGTGAGTAACGCCTAGGACTCTGAGCAGGTAGGAGGCTTCTAGGAAGACTGAGCTGAGGGGAGCAGCTGCCAGGAGGGCCCTTTCCCGACACACCAGGAGTGCTGAGGCGCAGGAAAGTTCACGCAAACCCAAACTTGGCAATGAGCAGGATGACCCCTGCACTTTACAGTGTAGCATGACACTCCTCTCTCTCTCCCACCCCCCCCCAGTCTATTTTTTGGGACAGTGTCTCCCTATGAAACCCCTCTGGCCTGGAATTTGCAATCCTCCTGCCTCAGTCTCCCAAGTGCTGGGATTACAGCTGTGCACCACCACATTCAGCTTGCCTGCCTTTTTACTTAAAAGTCATCCTCTGGGGTATAAAGTGGTGTCTCAGCATGGTCGTGATTTGCATTTCCCTGGTGGCTGATGATGCTAAGCATCCTTTCATACGCTTATTGGCCATCTGTATAGATTCTCTGAGAAAACGTGTGCCACTTCTTTGCTCATTTAAAAAAAATGGACTTTTTTAAAGAGTTGTTTTAAGTTCACTGAAAAATTGAGCAGAAAGCACAGAACTCCCATGCACCACCTCCCCTCACAGTTGCCCTACTATTCAGTGCATGTGCTGCTTAGGTTAGGATTGATGAGCTAAGGGTGACCCGTGAGCCCCAAAATTGACTTTAGGGTTTGTGCTTTGTGCCGTGCACTCTGGGTTTGGACAATGCGCCATGCTCTGGGTCCCATTGCAGTATCATTCAGACCAGTTTCATGGCCTGAAAATTCCATGTATATGCTTCTATTCACCGCTCCCACCAGCCCCTGGTCCTTTCACCAACCCCACAACCAGCTGGGCCTTTTCCGGATGGCACAGGGCCGTGGTCACAGTGTGCGGTCTTGTCTGACTGGCTTCTTTCACTTAGCAGTGCATCTAAGCTTCTGCTTAAATGACTTTTTGTAGCCTGACACTTGTTTTTATTGAGTAACGTTCATTGTCAGGCTGTGCTGGAGTCTATTTATCCACGCACCAGCGGAAGGACACAGAGGTGCTTCCTCTTGGACCATCAGAATAAAACTGCTTAACCATTCATGGGTAAGCTGTTGTGTGGACGTCGTTTTTAGCTCACCGTCTTCTGTGCCCTATATTTGGATTTCAAGGAAAATGAACAAGCCTGTTCAGTCTGTGTTTGGAGTTCACTTTAACCTGTGAGCGTTAACCTCTTCCTCATCCTTCGGCAGGGCATGTGCAGAGGCCTGGGCCCTGGGCGGGTACGCGGCTGAGAAAGAGGAAAGGCAGCAGTGGGAAATCAGGGAGCAGAAGAAGATCACCGACAGCCTGGAGGCCTTGGCCATGATCAAGAGGCGGGCGGAGGAGCAGAGAAGAGAGAAGGAAGCTCAGGAGCAAGGTAGGTGCTCCTGGCAAAGACACAGCCCCAGAGTTCTGTTTTGATTAGGCAAAGGCAGGCCGTGAAACTCACATCCTTTAATCTCTGAATATTTTTAACCATTCACTCACATACCTGCGGATACATCTCAGTTGTCTGCACCCATCTGCCAGGCCAGTGAAAAACTCTAACACACCAACAATTATAGGTAGTTAAAATATAACACCTTTTGGGGTTTTTTTTGGTGGGACTGAGGTTTGAACTCAGGGCTTATAGTTCGCAAAGCAGGTGCTCTACTGCTTGAGTCACACCTCCAGTCCATTTTGCTCAGGTTATTTTTTAGAAGGGGGTCTCTTTCAAACTATTTCCTCTGGCTGGCGTCAAACTGTAAACCTCCCAATCTCTGCCTCCCAAGTAGCTAAGGTTATAGGCATTCAGCCACCAGCGCAGGGCCTCAAACCACCGTTAGTGATTAAAAACAAGAAATATATAGGTTGTGATTTCACAGGTGTCAAAACAAATCAGTACAAATTGGTGACCTAAAACAGTACAAATTATCTTTTTATAGTTCTTGAGGTTAGAAGCCTGAAATAGGTTTCTCTGGGCTAAAACCAAGGGGTTTCAAGACTGTCCCTTCTGGACCATATAGGATGAATCTGTTTTCTTGTCTTTCCAGCCCTGTTGGGCTGCCTGTGTATCTTGCCTGTGTTCTCTCCCTCCACCCTCAGAGGCAGCAGTGTAGCGTCTCTGAGCAGTGCAGCTCAGCTGGACAGTCCAGGGTAGTCTGAGGTTCTTAGTTTCATCTGCTAGTCCCTTTGCAACGTGAGGTGACGTGAGACATGCTAACAAGTTCTAGGCTTAGGAGCACTGTTCTGTCTGCCACAAACGAATACCACTGACTAGAGCATGAACTCTGTTTCAACTTCATACCAAAGAAGTATGACATCGTACTGACTTCACAGGTCCCACACCCAGTGCCTTTAAGGAGGAAGTCAGCCAGCACTTCTGCCAGGAGCTCAGGCAGTGCCCCTCATAAAGCTGTGCTTTAATCAGACAGTTTGATGACCTTGATCTTTTAAATTACTGTGAAGGTTTTACATTATACTGTGGTCCATTTAAACTCAACAATTTTCTACCCATAGAAGGTCTCCAAGGCCATGTCGTGGGTGGTGGGGCTTTATAATTGCAGAAGTCTGTGCACACAGACACACATGCAGGCACGTGGCACACACGTTCCCCACACGAGGAGCATGCAGGCCCATGTTGTGATAGATTCTAACAGATGAGATGTGGTTGTGCCTCCTCTGAGGGGCCTATGGCTTCTTTAGGGAGGCAAAGATAAGTGGCAGGTATCCAAAGTTGGGGCTAAATTGTGAACTGGGAAATGATATAAGGCTAGTGGGGTTGGGTGGGGCTTTAAGACATGGAAGGTGGACATGGAAGGTGGCAGGAGGCCATTGTAGGCCGTGAAGAGGCTGACGTTGGTGATGCCAGTGTGGTAATGGTGGTGAGTATGGGATCAATGTGGGGGACTCTGCACTTGGGGAGCCCAGTGTTGGAGACAGGCCTTCATGGAAAAGCAGAGAGGCCAGCACCATTTTTTTTCTTTTACATTTTTATTAGCATACGTCAGATGTACAAGGGGTGTTCACTGACTTATGTATGTGCTTATTATGTACACTGATTAGATTTACCCCCTCCATCATACTATGAGGGATTTTTTTTTTTTATTTCATCGTTTTACATTCACTCACATATGTATACACTGTTTGGGCCACCCCCCCTTTTGTTGTTAATTGAAGTGAAATTCATATACCATAAAATTTTTGGGGGGGGGGTGTTGTACTGGGGTTTGAACTCAGGGCCTCATGCTTGCAAGGCAGGTGCTCTACCACTTGAGCCACCACTCCACCAGCCCTTTTTTGTGATGGATTTTTTTGAGATAGGGGCTCACGAAGTATTTACTGGGGCTGGCTTCGAACTGTGATCCTCCTGATCTCCACCTCCTGAGTAGCTAGGATTACAGGCCTGAGCCACTGGTGCCCAGCTCCAATTAATTATTTTAAAGTACAGAATTCAGTGGCGTTTAGTACATTCACGAAGTTGGCAGGCAGCACCTCTGTCTAGATCCAAACCACTTCATCATCCCAGGATAAAGCCCTGTGCCCATTAAGCAGTCACTCCTTGTCCCTACTCACCAGCCCCCAGCAACCACTCACACTCTGTCTGACCAGTTCTTGTCACTGCAATCCCAGGGAGGCTAATGCTGTAACTAGCATTTTTTTGTTTCACATTGAACTTTTGAAATTCGGTCACATTGTAGCACATATGAGTACCTTGTTACCTCTTGTAGCTAACCTGGCAGTTTAACTTCCCTGACTTTAGAAGGTACCTGCACTGCTCTCTCTTTGGTCTGCATCATTTTCTATCTAGCTTAGATCGGGACTAAAAGTCTGGAAGGCTGTATGAAATCTACCCTAATTTGGCTTGGCCCGATCCCCACAGTCCTCCTAGGATTTCAGTCTGTCTCCCTGACCCAGAATCTACTATCCTGAGTCCTCAGGGATCGTAACCCCTGCCCAAGACCAATCCCTCTGGGCAGCATTTGGTTGTGGCTGGGAGTGAGTGAGTCCTGGGTCCATCCTGGTCTAACCCTGAAGCATATAGCAACATTCAGTCTGTGTGATCCTGGGGACAGTGCTCAGGGGACCTTCATAAGTAAGAATTGGCTTTCCAGCTGGGTTTGGTGGTACATGTCTTCCCAGTTCGTAGGGAGGCTAAGGCAGGAGGATCATGAGTTCAAAGTCCGCCTGGGCAACATAGTAAGACACCCTGTCTCCAAAGATCAAAAAATAAAAGTATCATAAATGAATTGCATTCTGTCTACTCTTTTGAATTACCATACCCCAACTATTTTCCATAAAGTAGACATTTCCCTACAGCGTTTATTTTTCTTTTAGCAACTTCTTTGAAACGTTTCAAATTTTAGGGATAGCTAAAAGGATAGTCTAAAACAAACAGTCCTGTTAAGTCCATTTCAATTGGATGACTGGTAGTTTTCCACACTTTTTCCCCCACCACATATGCTTTTCCCCTGAATCCTTTGAAATTTTGTTTTGTTAAGACAGGGTCTCACCTCTGTAACATAGCCGCTTTCAAATGCATGACCCCCCACATCTGAGTGTTGAGAGTGTGCCACCACCCCTGGCTTTCTCCTGAAAGGAAAGGCAGGTACTGCAGCCTTTGACCCCCACAGACCTCTGTAGCATCTCCTCAGGACCCAGAGCAAGGTGTCTTCCTCAGGCTTGTCCTTTGGATGTTTGGGTGCCTCGATGTAGCATGTAAACGATAGCAGATGAACTTCCCTTCGGGTTCTTTCATGGCGTTCCTGACACCTCCCTTGTGCTCATTCTCAAGTGCACAGACGCACAGCACATGACCTCCCAGGCCATCCCAGGCTTACCTCTGGACTTGCCTTGCTAGGGGAGAACCCACCTCCAGACAGTATGGATGGGCAGGAAGAGGCTCCTTTGTGTGAGGAAACACAGCAGAAGATGAAGTTGTTTGTTAAGGAAAGCTTTGAGGTCAAGGACGAGCTGTTTCCTCAAAAGTGTGGTGCAGAAGAGGAGCTGCCTGCAGAAGCAGAGACAGAAGATCAGGAGCCAGCAGGGAGCCTGCCAGGAGCTGTGCCCCCAGGTAATGCAGCTGACCACATGCAGATGCGGGTACCATGGTAGCTGCTGCCCTGGATGGTGGCCTCTGATCCATGGGCCTGAATGCTGAGTTTCACTCTACAGTTGCTCCTTCTGGAAGACAAAGAGCACAAGTTGTCTTGTTTTCTAGAACAGCACTGCCTGAGAGAAATACAACCGGGGCTGTTACAGGATTTCCTAGCAGCCACATGGAAAAAGTAAAAAGAAATGGGCAAACTGTTAATAGTACATCCAAAGCATAACCACCTCTGCTGGGTCAATGAGATGTTTGACATTGTTTTTAGACCACGACATCAAGATCCAGTGTGGATGAGACATTTACTGCACATCTCAATCTGAACGCTAAGTGCTCAGCGTTAAAGGGGAAACAAGACCTACCACAGGAGCAAATGCCTTCCTACTGCTTCTGTTTTAAATAAAAACGGGGTAAAATTCACCCTGGCCACATTCCTTGTGCCTGTGGCGATGGTGATCTAGAAGGGTGGACACCCCTTGGTGAGTTCTAACCAAGCTACCAGGGTCCTGCCAATGACAGGGAACCCGAGACCCCAGGACAGCACCAAGGAGTGGGCCCAAAACATTCCCATCTGTAGGGCTGGGCAACATTGTAGGCCTCAGCCCAAGCAGGATAGGAGGCCTTGTGGGGGAGTTTAGATAGTCTGGCTCAGAAGGAAGGTCCACTGGGTGGGAGAGACATGGACCATTAGTGGGATGTGTGAAGGGAGCCAGGCCATACCCAGACACCATGGCTGGGGGAGCTCCCTTTGGAGCATAGCAGATCCTTAACAGTCAACTCCTGGGCCCCACTTTAACTCGTGATCTCTTTTAATTCAGGTTTATTGGTCCTCTTATGTTCAGTGGTAGGTGAAACCCTCTGGTCCCTGGGTCTTTTACGGAAGTGTGTGGGAACTGTGGATACCCATTCACAAGCCTGTGTGTGGAAGCAGGCATCCATGAACCATCAGCTCTGGAGCTCTGGGTCCGTGGCTCCCCCAATGCTGGGATTCAGGACTTTCCCAGGGTTGTGAGCCATGCACAGTAGGAAGGAGGGGAAGGAGAGCAAGGGGCCCATTGGACCAGGTAACCAAGGTCTCCTCCCTGACAGGAGACGGAGGAAGAAGGCACCAAGAGAAACCTGCTCTTAGTCCCCTGCCTCCCTTCTTGGTTGCTAGTCAAAGCCTTTCTGGTTTTGATGGGAACCTGGGACTGGAACATCCACCTAGGCATGTTTATGTCTTGTTTTGGTTTTTCCTTATAAAACAAGTGCTTTTTTTTTTTTGCCCCCTGTGGTACTGGGGTTTAAACTCAGGGCCTACACCTTGAGCTACTCTACTAGCCCTATTTTTGTGTTTTTTTTTTCTTTGAGATAGGGTTTCACGAATTATTTGCCCAGGCTGGCTCTGAACTGTGATCCTCCTGACCTCTGCCTCCTGAGTAGCTGGGATTATAGGCATAAGCCACTGGCTGCTTTCTATAACATAGGGATGGACGGATTGCCAGAGCTCCACGCCCTGGGCATCTAGAAGAAAGTTTCTACCAAACAAGGGCCATGTTTGCCCTAAAGCTTCCCACAAGCACAGCTGTTACAGGCTTTATCGTTTAAAATGTAGTGTCACCTTCTCAGTTGTGACTTGGGTGTTTTCACACATGGATTTGCAGGGCAGGGTAGAAGGTGTTCCACACAATTACTCCTCGCCTGGTCAGTTTGCCTCAAAACTGACCTGGCCAAGCAGCAGACTGATGAACAGGCTGTGTAGGAAGCAGAACCAAGGCTACCTATAGCCTGGGAATTCTGGACAGAAGGGCCTGGCAGAGGAAGGGGACCTGAGGCTTGTCCGTAGCCCAGGCAGCCATGCAGCTGTTAAGCTATAGGGGTCCCTCTCCCTGCATTAGGCCTGTGCCTCAGGGGAGGCTGTGCAGTGCAGGCTGCTGGCAGGTTCCCCATCCTTGGATGGGGTTGTGACGCTGGCTTCTTCTCAGCTCCGGAGTGGGCCCTGGTCATAAGTGCATCCCTGCCCTTCCTCCTATTGGAGGAGTCCCATGGCACCAGCATCTCTGCATGCTCTTGCAGATTACAGCCAGGGGCAGCTGCCACTGGGCTTTTCTGTTAGGAACATAATCCTGTCCCCAGTGGTGGCTTCTGTAGCTTCTGTTTTGGGCTACCCATTTCCATCTCCACCTCCAGCTTGTTGCCTTGACCACTGTGGAGTAATAACTTGTCCCCGTCATTCCTTAGAGTCAACGTTCCAGGTGGTGGCTGCTGAGGATGTATTAGTTTTGGAACCTGAAGTGACTGGACCTGAAGATGTAGACGCTGTGACCCTGGAGACCAAGGAGAAGCTTTTCATCTGTGTACGTGCAGGACTGACCTTGGGGGAGTTTTGGTTGCACAGTTGAGAAAGCAGGGATGGGAATCGATCCATACCTCTGTGTCCTCACTACCCACAGTGCGCTTGCCCAGGTCCACCCCAGGCCAGCTGCCCTGAGGGTCAGGCATGCATACACTCAGGTTTGGGAAGCACAGGCCTGGATCGCTTCCCTGATCTGGGTCTGCCACATTCCAGATTAGTTTTTGCCAGCAGTTTCATTGCAAAGCACTTCTGCCTGACAGCCTCACAGTTCCTTGTCCACCACCCAGTAAGCGGTTCATGTCGTCTCACTAGCCTGTCGCTGCTCCACCTCCTGCTGCTTCATCAAATGACTGTCTGCTATCCTAACCCCTTGGGTCTGTTCGGCAATCATTGGGTCACAGCCTTCCTGGAGCTCCTCTCATTGGCGGACATGGGGATTTGTGCACTGTCACAGTGCCCCAGGACCGGGCAACAGCCAGGGAGACATCCAACCGTGGACAGCTGGTGCTCCCTCTGCCTGTTCTTGCCCTCTAGTTAAACTTCTAAACTACCGGTTCATTACTGATGCCCAAATTTCACATTTCCACATGACAGCATTAAGATGACCTCGGTCAATATTCCGAGTGGGTTTCTAGTCTTTGAACTACAATAGCCAATACCAAGTTCTTACTCTATGCATGGCCCTCGGCTAAGTGTGTTTATATTGAGTGATTTAACCCTGCCAGTTACTCTAAGGGTACAGGATTATTGTGCATCCCAATTTTATGGACGAGGAAGTTGAGAAACAGGTTAAGCAACTTGCCCAAAGCCACCCAGCTAGGAAATGGTGGACTGGGCCTACCAACCCTGGCAGGGCATCTGAATACCCTGTGCTTCCTCCACACACCTGCTAGTGGTTGTAGATGAAGACATCAGACCAGCAAGCATAGCACAAAGTGAGTCCTGGCTGTGTCAGGGAGGGATACAGGGTCCTAGGACTTAACTGGAAGAGGCAGTTTTGATTTGGGGTGCCATAATTTTCCCCAAATTGAAATGGCTATGTCTCTAACATCCAAGTGAAGATATATGGAAATTCTTCACCATGTCACAGCCTCAATTCAGGGAAGTGGCAGTGCTGGCTTTTTGAGTGTGCCCAGGGCTCCTTCTGGAGGGGTGAGGGCAGAGAGCTGCTCAGAGTTTGCACTTACCCCACGTGTGGGAATGTTGTATGTGCCTCTCTGGTGACAAGTCCTCCTTGGCTTTCAGGACCTGCCTGACTTGGAAGATGTCGATGGTACAGATGTGTCTCTGGAAGACCAGGTGAAGGTTGTTAGCACACTCTCATTACTGTCACCTATGAAGGTTGTTAGCACACACTCTCATTACTGTCACCTATGAAGCCCATTTCCTCCTCCTTTCTGGAGTGCTGGGAACCAAATGCAGGGCCTTGCACATGCCAGCTACCTCCGAACTGCATGTCCAGCCCACATTTCCTTCTCTTGAAAGTCCAGTGTCCTTGTGATTCAAGCATGGCACCATGCCCCTTATTTTTACCTTACTGAAGGAAATGCAGTGGTTTGTTCTTGCTCACTTCAAGGTTTTATCATTAGCCATTGGGGTTTTCTTGCAGATATGTTTTATTGCTGACTTGTAATAACTGCACGGAACATAATGAGCAGAAAGCATTTCCTATAGCATTTACAGAGGGAAGGAAAGAGGATGTAGGGAAAGGGGTAAAGCAGTGAGGCATTATGGGAAATTCAACTGACGTGATCCTCCTCTCTGGGAATTACTGAGAGCCACACATCAGACCTGGGCCAGAGGGAAGCCTCAGTATTCTCTGCATGAGGTTGCCATCATCCAAGGCAACAGGCACAGGCCATGGGTACCATGTCCAAATGTTGTGAACAAGTATGGTATACCAGAGTTGTGAAGGCCAGGCTAGGGGATGCCAGGGCTTGGGAACCAAGAGAGTGTGGAACAGGAGGAGAGTGGGTGGAGAGTGCAATGTGGAGACCCAGCAGAGGCTGGACAGGAGAGGAGGTGGTGTTGGCTACAGCTGAGGAGGTTCCACCCTGAGACCCAACTTCAAAAAGGCACCAGCCAGTGTTCCCTTGGGCCCTCCTGCAGCATGGCCACAAAACCTTGTGATGTTTGATGGGAAAGCAAACAAAGCAGGGGTCGGTGCATGTCACAGCAACTCCTGTGCAAAGAGAACTAGTCATTTGCCTTCTCGTCTCCCAACAGGAAACATGCTTTCCAAAGATCCAGGCCATTTCCTGCTTAAGTGACGACAGTGACCCTGAACTGGATCACATTCACTCAGGTGCCCTCTCACATATATTCGCCATCTCTAAGGACCCCTCAAAAAAGGCCAGAACTCCTTTCACAGACATATTTAAGGAAGAAGAAACAAGGAACTTGGAGACCCAAACTGAGGATATCACTTCCCTGCAACCACTCATTCAGGAGCTCAGCGACCGCAAGCTCTCAGGCCAACTACCCATGCCCCCCATCTGCAGAACAGACCCTGCACCCACCCCTTCTGGAGAGGATAAGGATGGCCACGCACCTGTAGCCTCTCCATCGGGTAACACACCTGTTCTGCAGAGTCCAAAGCTTTGTGGGGAAATGCACTGTAGACCAGCTAGCTCTGGGACAGGATGGGGCAGAGGGAGTGTTTTGATGACAGACTGTGAGGTCATTTGTAGATCACATTCCAAGTTTAAGACTCTTGAGGCCAGCTGTCCTGTTCTTGTCAACTGAGTTTGGCCGTGTCACCTTTTGTTGTATGCTGTGGTCACGCACAGCACATGAGGCGTGGGGATGATGGGGAGGTGCTATAGAACTCCATTTTCACTCTGTCACCACCAGCCCATCCTCAACTTTCCCATACCAAAGCTTCCGATAGCAGGAAGGCACTGTGGACTCTATGGCCTGGACACCTGGGTGTGGTACCACAGTGAGGACCAGAGGCTCAGTTACCTGCCTGATGATCAAAGACAGCCTCAAAGCCACACCTGGCACTGGCTGCTGGTATCCACCAGCAGCTTGTGAAGAGAAGGCTGCCTTTGAATGGCTGTCCAAACTGGGGCTGCTGGGCCTCTGTGGTTCCTTACCCTCACCCGGCACAAGGGGTTCTCCTGACAACTGTGAGGCCGATCTCAGATCTGCAGGCAGGAACCAGGGCTGACTGCCTTGGGGATCCCTGAGTGGTCTTCTCTTCTCTTTAGGAGTCAGAACTGAAGAGAAGGAAGTGCGGTCTGAAGAGCCCAGCACCAGGGCAGGTCAAGAGGACATCGAATTTGGCTTGGACTAAACCCAAAGCCCCTCCACCATCAGACTAGCAGTGGCAGGCAGAGGACGCAGGTCGCCCCTTCCTCCCAGAGGGCCACTGCTCTGGGGCCTTCATTGTGATAGGTGCATGGGTAGCCCATGTACCTTTGCACCCCTCAGTCTTCCATGTTTGGGACCACATCACTTTCCCATGTTTACTTACAGCATAAATTTTAGTAAAATAAACATTTTAATATCCACGCATCAACCTGTCACCTGTACAACCCCAAGTGGGATTCTCCATGATGGATGGAGTGGAGCTGTGTGCATGGACCTGGAGAGCTGGGGGGGGGATGGGAGGCTAACCCTCAGAGGACAGGTTTACTTAGTAGAGCCTGGAGCGTCTTAAGCACAGTAGGACCCAAGCAGACTGTACCCAACACAACATACCCGTGTCAGTGACTGCTGTCCTGCACTGGGCAGTTACTTGTGAGGCACTGCCAGGGGCTCATCCCACCCCTATCAAACATTGGGGGCACTAGCATGGCCCGCCCCGTGGCCTACAGGGAATCCTGGTAACACCAGCTCTCAACACAGAACCTTCACTGGGCTTCTTGTTCTGGAACCATCTGCAGGCCCTGTACAAAGCTCAGACTGTCCTATCACCCATTTCTTGGACTTCGCTCTAAACCACTTCTAGATCTCCCACGGTCACAAGAGGTAGAAGCTCTGTACCCTGGAGGCACCTTCCCCATGCCCTCAGAAGCCCATGCGTGGCTTCTTCCGGAGGGGTTTGCAGCCAGAGAGGACGGGTGTCTGCTGCAAGGAGGGAGTGGCCTGGATGCTGGAGGCCTGGGAGGGGGACATGATGGCACACCTTGGGGTGTCCTGAAGTGGCAGCTTGGCCATGTAGTCCCAAAGGGTCTGCTGGCTCTCTGGCTGGACACCCTGTGTCCCGGCCTCTGATGGGGTCTGGTCTGGGTGGCGAGGGCTGCTGTTGGTTTCTGGTAGATCCAAGCAGCTCGTGAGCGAGGAGAAGGTACTGGATAGCTGAGTCCGGCGCTTGGGTCGCTTGGCCTGTTTGCCAGGTCCCGAGTTTCTGCCCTGCTGTCTCTCCCACCAAGCAGCCCCTCGGCCTTCCCAGGCTTCCCCCAAACGCTCACTGAGCTCATCCTGCAGGTCCGACTCTGGTGCAGGGGGCGGCTCTGCTGCCGGGAGCGAGCTGAGGTCCCTGCGCTGCAGGAGCTGCCCTTCAGCCATGGCTGTCCGGAGAGACTGTACCACTCTCCCATTGCTCTGCTGCAGCTCCAGGCGTCTCAGCAGCTGGCGGTGGGAGAAGGTGGGTGCAGCCCATGTGGGGGACACAGGAGGTACCTGTAGCAGGGCCTCCAGCCAGCGACTGCAGTGGGCAGTGGCCTGGGGGGTCCAGTAGGGTGTGGGTGACTGGTCCAAGGGGCACACTGTTGCACTGGGGGGAAGGCACTCAGGCCTGGGGTCACCCGGCGATTCTGCATCTCCTCCAAGGCTTGAGGCTGCATGGAGGCAGAGGTGCTGATAGAAGACATCCCCAGCTGCTGAGAGCTGGAAGAGTGACAGGCCCGGCACAGAGGCACAGGGTGGGATGGCAGCAGCCAGACCTAGAGAGGGAACGGCAATGACCAGCAAGGCTTGGTGCCCCTCTCCCCCTCCCCCAAATACCCTCAGCTTCCTCCCATCCAGCATACCTATGGTTGGGGCTTCCAGACGCTCTTGCAGTTGCCGCTGGCTCTTGGGCTCCAACAGGGGAAAGGCAGACAGGGAGTCAGTGCTGGAGGGCAGAGACTGGGGGGGCCCTGCCAGCCGGGTCATGGAGGCCCCGTCTCCTGGAGGAAGGACAGACAGCTAGATCCATGGCTCTAGCACCATGTCTCCTCACATGCCTCCCACAGCCAACTCACCTGTGATGTGCAGGAGCTGCAGCTGCCCGCCCTGGGCCCCGAGAAGCAGGGGCTGTGGGCAGCTGGGTCCAGCAGGAGGCAGCAGGCAGGCCAGCAGGGGAGCAGAGGGCAGGCCATGGTCCCACTTCAGCATTGGCACTAGGGGGAGGCGCTCATCCATCAGGTAGAGAGAGAACTGGGGCCCAAAAAGGGAGGGGGAGGAGGGCATGGCTGACACCTGGAGACAGCTGGCTACATGGCTCTCAGGATGCCCTAGGGAGAGCAGCCTCTGAGCACCATTCCTCTGCTGCCCAGCCCAGGACAAAAGTGAACAGAGTAGGCCACACCATTGTGGAAGATGACTGGCACAAATGGGAAGGTTCTTAGAAGAAGGTCTACCCAGCCTTCCCACACCCAAACCTATACCTCCCGAAGCCCATGTTTGAGACACCCCTAACATCCAGAGTCCCTGCTGCGGCACAGGCAGGCCAAGGGCAGACCCTCAAGCATCCCATCCTCGGCCCTCCTAGGCTCTGCACACAACAGGACTTACCTGGCTTTGCACCAGTGCACAGGCCTGATGCCTGTTCTCACTAGCTTCACCCCTAGCCCACCTTGACACTTACTAGGACGCCACTCCTTCAAGAGGCCATCTCTGCCAGCTGACCACTTGCTAGGAATGTTCAGGTATCAGACTAAGATACCATGTTGTGCATGAAGCCTGGCCTTGGGCTAGACTGGGGGGGGTGGTGCATATCTCACTCACCTGAGTACAGATGAGGTGCACAGTGGGAGAGAAAGATCCAGAACCCGAATGGCCTAGGTACTGAGCAAGCAGCACACGTTCCCCTTTCTGACAGGACGCCTCTGCTCCTCCACGGAAAAGCAGCAGCCCACAGCCTGGGGGGCCCTGGGGAGAACACAGGGTCAGCTGCTCCACTCACTGGCTCTGCAGCTTCTCATACCACGGTGGATGTCTCTGACCCTGACCCCATACCTGAGTGTCGATCATCTTCACGCCAGTGCGGTCACCCACAGTCAGCACCCGAGGGTGGGCAGTAAAGTCTGCCCAGCGCCAGGGAGAAGGGTCCCGGAACACAAGGGTATCAGGGTCCTTGTAGACTTGCTGCAGTCTTGGGAAAGATGGGGCAGGTGTGGGCACAGGGGGTGGAGAGTAAAGGGGGTGAGGGGCTGGGAGGCAGATTGGGAGGCTGGCCCCAGGTCAGGACAACTGACCAGAGCAGCAGCCTGGTTCCGCTTGCTGGGGTTCAGGGCTTGTAGGGAAAGGGCATTACCCATCCTGGGGGGTCCACAGACACACGGCTCCAGAGCGGCTGCAGATGGCCAGCTCCCCGGGAAGGTGAGGGCTGTGGGAATAGGGCAGTGGTGTGGCTGACGCTGGGCTGCTGGCTCTTCTCCCAGGCCACTTCCATGCCACCCAGCCTGAGTCACCCTCACCTGAGACTAATCCCGGTGGCGCCCTTCCTGACCTGTAGCACCTGAAGAAGGGCTGGGCACCCCTGCTTGCCAACCTTCCACACAGCACAGTGGTAGTCAGAGCGGACAGCCAGCAGCGCTGAGGAGGGAAGAGGGGCTGAGAGGTCAGGCTCAAGGCCAGGCAGCGGGTCAGGGACAGAGGAGGGAGGTGCTGAGGGCCTTACTTTCTCCCTGGATGGTGGAGGTTACCACTTGCCGGACAGGTCCACGGAGCTGGATGCATCCAGGATCCCCTAGGACCTGGGGGTTGCCACCTGAGGTCAGACTAACCTCCTGGAACTCTGAGCCTCTGGCTAAGGATCACATGGGCTTTGGCCACTGCAAGCCCCAGCTTCCTGCCCTTCCCTGGCTAGGCCAGAAGCACTTCTTCCACCATGGGATCTCCACACAGTGAGAAAGGATACGTAGCCTGTCCAGAGCACCTCCAGCAGGGAAGACCAGCTGCCCGGCCTCTGCAGTTCGGCCAGGAATCCAGGCCAAGGCGCCTCCAGTGAAGGCCTCGTCCAGCAGCAGCTGCTCCCACCGCAGGGCCAGTTCCTCATGCAGCAGCTGCCCCAGGAGGCTTGACACAGCCCTGCTCAGGACTGGGCCCCCGAGGAGGGAGAAGCGGCGCTGCCGGTGGCTGAGGTAAGCCCAGGGACACCTGGGGCAGGACAGCAGAGGGTCATACTGGTGCAACTTTGCAGGGGGCTTGGAGGGAACCACCCATGGGAGGCCAGGTATGAAGCACATATTTCTATCTACCTAGAAGTTCTTCATTTGGGAAACCACCCTGCTCCCATGCCCCAGACCTGGGAGTGCACTCCATGGCCCCTGCACATGACTTGTTCACAGATGGGCGTGAGACCCCAGCAAGCCAACCAAAGTCCTGTCTGGGACTTCTGGAGCCTCAGTAAGGACACTGACTCTTTCCTTGGAATCATAAGCCATCTTGCTGGCACTTGAAAAGTCTTTCTAGGAGTTAAGTCAGGCAGAGGGAAGTAGATGAAAAACTAGAAAGAGACACAGCCTCCTGCTATTAACATTACTCAAACACCTGGATGCAGCCATGCCTGATATCCATGCACAGACTGTTTTCTCCTTGGGCTATTTTGTATAAGGAAGTATGGCTCATGTGCATAGAGTAGGGAAGCAAACTGTGATGGAAACCTGGATCACATCCCAGCTCCCTCCACATCCCCACCACCAGCTAGGCCTATCCACATCCCATCCTTTCTTACTAGACACTTGCCCCCAGGGCTGATGTCCACCGAGGTCCTGTAGCAGTCTCTTCACACTGACTACTGTCATCTTCTTAGAGTGGCTCTGCATGGAAAGGCCATGTCAAATTCGCATTCCTTAGATTTATGGAGTGAGGAGGGGGCCCTTTTCCTGGCCAGCCAGGGGTCACTCACCCGGCGTCCCTCCAGTTTGAAATTCTCCAGCATCAGCTTTCCTAGCGGTGCAAAGGCTATGTCCCCATGATCCCACAGGAACCTACTGAGCTGTGGAAGGAGGTCAGGTCACTATGCACAGCACAGGCTATGCAGCACTGTGTATCGTGAGGTCACCCACCTGTTCAGTAACATCCAGCACAACTTGGGGCTGCTTCCGGTAGTGGTAAGCTCCTCGGAAAAGGACATCCCGGGCAGTCACGCCAGGGTCCCAGGGATCTGAGGGAAGAAGAGATTGGGGAACACTGGTAATGTATGGAAGTGAGGCTGGGGGCCAGGTCACTGAAGGTATCTGGGGGCCTAGGGGATGCTCAAGCTACCAGCAGGGTAAGGGAAAATCCTGAGCCAGACAGTGACAGGTGGGGCCATTGGAGGGGGTCCAGAGGAATGAGACCCTTACCAGGACCAGGAGGCAGCAGGGGTAGGGGTCCTGGAGTTGCTGGCTCCCATAACAGATCCTTCACCAACTGCAGAGCCCCATCCTGGAGGAAATACAACCAGTGGTAACAACAGTGAGTTGCTGATCTGTGCATGAGACTGTTGATCTGTGTGAGTCAGGATCTATGCATGAGATTGTCTTAATAAAAGACAATTCGCAACAACCCCACAAACTTGGTCCAACTGTCATGGTCGTTCTGTTAATGTGGAAACTGATGCATGGGGAAGCTGTCACTTGTCCCAAGTGACAGAACCAGTAAAGAGAAGAGCTGGGATTTGAACCCAGGCACTGACTCAAGTGTGTTTCTGACCTCCACCCACACTGGCTCTCACAGAAGCCCCTAACAATGTTACTGGCCAAAACAAATCCCACCTAATTCTACTCCACCTTACAGCCACTCCCCCTCCCTCTGCTGGCCTGGCTTGAGACCTCTCAGCTCAAACATGCAGGGAACAAAAGGGCCAGCTAGCACGGCTCCTAGAATCTCTTTTTATTTACTCATCTACTTGTCCGGCTAACCCTAAACAAGATAGCTCAGGATCCTGAGCAAAGAGCCAGTGTCCTTCCTAAGGCACCAGAGTCCTGGGCTGGTGTCCCATGATCCCATGCGGAGGCTCGCCTACCCATTTCAGCAGCCTAGCATCTTTTTGGCTTCATTCAAAGCTATTGATCACTCTATCCACTGGTCTGTTCGCTTGCTTATGTCCACTGACTCACTCCACGAGGGCAAGCTGTATTCCCAGGGCCTACCCAACAAACATTTGTTGACCCTAAAGAAACAGAAGTGTGTAGAAAAGGGAGGTAGCAAAGAGCAGCCAATAGCACCTGCTGAGTAACCCTTTATGAAGGCACCCCAAGGGAGGGGGCTCTGCCTAGGCTTGCCTCTCAGCAGATTACCAGTGCCAGTGGGCATAAATGCTCGCCGGGCACAAGTGAACGGCCCGTCCGGGAGCTGCTGGGGCCCTGTCATTCTCACCTTGGAGTTATGGGGCTGAGACTCTGGCAAGGTCAGGACATCTCTCCAGCTGCACATAAAGGACAAGTCGGGGACACTGCTCATGCCAAGGGGACCAGTCATGAACAATGCAGGGCGGAGGGAGCTCGGGAAGTCCATCCTGGAAAGCAGGCACCTCAGGTCACAGGGGCCTTCTTTGGAGATGTGATCTGAACAAGGCTCCCAAGGTTCCCAGAAGGATAAAAATGCCCCAAAGTGTCTGTGTTAAGAAATAGTAAAAACCAGTGTACGTCTCACACCAAGGCGTAGCCGGGCAACAGGAGAACCACTCACTCATTGTGAGGGAGGGGACGGTGACAGCAAGGGTGCAGTTGCACAGCTGCCGTGATAGCTGCCCTGGGAAGGTAGGCGCAGCCTAAACCTAACCAGAGTCCAGCTGTGAACTACCACCTCTCCATACTTCCCGCAGCAAACACTGGCACAATCTCAGTATAAGCCTTCAGCACTACAGAGCCCACCACACCGCTCCAGCAACTGGTCCCCCCAAGTGTCTATCAGCCTGCTCTAGCTGTCACTTCTCCTGTGCTCAGATCTCCTTCCCCAGACTGTGAGCTTCCTGAGGGCAGGGACTGTACCTGGCTCACTCCTCAGTCCATGTAGCTGGCTGCTGCTACCACTTTCCTTTTCCTGATGGGAGGGAACAGCGGCAGGAAAGGAAGAGGTGCTCAGTGAAACCCTGTGAAAACGTGGCTTTCATAGGACTGACAGCAGCCACGGCGGTCAGGGAGCACCTCAGCCTCTCAGAGATGCTGCGTCCATATAGGTTGGAAAACACACACAAGAAAGGTCTCCAGCTCATCTCTGGTGCTTTGGCTCCAACCACACTAACCTTCTTTAAGCATTCTGCACTATGCAGCTCCTCACCCCAGGGCCTTTGCACAGCCCCTCTAATCTTAGAATCCCTTCCCACCTACAAAGTCCTTCAGCTTTTTGACTCAGGAAGCCTTTCCCAGTACCCTGGCCCTGTCTTCTGCCAGAGCCAGATGAAGCTGTCGGGTTCAAACTGCTCTAACAGCCCCACAGGAAGGGAAGTTTTAAATGCCAGAGCCCTGGTGATTCCCCCAAGGCTAACAGTCAGTACGTACAAGAGCTGTACATACGAAGAAGGGACAAGCCTAGGAACGCACAGCGGAGCCCGCGACCTCAGAAAAAAGCTGCCTCGACTTCCCCGGGGGGCTCCCGCCCTCCCCGGAGGTTTTCCCAGGGGTGGCCGGGCAGGACCAGCTTTAGACAGAAGTTCTTGTCCCCATGAGACTCCCGAGGCTGCAGAACTCTGGCGGGTCTGCTTTGACGCCAGGCGACACACGTGAGCCTGCGCCGGGGACCGAGCCCCCCCCCAAACCACGCGGCATCTCCAAACGCTCCCCGACATCCCCGGCCCCGCACTCACGCGGCCCGCCTGTCGCCGAAATGGCCCTCCGGGAGAGTGTCGCCTGACCTACGTGCCACGAAGGGGCCAGAAAGCGGAACACCGGCTTGAGCGCTCACAAAGGAGCAGCAACCACAGCCTTCACTGAACGGCGTGCCCGACCGGAAGTGCTCCCTGGGAGACAGGAAGTCCCTCCTCCCAGCCCGGCCTCACGAGCTCCCTCGAGCGCCATCTCCCGGGCGGAGGGGGAACTGGCGGCGAGGCGGCGCGTTGGCAGTTGAAATGAATCCCACCAGGTCCCATGTTGGGGGCCCGCGTTGACTTGCCTCCAGATCCCACCTCTGCCCCACGGATTTTCTATATCACGGGGTGTTGTGAAGATTAAATCCATTCACTTAAAACACTGTGCACCTACTAGGAGCGCTGTATTAGTCCCATGATTGTCCTAGATTCTAAAAACGGGCTTTTACGAATAAAGGGAGAGGTTCAGGGAGAGCAGAGCTAGGGGCAGCTTGAGGCGGAGCTTCTCAAACGCTTGTGTGAATCTGAGGCAGGACGGAGAGATGAGGAGATAGGAAATATTGATAAATATTAAAGGACCAGACTCAGACATTAGAACCAGAAAGTGGAAATGAAACCAGAGTTTTGACCCAAAGCCCAAACTACTGACTCCATGTCAAGTCTGGATACTCACACCTATACACCAAATAAAGAGACATGGTGAAGGGCAGAGAAAGAAGATTTATTACAAGGCCCAGGACACGCTGTGGGCAGAGGCAGAGTAAGCACTCAGCCCGTCTTCAGTCACCTTTAGGGTACAGACATGAACTATGGCTTTAAATAGACAAAGAACTAGAGCGAGGGACAAAAAAGTATGTGTAATTAAACAGCCCCAGTCACAGGTGTGTTCCAGTGGTCAAGTGGGGCTTGATTGACCATTATCTCAGTCCTTGTTCTTCAAGGATTCTGGAAAGATGATCACTGTCATCACTTGAGGGAGGGATCTGGTTTCCAAGACATGATTACTCCTACTTTAGGAGTAATCATTATAGGTAATTGTCCTCATTTGGAGGGGTGGTCTGTCCTTCACGGCTCTGTTTTTCTTTAGGTAGTTTCCATCCCATGTCGTAAAGAGTTTTCGGTCATTCCTGTCTTTCCTTGATTCCAAGGTGGCTACAGGAAAGAATGGCTCAGAGCAAAGGACAATGGAAAAGCTAAGCTTTTTTCCTGTCTTTAGTTAATTTGTGGGCCCAAGTAAGAAGACAATGCTTTTCAGCAAAAGCAGTTTAAGCACCTCTTACAGAAACTGAAAACAACTACAGCAGGTAGCTCCCTTCTCCCACCTTTTAGATGTTACAAGAACAGGGAGACATGAAGAGGTGCCTGCATCAGTCTGAGACATGGAAGCTGCAACTCCATGAATGGGTAGAGAGGCAGAAAAACAGAAGGCATGTTTGGCTAAAGGAAGTCCTAAAACTTACCTGTGGTTCCTGCTTGTTGTACACCTAGGTCACATCTCCAGGTTTTAAAAATAGTAAGCAGCACTCATCTTAGCCACCCAGAACCACTGTCTAGTGATAAAGGGCTGATAGAAGACATGACCAGTGTAGCCTCCAGCTCAAAGTAGGAAGCCACAGATAAGAACAACCATCATGAGTTTCTAATCCCATTTTCTGCATGGGGAGCAGAAATGTTTCTTTCTCCCCCACTTCTCCCTACTTTATCTTGTTACACTAAAGTAAATTCATGCCAAAACTTCCACCTTATAAGACTCCTTGTTGTAAAGCACTTTGAAATGTTTTTCACCTGTGCATCTCAAGTTCCAGCAATGTTCTCTAAAACCTGGGAATCCAAGGGAACCCCCTCATCCCTCATCTGGTGACATTACCATTATCCTAGTCCATTAGCTTTGTAACTTAAGAGTACACCAGAATCACTTGGACAGTTTGCTGGGTCCAGTAGATTTATGATTCAGTAGGTCTCCCGTGTGACTCACTAATTTGCATTTCTAATAAGTTCCCTGGTAAGTCTGGGTGGAATTGATGCTACTAGTCCAGAGGCCACACTGTAAAAAACCCCTGTTTTCAAGCATCAATTTGCAGGTTCCAACTTCAGTATGTATGAATTGTATCTAGGAGGTAACTGGAATCAGATGGTCTTTTCATAGTCACTGTTTCCCCACGATGGGGCACTGCCCTACGATGATGCTGAATAAGAAAGTAATTGTAAAATCTTCTATGGGAGAGAGATCCTATAAGATCAAGTAAGGAAGTAATGATGGGAAGTGGTCTTTGAGGGCTGTCAATATTATGTTTCTTCACTTGAGTGCAGATCACGAGTGTGTGCAGTGAGTGAAAATTCATTGATCTGTACACTTTTCTGTAGGTATGTTATGTTCCTGTCACTAGCAAGTGTCCTCAGAAGACCCTCGTCGAGATCTCAGGTCCTTGGAGTCTCAAACAAAGAACTGGATGGAGATACACAGATTGCAAAGAAGCAGCAGAGTTTTGCTGAAGGTGAAAGCAGGAAAACACATTCCTCAAGGAAGGGGGAGAGAAACAGGCTCTGAGTGCAAAGCAGCACTTATAGCTTGAGGGCACCAGTGCCTTGGTTTGGATGGGGTGAGCAAAGGGAAGAGAGTTGGGCGATACTCAGAGTGGTTTTGGTGATTGACAGTTCATGTGATTTCAGTGAGCTATAATTAGGGGCCTTTGTGAGCATGCCCCAGTTTAGGTCCAGATGAAAATGCTATTTCAAAAGGGACATTTTGGGGGCAGTTCTGGGTGGAGCTAGATCAACCTGTTCCCCTGAGATGATGTGCAAAGAGGCCACCTGTTTCCCATGACCTGGCTGGAGTACTTTCCCTAAATTTTCTGCCTCCCATAAAACATCTTTTCAAAAGAGAAGAGACAATCAGAACCAAACACTGCTGGCTGTGATGTCTTGTCTCAGTGAGACCTCAGCTCTTGGTTAGGCTGTAGCTTTTCTAGCTGTCTACCTCAGGAACAGAGCTCGGAGGTCCCTCTTCAAGGGCAGGAAATGTGCCACCTGGGTCAGTACCCAATACGTCCCAAATAGTGCTCTGTAAATATTCAATCAGTGAAAGAGGGAATGAGATGAGATGGTTCTCCTGGGAAAATATCAACATATTCATTTAAATTGGAAAATGAAGTCAGACTCCTTGTGAGAGGGAGTAAGTCTGACTTAGTGGGATGGATGGGCTTTACCAATTAGGTCATCCAGGAGTGCATGGCCATCAACAGGACGAGCTCAGGCTGCATCTCTATGGTTTTGGTGAAAATATATTTAAAGGATAATTACCATTTATAATAAATCAGAATTCACATTTTTGTAACAGCTTGTGATTAAAAAAATTGGGGTTACCTAGGCTTACAAAAAACCACTACAGACCATTTATTTATTTTGAGACAGTGTCTTACTATGGAGTCCAAGCTGGCCTCCAACTCTATGTAGTGCAGGCTGGCCTTGAACTTCTGACCTTCCTGCCTCAACCTCTTGACTGGGATCACCATGGGTTTACCAACATGCAACACCACATCCATTTAAACCTGTTTCCTATTGCTGCTGTAACAAGTTACCACAAAGTGACTTAGACAACACAGTATCTTCCAGTTCTAGAGATCAGAAGTCCAACATGTCTCACTGAAATCAAAATGGCTCTAGGGAATCCATTGTCTTGTCTTTTCCATTTTCTGGAAGCTGCCTGCCTTTGTTGGTTCATGTCCCCTTCTGTCTGTCTCCAAAGCAGACTGGCCAGTTGAATCTTTCCTGTGATGCCATCTCTCTGATTCTAATGCTTCTGTTTCTCTGTCCCCATTTAACAACAGCCCTTGTGATTACACTGGGTCCCCAGTAATTCCGAATAGTCTCCCTATTTTAAGGTTGGCCGATTAGAAACCTTAATCCTTCCTTGCCAAATAACATCATAAATGACAGGCTCTGGGGACTAGATGTGCACATCTTGGGGGACCATTGTTTGCCCACACCAATATATTCTGCATCACCCTTATGGCGGGTTGTGACCAGCACACATGAAGTGAGATGAAGGATTACTTGAACACAGGAATCTGTGGAAGAGAAGCTGAGGGGGAACCAGCTGAAGACTAGCTCCTCTAATCAGCATGCCTTGCAGCTTTTATTGAGTACACCAAGTGGCTAAAAAATATTTTTGTGAACAATCAATCATATCCTGGGCGTCAGCAAGAAAGGGACGTAGCACAGCAGATTAAGATCAGAACAAAAGGGACAGAAAGAACAATTATTTTTAAGCAATGGTTCAGAGATCAAGAAACAGGCATGCCTTATCAAGATCAATTATTGAACAGATGCCTTCCTGGAGGAGGTGCCTTCACCTTTGTCCTCCTTGTTTACAATCTCTTTAACCATGCCTGAACCTCAACACCCTTGTAAGACACCCATTCGGCATCTGCACCAGGAGGACAATTCCCTTTTGAAATGCTCATTGGGTTTTCACATAGGTATAAACCCATGTTCCTACATCCCAGATGAAGACAGGGAACATTCCTGCCACTCAAGAAAATCCCCTGGTGCTGCTGACCAGTCAATACCCTCTTCAAGAAGTAACCACCCTGGTGACTCATTACCACACATCACTTTCACCAGCTCATGAACTTTGTATAAATGGAATTGTAGGACCTGCCCATGTTGTGCACGTGGTAGTAGCTTCTTTTTAAACTGCTGAGTAATATTCCACTGTATGACTGTATCACCCTTTGTTCATGGACCCTGCTGCTGTTGTGCCTCTGGGTGCTACCTGGATTTGGTGACTCTGCTCCTGTCTTGGCTATGTGCCGCCATTTCTGAACACTGCCCAGTGGCCTCTTCTCTCCATGAGGCCTCATTCCATTCCATTCCATTGAGGCCATACACACAAAAAATAGGATTCTTCTTTTTAAAAATTTTTAAAATTATTGTTGTACAGGGGTACAATGTGACATTTACAAAAGTTCTTGCAATATGTCATAGTGAATTCAACCCCTTCATCATTCTCCTTTTCCCCTCTACTCCCATTCCCAGAATAATTTCAACAGATCTCATTTTTTTCCATTATGTACATGAGTATTTCCACCACATTCACCCTCCTTCACTCTTTCCTTATATCCTCCCCCTCCCACTGCTACCAACCCCCCAGACAGGGCCTGATTTACATTCCTGTGCTCTGTTTTGGAAACATTCCTGTTCTCTGTTCAAGATAGCTATACAGGGTATTTCACTGTGACATTTCAATGTATATATGTATTATAACTCGAATTGGTTCATTCCCTCTATGTGTCTCCTAAGTTAGTTCACTTCTTATGGTGATTTGAACAGGTTTAAAAATTCTATATTCATTCTTCTTTAGAAAGTCCATCAACCATATTCACCTTCTAAACTTCCTTCTTTTACCCTCCCTCTCTCCTATGTGACCTTCCTAGGATTGTTATTCTTGACATCGATCCTTGAAATGTATTGAATCTATCCAGGCCACCACAACTGCTCTTCCGAAGACAAAAGTTCACTGTTTCCACCAACTGCTCTGATGTCCCAGTCTGCACACTGACACATCTCCATCAGCACTCCGATGTCCCAGTCTGCACACTGACACATCTCCATCAGCACTGTCAGGGCTGAATACAAAGCAGCAGCACCAGGAGCCACTGCCCCAACAGACATGAAACTGAGTAACTGGCTACCTATCCCAGTTATGGTAGGACTCAGAATTAATTTGCGGTCTCCTTCAAGCAAACACGCATTCCATAGCAGAACTTATGGAAATTGTCCTCGTCGCTGGCTTCATCCTATTTTTCCTATCTCCCTTCATTTCTAGCCCTTTTCCTTAAAGAACTGATGGCTTATTTATTTTTTTGGCGGTACTCAAGGCCTTGCACTTGCTAGGCAGGTGTTCTAGCACTTAAACCACTTAGCTAGTCCATTTTGTAGTTTATTCAGAAGCCAACTCAAAAATCCTTTGTTGGGGAATGCCAGGATGCCAAATGGCTAGTTTTTTGGCTAGCAAGCACCCCCTTTTAGCTTCAGAAAGGCCTACAGTGAAGTTTAAAAGGTAGATGCTACATTTTAAACTGTGGGGCTGCTACAGTGTAAACACCGGCCTTCATGCAACCAGGACCCGGGCCCAGGAGCTTAAGGGGTTTGACAGTCTCTGGTTTGGCAGTGCCCTGGGGCAGAAACCAGAGTGTGAAGCTGGACCAGAAGCCACCAGACCCTCTTTCTCCAGGACCACCCAAGCCTAGACCAAAGGCTGATGCAGCGTCTCCCACACTGCACCCGCGCGCCCAGCCCCAGCCCATACGATTGCACGTTGACCAGGATGCTCAACTGACCAGTCTGCATCCGGGCTGCGCAGGTCGGGGAGCCTGGTCTTCCTATTGGCTGGTTGCGTTATCTTTCCCACAGCACTTCAAGCTCTCATTGGTCAGTGCTGGGGCAGGGGAGGAGCGCTCCATGTGCTGTCAGGCACGTGCTTCCCACGCGGTGGGAGCGGGTCAGCGTGTAAAAGGACGCAGGCAGCACGAGATCGTGTCTAGCTATGGCTTCGCTGGCCAGCACCACTTCAGGCACGGACGATGGCGTCCGTAGGAAGCCTCGCCTGGCAGCCTCGCTACAGATCAACCCGGGTCCTTGGAGGCCCTCAGCCAGCCTGGGCCAAGACACCTGGGGGCCCCTGCCTGACCCCGGTGCAGAGGAGGACAGGGAGCGGAGAGAGCAGCCCCAGGCCCCACTGGAGGCGGTGGCAGCGGCAGGGGATGGTGGGTCGGGGGCAGGCGCTGGAGTCGGGCAGCTCGGGGCAGTGTGGGCTCGGGAAGACCCTGGGGTGGCCGTGGGGAGGTCCTCGAGGGTCTCTGTCCCACCTGCAGGGCCTGCTGGGGACTTCCCGCCGGCTGTCCAGCAGCTGAGCCTGCCGCTCAGAGACCCGCCGCCTGGCCAGGCCGTAGCCTTGCTGGAGCAGTGCGCGGCCAGGCTGGGCCTCGCCCTCACCTTCCGCGAGGACCAGAAAGCAGGTAGGCCTGGGGCCTGGGACTGAGGACAGCTGGTGGGAGGGAGTCACCAGTCATCACGGCAGGGAAGGGGGTTCCGGAGGAGGCGAGCAGGGGTCTCCCTGTCCAGAACATAAGGCTGGTGGATGACTGGTTAGCCCTGGTGAATCAGGAGAGGGATGGGGAGCTGCACCTGAGACTAGGACCTTTCCAAGTAGATGATCTCCATCCTCACACCCTCCCCTGGCAGTGAGCAGGGTGAGCAGCCTGTGTTTAAGGGCACCAGCGCCACCAGACATCTGCCAGGTCATGGTGAGGCCAACGTTATCCCCACCTGGTCTGGGAGGCAGGTGGGACATGCTTGTAATCCTAGCCTTTGGGAGGCTGAGACAGGAGAATCATGAGTTCAAGTCTGGTCTGGGTTACAAAGCGAGACCCTGTCTTAAAAAACTGAAAACCAAACCTAAGTCAGAACCAAAAAACCCACCTGTTGCCCATGAGGGTGAAGGGATATACTCCAAGCTACTGGGTCTTTCTGACCACTTTTTTTTAAAAGGCCAATTACATGTATTTAAGGTTGCCAGGCCAGTGTTGGAGATTCCTGAAGGTGGGGCGGCTCCTGACACAGAGACATGATTAAACACAATTCGTAAGAGAAATAGTAAGGCATGTCAGATGTCTAACCATCACCATACCCTATATCCTTTCCTTTTCCTCAATACACCCACCCCTAACTCAAGCAGAATTTTAATGTGGAGGTTGATTGCAGGCACATGCACCTTACCCCTAAACACGTTAGTGTGTACTTCTTAAGAACAGGGTCATCCCTTATGAAGTAGGATGGTCAAATTCTGGAGATTCAGTACTGATATGGTTCCATCATCTAATTACCATTTGCTGTTTTTTTCCATCCCAGTATGACATTACAATCAGCTGGCACCTCCCCTCCTTGTTCTCTCTCTCTCTGCCTCTCTCCCTTCTGCTCTTCCCCCCCCTTTCCAACTCTCCCCTCCTCTTCTCTCAGACAGGGTCTCACACATAGCCCAGGCTGGCCTCAAGCTAGCAATCCTCTTGCTTCAGCCATCTAAGTGCTGGGATTACCGATGTGTTGACACCACCCCTGGCCTGTCACACCTCTTTAATCTCCTTTTGTCTGAAACATCGTTCTTCGTCTTACGTGACATTGATGTTTTGAAGAGTTAGGGCCGGTCATCTTGTACACTGTCCTTCCAACTTGGACAGGGTCTTCTTAGGATTGGATTCATGCCCTGCATTATCAGAGTGACGTCACATTTTTGGCAGTGTGTCCCATCAGCAGGTGTGTGAAGGCAATACTCTGCCTTCATTGTAGTGTCACCTTGTGGTTTTAGCACCCATCCATGATTTTGCTAGATTTGGTTATTGCTATGACTGCTGACATTGCTTCTCCATGCATCTACACTCACTGCTTTTGGTGCCTTTTTAGGGGTGCATCTCAGTGCTAATGCTGAGTGCTAAGGCAGGTTCCCTTCCAAAAGGGCAGTCCTACTGAGAAATGACTAGAATGAGCATTGTGAATTTAAATCAGTTCCTACCCTTGACCAGGTGATCCCAGTTCTAGAATTTTCATTTGTCTCTTCTGTGATATAAGTAACACCCGAAATGATTGCAGTGACTAGAAAAACCTTTCAAATGTAGGGTCCCTGGAGGAGAAGAGAAAAGAAAAGTTCATGTCTCCTGGCAGGCAGGAAGCCATCCTGTGCGCTCAAGGGCCTTCATCCCGAGAACAGTGTAGCGTGGCTCTGGAGATGGTTAGGATCTGGGTCCTGCCTCACCTGTGTCAACCACCTATTCTTTCTGCACCTCACCTGTGCAGTAGAGCCACCCACACCTGTTTCAGAGGGGGCTGGCGAGAACTGGCTGAGTTGATTATGGGGCACAGAGTGCAAGGACACATGGGGTGCTTAGTGTAAATGGAGTCCCCACTTAGGGAGGGGCTGGGGTCTCCATGTTATTCGGGATGTCTTCCGTGTCAGGTGTCAGCAGGAAGCCTAGGTAAGAGAGGCTGTCTTCCCACAGCTGAGAAGGGGCGGGGTGGCTAGGTGTGGTCTTCCCCTTCTAGAAAGGGCCTGGGGCTCCTTCCTCCTCCCCTCCTTCCCAGGTCCCTGTTTTCCCTTCTCTACGTGCGTGGAACTGGATGGGGTGGTCTGCCCTGTAGGCACCGCAAGCAGCAAGACAGAGGCCAAACAGCAGGCGGCACTCTCTGCCCTCCGCTACATCAAGAGTCAGCTAGAGAGCCCAGGTACCTGAGCCCCAGCTGGGGCAAAAGAGATCAAGGTTTGCAGCTTTTTGTGGGGGTGCTGAAGTGGCTCTGGGGTATGTGTGGGTGAGCGCGGGTTGCAGCAAGGACTGTCTGGACATCTGCCTGGAGAAGAGTGCTGACCCTGCTTTGATGTACTTTGAAGTTCTGCCAACCCTGGAGGAAGGGACCACTAGAGAGCAGCTCGTGGGCTCTTCTAGGTCTGGAAGGTGGAACCTTTGTCTCCTTGCCTTCTTGGCATCCCAGAGGTTGGGAGAGTAGACCCAGCAGCCATGGGAACAGGCTCCCCTTGCCTGTCTTTCAGAGCCCCCTGGGACCCCCAGCCCGCTTCCACTCACCTCCCCGAGTGTAGGTAAGTGGGCTCTTGGCCTAAGCCCCAGCACTGAGGGGAGAGGCATGGCTTTGGGTGCCACTGAAGCCCTCTGGCCCTTGTGCAGAGAACATCCTGACCCACGAGCAGCGCTGTGCGGCTGTCGTCAGTGCCGGGTTGGATCGCCTGCTGGATGAGGACTCGCCATACCAGGCCTGCAAGGGGACTGTGGCTGCAGTCATCCTGGAGAGGGGTAGGGATTGCGCTGTCTCTGCCCACCTCTGCTGGCCTCCTTAGGCCCTTGTCTACCACTGACCCTTTTTTGCCCTCCATGCACAGAGATCCCAGGCTCCAGGGGCCACACCAAGGAGACCTATGAGCTGGTGGCACTGGGGACAGGCAACGGCAGCTGTGCTGGCTGGCTGGAGTTCTCAGGCCGGCAGCTTCATGACTGCCATGGTCTGGTCATTGCCCGCAGGGCCCTGCTGAGGTGAGGGGCAGGCAGGTGGGCTGTGTTGCAGCAGAGCCAGGACAATGGCCCCAGCCCCTCTCTGCCTGTTGCTCTCAGGTTCTTCTTCCGGCAGCTCCTGCTAGCCACTCAGGGAGGTCCCAAGGGCAAGGAGCGGTCCGTGTTGGTCCCCCAGCCTGGGCCCGGACCCCCCTTTGCCCTCAAGCCCCAGATCTTCTTGCACCTGTACGTCAGCAACACTCCCAAGGGAGCGGCCCACGATGTCTAGTATGTGGGGCTCCCCAAACTGTCTGGTCGGGGGGACCAAGGTCAAAAGAGTGCCGCTCACTCTGGGTCCCTGTTGTGCTCCCCCAGCCTGCCGTTGTCCTCGGAGGACAGTGTTCTGAATAACCCGGCCTTCCGCCTGCAGGCCCACGTCTGTGGGCAGCTGAAGCCGGTGTCCTATGTGGCCCCTGCCCTCCGCGACACCCACGTGGGCTGCCTGTCAGCCAGTGACAAACTGGCGCGCTGGGCTGTGCTGGGGCTGGGTGGTGCACTGCTTGCTCACTTCCTGCCACCACTCTATGCCACCAGCCTCGTCCTGGGTAAGGAACCAGGGGATCAGTGGGAGTGGGCTGTGGGTGGGGATATGGAGTGTGGAGGAGACTCAGGCCATGCCCTGTGCCTTCTTCCCCGCAGCTGACCCCTGCCATGACCCCCCTACACTGAGAAGGGTCATTCATGCCCGGCCCAGCCTAGACAGTGCCTTGGGGTCGTGCCTGCCCCCTCCTTACGTCCGCACCAACCTACACCTGTTTTCAGGGCCCCCAGTGGCCCCCTCCAGCCCTGTCCCCAGCACCTGCCAGGGTCTCAGCCTCAACTGGAGCCTGGGAGACCCTGACATTGAAGTTGTGGATGTGGCCACCGGGCGTGTAAAGGCCAAGTGAGAAGGGGTCCTCTGGGGCTAGGCTGGTGAGAGGGCTTGGTGGCAGGGGATCCTGCCTGTGATCGGCATGAAAGACTGAATGGTGGGGCAGGCCAGCAGGTTTGTCCTTGCCCTCTGATCTCTCTGTGTCTCTTATCCATCCCAGCGCTGCCCTTGGGCCTCCTTCACGCCTCTGTAAGGCTGCCTTTCTGGGGGCCTTTCGCCAGGTTGCCCGTGCTCTGGGAAGCCACACCTCCTGGCCCTGCAGACCTATGAGGCTGCCAAGGTTGGTCCATTCTCCCTCCATGACCCCTTTTCCAGGTCCTCCCATCCCTAGCACGTGGCCTTGCTCACCCCCTCCACCCCTGCTGTCTCCCTCCAGGCCGGACCCTACCAGGAGGCTCGTCAGCAGCTGTCTCTCCTTTTGGACCAGCAGGGCCTGGGAGCTTGGCCCTCAAAGCCACTTGTGGGCAAGTTCAGGAACTGAGCCCTGCTGCCAGAGGCCAGAGGTCCCCAGCAAGTTGGCCCCTATCACAGGGAGGCCCACTGGGATCTGGGGGAGGGGGGTGCAAGATGAAGACTGGGGGGGGTTCCCCTGAAGTGTTTGAGTGCTGGGGGCTGTTGCATGTCAGCTTGAATAAAGAAGCAGTTTCTTGTGGTTTGTGTTTGTTTTTGTGTGTGTGTGTGTGTGTGTGTGTGTGTGTTGGGAGTAACCGGGAGCTGGTGTGTTTGTGAGGAGAGCCCATTGCCCCATTTGGCATGTGCTGGGCCCTCACCTGGATCTTCTTCAGAATTATTGACCTGACCCCCAGCCCTCCTGTCTGTGTGCTATGGAAGCTGTGTCCCTTCCCTCCATGTGGAGGCTCCAGATCCTCCCTCCATGTGGAGGCTCCAGATCCCCACTCCGGGGTTTGGTCCTGGAGTGGCACTGGGAAGGCACAGCCCATGATGACTGGTTGGAGACTTCAGCTGTGCTGACCTAAGGAGGATGTCCGGGTGAGCACCTGGGTCGGAGGGCACAGGGCGGTGGTGGACACCGCAGTCCTTGCTCCCTGCAGGTGGCTGTTGAGACTGGGAAGGTCCTCTGACTACTGGAGCCTTCCCGCCCCATGGTGGAGAGGGACAGTGCCACTGCTTCTCTATGCACCTTCCTCCCGTCCCTCTGGTGTGGCAGAGTGGGCGGAGTGCATGCTCTGCAGACCCAGTACCTTGTATTGGGCACCACAGCTTTGACATCTGGGGACCCAGGATTCGCCCCGTGACTCGAGACCATGGTTCAAGGCTTCCCACATCCCCAGTAGTTTCAGGGGTCAGCACCACAGCTGCCATCATAGATGTGCCTTGGAGAGCAGGCCAAGGATGTATGATTTAATTTTATGTGTCAACTGGACTGGGACACATAAAATTAAACTGGACATCCCCACACTTCCTTGGTGTGCCTGAGGCATTTCCAGCAGATAGCAGTGTTTGAATCAGTAGGTGGGTGAGGGAGATGGTTCTCCCCAGTGTGGGCCAGAACCACCCAGTCCACTGAGGACCAAGTGAGGACATCAGAGCTCCTGGTTCTCAGGCCCTGATGCTCCAACCAGGACTTTCACTTTCAGTCTCCTGCTTCTTAGACCTTTGGGTTTGGACTGTATGTCACCAGCTTTCCTGGGCCTTTGGCGTTCAGACAGCAAGAAGGTAGGACTCCTCCCTTATAATACCTGCTTCTGTGTCTGTGTCCAGTCAGTCTGTTTCCCTGAGAACTTCAACTAATGCAGACAGCCCCCTCCCGAGCTCCTGTACTGGGCCAGGCTGGTCTTGATATAGGAACCTGGAGACTGAGTCCTTCCCTCCAGCTGTCCCTGCCACTGGGGGTGTGGCTGTGGCCTGCCATCTGGCCCCATGCACACTGGTAGGCTCCCCCAGAGTGGTGCAGCAGCCTTTGTACACACGGGTCCCATATCCCTAGTCAACAGTGGTGGGTTGACAATACTAAAAAATACTAGTTCTGAACTAGTATGAACTTTGCCCTCTTGTCATTCCTGGAACAGTGCATTGGAACAGCTACTTGAATAGCATTGACATCACATCCAGTCTTGTGCGTAACCTGGGAGGATTTAAAGTACACAGGATACATTTGATGTAAATTCTGTGCCATTTTATACATGGGACTTGAGTGTCCTGGATTTTGGTATTCTCGGGGATCCTGGAACCACTACCCTATGGTTGGAGACCCTGCCAACAGATCTGTTCCGGCAGCTGCTCCCTTGGCTTGTCCAGGGCCTGCTCTCCCTTTTGCTACCGCTGCTCATGTGGGGGAAATCAGGAGTGGGAGAGGGTGAGGGCCCAGCAGGCCCAGCTAGTCCAGCTGACAGCTCTCCACAGGCTGCTAAATTCAACCTTCTGCCACCTCTGCACAATGCATGTGACCATCACAGCATGCAGGTGGAAACTGCAGGGTGAGGCTGGAAGCCTTCTGGAAGAACACCTGACTGAGCTCTCCTATCTCAGTTGCTGCCCAGGGCAGCTGCTGGGTTCCCTCTGGTTACCTGGGGAGAAACTCAACCCTTCCTAGCCCAATTTGCTGACTTACAAAAGGAGGACTGGGGTATGTGATGGCTGAGTTCCTTCCTGGCCTAGCTGTCCCTGCTCTGCCCTCTCCCGACTGCTGTAAGTCAGAAAGAGCCAGTTCTGGAAGGAATCATAGGTCTGTCAGGGATAGCAGGGTGAACAAATGGCCAAAGGGAGGGCAGGAAAGGAGAATCAGTGGAAGGAACACCAAAAGAGGGGAGCGAGGATTCAGGAGCACACAGGGGCTGAGGGAAGGGTATGAGGCAGGCAAAAGCTGGTAAGCACTGATTCCTTGTTTAATGAGAAAACAGCTCCACTGTTTACTTTTAAATAAGTACTGTTCAAGCAAATCAAGTACCTCTGAAATAATCACTTTCCATGGGTATAATTTTTCAGGGATGCAAAGGGGTTTCTGAAACACCCAAGCCTATTAATTAGTCCACTTTTATTACACATTGTTTATCCCGGGAGATAATGAAATCGATTGACTATTTGTACTGAGATGGTGACTTCAGCCAGGTCCAGAAGTGCACCAGCCATTTTGGCTTGTTTTACAGCCCGAGCCCATGGTGCTCATTAATCACATTATCCCCAGGTAAACAAGTTATTTAAAATGACATTAACTGCTGTGTTCTGCCAAACAAGTACTATTTGTCCTAGCTGCATCTATCTGCCTGTCCAATCTCCTCCCGCCGTCTGTCTCTCGGCATTATTCGCCTGGTTCCTTTGACTCAGCTATTTATTATTGCAGGGTGATGGTGAATGCCACTTTTGAATGGAGAGTCTGTTCATGTCTTTTTGGCTAATCCCTGGGGGAAGTTGCCAACTGTAGCATATTTAAATTAGGAAGTGATGGAATCTAGCTGGCTCACTCTATGCTGCTCCCTTGGAGTGCCTCCCCCCACTTCTAGCTTCCATCCTCCACAGCCCTGGGCTCCCAGAAGCTTTGCTGGACCCTGGGCACCCTTTGCACCCTGCTGCCCCAGCATAGTCCTCTTGGGGTGGAGGACAGTGAGTGGAAGTGGCACCTGGGAAGCCAGTCCTCAGTTTACCCACCTGGCAGGCAAGAGTTAGTCACAAACATGCAGACTGCAGGCTTCAGGGGGCAGTGGCTTTTGTCAGGCCCCCTCTTGGGTCTCCTGCATGGAGGTACCCAACAGACAAGTGCTGGGTGGACAGGAACAAACTGCAGGGTCTCCTTACAGAAGTGCAGAAACTTCCAAAACAGGACTTGAAGACATATTGAAAAGTTCCCTTGTGAAAAAGCTCCCAATTCACAAAAGAGAAGTTCCCTTGAGTAGAAGCAAAGGTCCTGTTCTGTGAATTGTCAGCCTGCTCCACGGCCCAGGGTGAAATCAGCATTTAAATACATAAAATATGGTTTTAAAAGATATTTAAAAAAAATATATATATATATAGGGTAGGCACACAGAGTTGAATGAGGATGGGTCCTTATGTCCCATACAGAAAAGTTAGCTGGAATCTGTGCCTAGACTAACATCAGGGTTATGACAGTAGAACTTCATGGCCTTGAGCTAGGTGAAGCTTTGAAAGAAAAAAAAAAAAAAGAAGAGGTACTCCACAGACATGAAAAGCCTTTGTGCTTCAGAGGGTCAGGAAAGTAAATGCTCAGACTGGGGAATGTATTTGCAAGTCATCTATCTGATAAGGGGCTTGTATTTACAATATGTAAAAACCTCTTACCAATCAATGACAGACAACACCATTAGTGAGCAAAGGGTCTGAATAAACATTTCTCCCAAGACCTTGAATGGCCAAGAAGTGGTGCAGAGATGCTGTTGGTAGCTAACACCAGGGAAACGCAAATCCAAACCTGCAGGAAGTACCACCCAGTCCACAGCAGGCTCCAGTGAAAAAGAGCAGCAAGCAGAATGCAGAACCTTCTCACCCTGCTGCTGGCCGTGTGAAACAATGTAGCCACTGTGGGAAATTGCTAAATGTAGAATTACCATAAGACCAGCAATTCCTGACAGAGTACAACATATCCATACAAAAATGTATGGCAGCCACATAGCATCCCCAAAGAGGAAACAGGCCAAGCGCCTACTGACCAATGAATGGCTAACCAAAATGTGGTGTGTGAATACTGTGGAAGTCTCCAGGCATTTATAAAAGGACAACCCATCCCAAGGTCTTTACACAAAGCAAACAGTCCACTGCCTGCAGCAGGTGTGGGCGCGGGAAGACAAGGAGTAAGGACCTGGGTGGGGCTTGGGAGGTTGTGGTTCTGTGTGAACCAGGGTATGTGCTAATGCACTTTGCTTGGGGGGGGGTCTTAGCTAGAGGGCCAGCAGCAATGTGCTTCCTAATGCACTGTGGGAGCAGACTTGCCTCTTGAGGCAGATGAGCCAGGTGGCCAAAGACTCTCAGCACTGCCAGGACTGCAGGCCAGGGCGGGCACAGGAACAAGAACAAGACCCCTGTGGGCTCTGATGCTGGTTTTCCCAGGAGCCACATGGTCCCTAAGCATGGTGGCTGGAGGAGCCAGATGCCTGATGTGTACAAATGTCCTTGGGCTTCAGTCAGCGGTGCAGGTGGCACCCTTGCTCCCTGTGTGTGGGGGCAGCAGGTGGATCTCAGGACAGCGTCATGCTCTTCTGTAAAGTGTCTAAGAGTAAACGCTTCCAGCCTGTGGGCCACACAGTCTCTGTTTGCTACTCAACTCTGCTATAGCTGTGCAAAGGCTGCTGTAGACACTACCTGAGTCAGTGGGCCTAGCTGTGTTTCATTAAAACTTTATCTGCAAAATCAGGCTGCAGGCCTGACATAGCTGGCTGACCCTAACCTTAGTTTGGGCTATGGGGCATTTTTTAGAGGAACTTTCACATTGGGCAGCAGGCGGGGGCTGGACAGCATAGAGAACATGTAGGAGGCATTTGTGGCTGACCTGGCACTGCCCTGTCTCTCCTG